TTCTCTACACAAGTCTCCTAGTTTCATCCCACTCTATGCTTTGCCAGAAAATCTACCTCTTTGACTTGGCCTATGGTATCCTTGATACTTGGTGTCCGTCTCCTTAAATCACTTTGAGGCATTACCCAACATAAAAGGAGCTATATAAATGCAAGTTGTTCCCATACCATTATATATCCTTTTCTGTGTGTTTATCTCACAGAGTTTCGTTCACAAAATATGCAGTCAATTAATTAACTTTACAGTATATTCTGTGAAGCACTTTGAGACAGCTCAACAACATGATATGGCACTATATCAAATGCAAGGATTTTTATTATTATTACCTAATTCCCTTTTAAGATTGATTTACGGACTGTGTTTCATGTTAGGTGAAGGACTGAAATGGGTCTGAGCAAGTAGCGAGATGAGCTGCACATACAGTTAATTCATTGCAGTGATATAGCTCTTCTCATGCAAAACAAAGGTCGCAAAGTTCTTTACAGATAAAATCAATTAGAAATGGAAGGAATGTTGCTTCGGATGCAAACGCAGCAGATACCAGCAACGGATGACAAAGGAGATGAGCAGATTGGAATTTCTGAGGGTTGAATTCGGATGAGGAATATTAATAATAATAATAATCCTTGCATTTGATATTAGCGCCACAGGAATCAAAACAAGGTGATTTTCTTCCATTTCTTCTCCCAAGGGCAGTTCCCAGTGACTGGCTGCACCGATCTTCAGTCAGGGCTTTAGAGCAGGAATTGGGGAGAGCCGGCTGGTTACAGAGTGCGGGCAAGGAACTTTGCTATTTTTGAAAACTGACAAATGTAATCTCTGCAGTTGTCATTTGACTGCTCAGAGGTCACATGCAGCCTGCTCTGTAGAACTAAGAGGAGCAGGAATGCATAATCCTGAGTATTAAAAAGTAGAGGAGATAATGGATCGAGATGATCAGAAATAATGTCAAAACGTTGTTGCCACAATCACTTACAAATAAATATATGTGGGGGGAAGGGAAGGGGAACCGCACTGAAAATTGGTTGTTGTGTTAATTCCAAATGTTTGTAAGGCAATGAAGAAAGATAACAAGTTTCCTTTCTCATTTTGAGACCAGACAGAGTGGGGGAAGTGTTAGAATATCTATTTGCAAGAAGGTTCCATTTGGATCAAAGGCGGATCTAGAAAAAGGAACAACATTTTGATGTGATGCGGCGCTACATCAAACACAAGAATTACTATTATAAATAACTCTGGGTTCACAGTTTTAGAGTTACACAGCACAAAGTATTATAAAGTTATGATTAAAAACATCCTACATCATACTCCTACAAGCTTGGCAAGTGAAGAGGAGAAAATGCTGGTCTCCTCTCTAGAGCCTGTCCTTCATCCAAATGGTTGAGTTTGCCAGCGAGGGCGATTGAGGCCAGAACATTAGACACGTCTAAAAAACAGTTTAATGCTAAACAGTAGGGTGGGTATTCTAAAAGGATGAAATTAAATGAGCCAGAGTGTCTTCTTTACCCAAATCAATCTTATAATAAAAATAATAATCCTTGCATTTAATATAGCGCCTTAGCACGTCGTTGAGAGTTCTCAAAATGGAACTAAGGGAACATTTAGTAAACATGAAAACCTAAATGAAGATGCAACTTAAACACTAAATGTGCCACATTTTGTCAGAGATATGCCATTTATAAACCCTCTTTCCCAGGTATTTCTTTATAATAATAATAATAATCCTTGCATTTTATATGGTGCCTTATCACACCGTTGATACATCTCAAAGTGATTCACAGAATATATTGTAAAGTGTATTTTGTGGACATAATGGGGCAACCAATTGCACACAAAAATGTCACACAAACTATTGGATTGAGTGATTAAGTTTTTCAATTTTATAATTTGTTTTCGAAGGGATTATTACTCCTGGAAAGCAATCCACCAATTGACTAACAATAGGGTTCTTATTCACTGATTGGAAAACAGAGGCGTATGGAGTAAGGAAACCTTCCTAAGGTTTTGCCCTGCCTGAGAATCGAACTCAGGTCCTCTGGTTTGTGAGACGAGTGCTCTAACCAATACGCAACATTTGCTCCAGCTGAGTCAAATAATCTTCAAACACAATGCATTCCTTTATACCGCGTTTACTCCATGACTGGATTGTGAAATAAGACCATGTGTCTGCATTAGAGAAAATGCAGTCCAGTAGACTGAAACTACTGGAAATTCAATCATTATAATCATCTTTTAATAAGGCTTTGGTTGAACCCTACACTGACATTCACATATATAGCGATCGGTTTAACTACGGTGAACTTGACAATTTTTTTTGTAAATAATATTGATCGCAGCCGTGCCACAGATTAATCAGCTTCACGTTCTCTAAAAGTGCTTGTGCTTGTGCAGGAAGAACCGGCAGCCACGATCAGGATCGTTGCAGATAAGAGCCTCTGTAAGTAATGGAGCTGTTACCTCAGGGGACATTAAATAAAGCGGACGACAAGTTCAGGATTGAGCGCAGCAAAGGAACGCTTTATACACCTGGTGTGTTTGAGTAAGAAACAGATTTGAATCAAAAGCAGGTTAGCTTTGAAGGATTGTGAATTCACATATGTTTGACCTCTTAAAAGAAAAGGGAAAAGGGACTCCTACCCTCCACCACAGACACATTTCCTTGCTACGTAAGTGCTTCGAGACGCCATCCAGCATGAAGGGCGCTAAATGCAAGTTGTTGTCGTTGTTTGTTACTGGAGTAAAGACTCTTCATTTCAGGACAGACACCGGGAAATATTTCTTTGCCTAGCAGGTAATTAACAGGTTATTGGGGTCGTTACTAGGGAATTGGATTCACTTTTAAAAACGTTTGGTGCTGTGATGGGAGAACATCAGGGTAGGTGTTCTGGAAAGATGGGATCAATTGGACCGATGAGGATTCTTCATCCAAACCAATCTTGTGACCTTTAGGACTGAGCCTTAGCAGTCTCTCCTCCCCCCCCCCACCCCACCCCTCTCTCCCCAGGACTTTCATCAGAAGGCAGTTCACCTAGGTTTTTAATCAGAAAGTATTAAACAATGCAGCGAATAAAGGACATCCTCTGCAAACATTTGCTCAAAGTAATTCCGATACACTGTTTGTTTTCATCTGCAAAATCTCCTCTTTGTACGATTGAGGACTTGTCTCTGGTTCACCCGTAAGTCCAGCTCCTGGTGCTAGACCAGTCAACAGCAGAGCTGGATAAAACCAGTCCGTGTTATCCTAGGGACTCAGAAAGCAGCAATAAATACCTGTTAGTTAAAGGAACACCTTTGCAAACATTCACACAGCCTCCAGTCGAGTAACGCATGTTATTCCTATTATAGTATCCACAGGCTAATCCAGAACTCTGCAGCCCGTGTCCTCTCCCGCACCAAGGTCCGTGACCCCATCTCCCCCATTCTCGCCCAACTCCATTGGCTCCCTATCCTTCAGAGGATCCAGTTCAAGATCCTGGTCCTCACCTACAAAGCCCGCCATGGCCTCCGCAATCACTCGGCCTCGCCCCCTCCTTGGCCTCCTTCAAGTCCCACCTCAAGGCTCTCCTCTTCGACCATGCCATTGGTCATCCCCCTTCCCCTCCCTTCTCCCCCCTGACCCCAACTCGGGTCTGAAATGCTGTACACTGTCCAGCACCTTGGGACGTCCTCCTGACGTGAAGGGTGCTACACAAGTGTAATCTTGTTGTTGTAGTAACTGGCAAAGATCAGGCAATAGTGGTGCCTCAGATGTTCTTTTGATGGGAGTATTTACTTAAGAATTGCTGCCAGTGTGTATTTCATCCATTTTCTTCTAGAATCATAGAATCTTACAGCACAGGAGGCTCAAAGAACGTGGATAGTTGACTAAATATTTTTTGTTTTGTAAAGTGCAGTCTTTCCATTATTTCACCGATTTGTTCTGATTTTCTATACACATTGGACACCAGTCAACCTATTCCACAATCATATCTCAGAGAACTTTGTAATATTTTACCATCTGTGGTGCAACATTTATACTCTGGGTCCTCTGTACTTTGCTTTGATACATATTGAATTTTCACATCAATAGATGTAGTGCCAATTGCAGTGAGGAGTGTTTCCCCCCCCTCACTTTAATGGTTTTGCAAAAGTTAAAACTTTCCGCTGAGATTAGTCAGATTGTGATCTGATTAACTAAGTTGCGCACACACATCATCACACAAACAGGCAATGCTGATAACGAGTAGTTCCCTGATTCATCCATAAACATTCGTCTCATTTAGAAACTCATTACACGTAGTAAATTATTTCTCATATCATGAAATGTTATTGACTTGAGATTGTCAGCACCATCGATCCCTGTATTAACTGGGCTGAATAATGCAGGTGATATAAATGCTTAAGAGTATTTTCAAATGGCAGCTTTTAATACAGTACTAGCTCAATTGGAGATTAAGCATTTACTGCTGCTCTAAACCTATATTGGATAATGGCATTGAATCAAAAAGAAAAACTCACCCTCCACTGTTTTCTCTCTTTTCAAGAGTGAGTCAGTGTTGTCAACGTATAAATTGTTGGAAAATGGTGCTCGCAATCTCTAGTCCTCTATGGCATTCTTTTGAACTACAATCTGTGTTATTGCTTATGTGTTTAATGAAATTTAGACGATTGGAGGATTGTGTTCCGGGATTAATAACCGCTTTAAATTAATAAAATAATAATAATCAATCCACGACTGTTTGTGGCACAATTGGCTGCTGTGTTTCGCCGACATAGAATATTCAGTCAATTCACTTTAGCGCATTTTCTGTGAGGCGCTTTGAGTCGTCTCAACGATGTGATAAAGACGCTATATCAAATGCAAGGATTATTATTATATATAATGAAGACATGCAACTCTTGTCAATAATAAGTCAGTTTTGTTGCTAATCAATTAACCCGCATGTTCTTTTCTTCAGACCTACATGCAGGAAGGTTCGTGCAACATCAATGTGTGTAAAAAAAAATTCTGGAAAACAAACTAAAGTTCATAGTTTTATTTCAAGTGTGCTTTATTTCGGCCACAGGAAACCTGTCAGATAAAGCACCTCATTTATGCCAGTCCATGTCTACAGAGGATTCTTAACAGAATCAAATTAATCGTGGTTGGTTTAGTATACAAGTAAACAACTTAATTTGGATAATAGAACCACGGAGATTTCAGGCAAAGCTGCCTTCTTAATAAGAGTACAAAAACTGGCAACAAAAGACACGATATTATACACAGTAAAAATGCAATATCTTTAAATTACATCATACAATATGAGAACAAAAATCTCTGTAACCCTTCACCCCAAGATACACCTCAAATCTGGATGAAAAGCCACAACAAATTACTTCTATGTAAAAGCTGATCATTAATATGATTGCCCTTGAGAAATGTGCTGTAAATGCCTTTGTTTTTAAGTTATCTATAAATTTGTGTTTAGTTTTCCACTTATCACATCTTCAAGCGCATAACCCTAACACACTGGATTTCTCCCACGGCTGAGATGCTTCTTCATACAAACAACTAACGGCATTCAAGCAGAAAAATGTCACTTGACAGTGAAGCACAAAGCATCAGATCGAACAGGCAGAACAAAATTAAACAAAAACTCAAACTGTATTTAAAAAAGACAAAACTAGACATGCTAGTAGTCTCATCAAGAAGCAGGTTGGTTCCCTCTGCTCAATATTCTTGTGACTGCACTAATGGTAGATTCAATGGTCCTACACAAATTATCTAAAAGATCCTGCTGCTGCATATTAAAGAGTCCTCTGGAATGGGTACAGCTGTTGGATAAACTGGTCTCGGGGTCAAAAGAAGGCAGAGTTGGAGCCTCGCAGTTCCTAAGGTCAGTCAGGTCAGATAAAACTGTAGCAATAGGTGGCGATGTGGAGGGAGAGTCAGAATCATCTTCATTGGTTTCCTTTTCAGCACTCAGTAGCTCCTTCACCACTTTGCAATCCTCCATTGCATCCTCCCCCTGCAACTGCTCTACAGAGTCCTGGGGCCTATTGCCGATTAGTGTGTCATGTGCATTTGAGGAAGAAACTTCCATTCTATCTTCTTTCACAGAAATGGGGTCAGGTGTCGGTGGGTCATGTTCGGTGCCTGGATCAATGACTGCTGAGTCTCTGGTCTCAGTGTCTGAGGTACTGGCAGGGGTTAACGCCTCTCTAGGCTCTGTCCTACTGTCACTGGGTGTGCTATGCCCAGTGCTGTTGTCAAGAGGATGTTCTTCATCACTGCTAACGCGCCTTCTTTTAACAGGAGTGGCTCCTTCATCGTCTGGAAAGGGAGAAGGAAAAGAAAAGTTAAGACTGTGCTCCTCCTTCATGTACAAATGAAGAGAAAGGGATGGGGGGGGAAGCATTTGATTGCGATAAAGTTTATTGTATTTAATTTAAAAATATTCTGATGTAAACATAATACTGAACGTCCAAGACACTGAGGGCAATAACCTCAGTTCACCATAAAGGAAAAAGTCTCATCTCTGGAAGGTTTAGGTTCACAAGGACCCAGTATTGGGGTGAATGTATGGCGTTAAGTTTCATGTGCACTTGAATCCAGCAGAAAATTGCCATAAATGTGATACAGGTGTGTAAAAAAACACAGTAAAAGAGGGAAAAGGAGTTTATAAACCGGAATATTGAATGCATAGTAGGTGGTGAATCAGTAAAAGATATCGGTCACAAAGCAGCCGGGCATTATATGTAGTATTGCATTCACCATTACAGAAAGATATCAGAAACTTGGAGGGGGTTCAGTGTAGATTCACTAGGATGGTAATAGGTGGCAGAGGATTATAGTTATGATGAAATGGTAAAAACACACGTGATGCAGTATACACCGGAGAGAAGGATGAGAGGCATGTAATACAAGTGTCCAAACTTAAGAAAGGATTTGTGATTTTAAAACAGTGAAAGTCTACTTGCAATGTTCAGTGAAATGGTAACAAGGAGGGCTTAAACAAGATTATAACTGGATATGTAAAGAAGGATCAAAAGGAAACAGTTAAGGGGAAAGAGTAGGGAAATATGATTGAAGTGGACAGTTCCAATGGACAGGTAGCATGGCACAGGCACGATGAGACAAATAACCTTGTTCTGTGCTGAATGGTTTAATATTAGTAGATGGAGGGCAGGACATTTCACAGGAATTGAAATTCCACTTCTCTCGACCTTCAGCCATATGTACCTTTTGTCTTCCGTTCTTTTGCTTCTTGTTCCTGTAGTGCACTTCTCTGTTTCTGGCAAGTCCTGCACTTGTTCAGCAAATCCTGTAGAGTCTGGATCAGTGCTGAGTCCAGCTGTTTGGGCGTGTGTATGGAAAGCAGCAAGGCAAGGGCTCGAAGATCCTGCGGGCAGTGAAATAAATCACAAACATACAATGGAGACCGATATGTAATATTTATCAAAATAAGCAATAAAGTAAGCAAAGCAGCGATATTTACTTTGGTCACCCTTAACCTTCAAATACTAGTTTCTCTCCACATATATTGTCTACAATAATAAAATCCAATAAAAAAAAATATTTAAATATAGCGAACTGTCCTTCTAAGAGTACATTTAGTCACTTCCACTCTCGACTTTCTTCTTTCATGCCACTGTCCAACACCCTCTAGCGTAATTCCCAGGAATACCTTGAGAAGCCAAGCAGAGGAATGGGAATGCAAGTAGCCAAATTTCACATCTAAAGAAACATCAAGAAGCAATCTTCCTGACTTGCCTGGCTCAGTCAGGGACACTCGAGTCAGAAGGTTGTGGGTTCAAGCCCCATGTTGAAACTTTGAGCTCCTAGTCTAAGCGGACACTCCAATCTCCAGTACACTGTGGGGGGAGGGGCTGCATTGACGAAGGTGCCATCCCTCAAGATGAGATGTTAAACCAAGGCTCATCTGCTTGTTTAGGTGGACATTAAAGCTTCCATGAGATTATTCATTGAGAAAGGAGTTTCTCCCAATGCCCTGGCCAACAATCCTGCTCACAAAAATTGGTCATGGTCTCCATGGCAGTTTCTAGGACACAAACTTGCTGCCACGTTCATCTCCACAGAAGCAGCCACTACATTTTACAGTAAATCCTGTGAAGTACTTTGAGACATTTTGACAATGTGATAAGGTGCTATATTAAAGATGACATATCAAAGTAAGGATTATTATTATTTTGTTAATTATTATTATCCATTGGAGATACACAAGTATCCATTGTCAATACCCTATTACCTACAACATACAGAGAGGCTTTCGCAGTGTCTGTCTAAAATCTGATGACAACTAAAAAGCTGGTACATTCAGCTGTAGACATGTGACAGAACTAGAATTTTCCACAAGAGCACATATTAATATTGAAGTTAAGCTTGGTGTTTGATGGAAAACCATAAAATAAAGGAGAATGTATATCTTACCCCGTTTAGAATAGCACCGACTTTAGAGATTTCGACACGTTGTCCCAAAAGTTCTGGCTCAAGGTTGTGGTACTCATTTATTAGATTGGTGATTAAGTTATTGATCAAACTGGAACAGTTTGAACTGGAAAGCACTTGACTCTGAACCTGAGGGAGCATAAATAACATACCGGATAGATTTTCAAATGATGAAAAGAGTACTCCAGTTTTGAGTCATTCAACGTATGTCTTCTTTTTGATGTACAAGCGAGAAAAAAGCAAGTTATGTACGTCACTCACATCTCCTTTACCAATTTAACAAATCTTATTACGTTCCGATTACGAAGAGTTTGAATACCTTTTAGGAATTAAACGAGTTTTTCAGACAAGCCATAAAATAGGCCATTTATGCCAATTTGTAGCGATCTCACCATCCAATTATTTGCTCCTTTCTCCTCTGTGTTTCCTTTTGAACAATTAGTTCTCTGGATTTCCATCCCCATTCACAAATGATTAAACTTGATAATTTTCCTTTTACAATTTGTTTTAAATTTTCCTTTAGTTTCTTTTTCAGTTTTGATATTTGAACCGGTTTGATTTTAATTTCCTCTTCCTATATGTATTTTATTTACTTGCAAACGTCCTAAAATCCATAAAACACACTTGACTGAAAGAGCAAAATTTTCACCTACAAAATACACAGCCAATGTATTTCACAGTTTAACTCCTGTCTCGATGACGTGATAAGGCGCTAGAACAAATGCAAGGATTATTATTATAATTCTCCTATATAAAGTGCTAATAAGTAAGAATGTTGGTAACATGAGTTAAAAGTTATATCATACCTTGGGAAGGAAGCAAGCAAGAAAAGTATAAACTGCACTGTTGTTCAGACAGATCCTCTCATCCATTAGAATGCACTTTATGTACTCAGCAAACACCGGCTCATCACACAGCAGCTTTACACAATTCTTTGCCATGGGTGACTGTATAAAACAAATACTTGAATGAGGGCAAGAGTACAAAAAAGTTATGAAATGTGTGCGTGTGCACAGTCAAGTCCACATTCCTTCCCCTGCCCTTCCATAGTATTCTCAGACCATCTTCAGCCAAGAAGTCAGAGAGAACATAAGAATTTGCTAGGCGAATGAAGACCATGGTCCATCTAGTTCGCCTTCCACCATGCTGGCAGTCGCTTGACATGTCGTGTCTCAAACTATATACTGTATCCCGAGATATTATTTTCCAGCAGAAATCTATCCAATTTGTTCTTGAAACAAACAATATTTTCTGCTTCGACTGTTTCCTGAGGGAGCATGTTCCATAAGTTTACTACTCGCTCAATGAAGTAATGTTTTCCACAGATTTGTTCTGAATTTTAACCCCCTTCAATCGCAGGAAATGTCCGCTGGTTCTACTGTTCAGTACAAGATAAAACAGCTTATCAAGGTCTATGTTATTTATTCCTTTCAGAATCTTAAAGACCGTAATCATATCGCCCTCAACCTTCTCTTCTCCAGTGTGAACAAGCCCAGTTTATCTAATCGCTCCTCATAGTCCAGTCCCTCAATCGATTTTGGTTGCCCTCCTCTGTATCCTCGCAATCACCGCAATATCCTTTTTATATTGCGGTGACCAGAAATGCATACAGTATTCCAAGTCAGAGATCATTTACCTACCTTCAGACCTCTGTCTACGCTGCTTTATGACTGGCCCGTTCAATGAGAAAGAGGGAATAATCCCACCTTTCACTCAACACATGGGGAAACTGTGCCAACCTGCATTCAATATTCCGATATACAACACATTGAGAACTTCAATGTTCTGTGTTTTTCAATGTACATTTCTTAAACCACTACATAAATACAGAAATTTACAGCAGAGAGACCTTCTGGTCCATTGTGTCTGTGACACTCACCGCCAGTACCTCTTTTAAGTCTTTTTTCTAAATTAATGTGACTTTCCAGCTCTTACTCCATATCCCTTAACATTTTTGTTTCTCTGGTGCTTAGCAGTCCTGGAAACTATTAGACGCAGGTTGGCAAGGCTTCGGGTTCCAGAGTGTGCATTGGGGTAATGCTGGAGTCTCACCAACTAAACTCATAGCTTTCCATTGATATCACAGTCTAGCAAGCTTTCCCACTGCTTGTCCACCTAGGACCACCCTACCCATTAGGGCTTTGGCTTGCAGGGTTAACAGGAGCTGAGTGGGATGATTCTCTGGCCCCAGGCTGTGTGGTCATCAGCGTGCCCTAGAATGCTGTGGACCCGCTCAGGAACCGGACTACTGAGACCGCCACAGAGGTCTGGCTCGATTCCGACATTCCTTTGCAAAGCTGGTTCAGTTTCAAGGAGACCTCACTACCTTCCGCCCCGCCCAATCAAGGAGGTTAAACCACACAAATCGCAACTAGATTCCATATTTACTCTCAGCAACAATTAATCTATATGTAATCTATGGATAAACATCCAAATCCCTCAATTAGATTCCAAAAGATTCCCGTTAGTTTAAACAGTTTAATAATGATAATTTAGAATTCCCAATTTCCATAGCCTTATTATCTTATTTTTCTTTGGTGGTATCGTGTACAGGCTTGATGGAACCATGATAACAGATATTTTTACATATCAGACCATTACATACTTTCTTGCATAAATTCAAACTTTTTAAAAACTAACTCTTGGCGTAAGGTATAATGAACATCTGTAGATTTGCAGTACAGTAGAAGTCCATTAGGTGGTCCATTATGACTGTGCGTTGTTTATAACATGGGGTGTGCAGGAAGTGACGACGGGGGCGATTTAATGACCTGGAAGTCAGTCATTTTTATTTAGGGCACAGGAAGCAAGAGCTTTCTGCACACGTCGTGTGATTGGTAATATCACAATGCAGACCCTTTGGGATTTTATGCCCCCCCCCACCCTCCAATTACCACATTGTTCCTGTGCTCTACTGTAATCTGTTGAATAATGTGCTACTCACAACACAGATTACTGTGCACCATTTGCTAAAGGCAGCAAATTTCTTATGTGCGCTTACAATGTAAATTTTTCTGACAGTGACAAATTCACTGCTTCTAGCAATTTAACCCCAAACCTACTGTTTCTCAAATCTGAACAAGGAAATAAATGGGCATGGACAAGCTCCTTCTAGCTTCAATTTTACAATGTTATTTCTAACACAGTACAATTTAAAGAAAGTATGATGACAGCATAAGGAAAATAACCCCATTGATAGCAAGTTTGTTTATGAGATAATTAAGTATACAGAGCATTCATTCAATATTTTAGGAAAAAAATACATATATTGTATATAATATATATATATATATAAAAAGAGAGAGAGAGAGAGAGAAAGAAAGAGCCTAAAATCACGTACAAGAATAGTGGAAAAACATCGCTTTAATTTGCCCCCAAAAACATTGCTAAAATTTCAAAAACAAATCTGTTAATAGAAATATTAAAATACCTGAGACTGGTAAATCTCTGTCCAGAGCTTAGGGAACAATGATAGATGAAGCGGCAAACCTTCATATGCTATCAATACACCTGTATAACAACAACAACAAGTTTTACTGACACAGAAAGCAAAAAACACACAAATTGTCCATCATTTGCATTACTCAGAGGAGCTCAAAACGCTCCTTAGAATCATTAATCCATGTCGTGAGAAAATACGTTGTACTGCAGGCTGTCATGTGATTGACAAGTGGTACAATAATAAGGCTATGTGGCTGAACTAAACAGAATTAATGATATTATAAACTTGGTGAATATTATAAAAATAAACAGAGCATGTGCATGTAATGATAATAGCTTTTGACAATCACAGCAAAGGGATGGCCAATGTGTGACCTGCCGACCACATTACAAATGTATAGAAACCTCACACAAGTCACAAGTAGGTTATCCTTGTCATACACACACTAAAGCACAGCACACATTCACTTTATTCTATAGAGAATTTTCTAGCTTCTGGCAACGTCTATTTTGAAACATTGGTCGTTCGCTGTAGCAGGCTATGTTGTGAAGAAACATATTTTCCAACATTGCAGATGTTGCTGCTTTATTGGTGCCAAGAGTCTGAAAAATCTGACTCAATAATAAATTTAATGTAACCACACATTTGCAAAGAATTAAATAGAACACATTCTCCTTAAGGTTCAAACCCCAAATAGATACATACTTAATTTCACAAGGGTTTCTGTAAATTTTTCACAGTTCACTGCGACCCGACACAAGAGATGGATAAATTGATGGTAAGAGAGGAAATAATCCAGCAGCACACGGTCATAAACTTCATCTTTTCCCTGCAAAACAGTCACATTATTCAAATAAATTATTTTCTTTGGGAAGGTTTCACAGCATATTTCCCTGCCCACAAATTCTTCCCAACATTATATTTTTGCATTGAGCTGCAGCAGCAACTTGCATTTAAATAGTTTCTTTTTCTGTAGCACTCGTTAATAGTCATCGCTTGGGCAGGTCTGAACTATAGGATAAGAGTTCAGGTAGGATAATGGAACACTTCATAGTAGTGGGGCTGGACGCCAAGGGAGAAAGAAGGGAGAGGTGACTGTAGGCGCGATTGAAGAGATAGGTTTTAAGGTGGGATGTAGTTCTGCACCCTTACAATTACAATGATGCCGGCAAATGTAATACAACTCATGAATGTTTCCGTAAATACTCCCATGTTTTTGTGGTGCAAAAATAATACTTAAAACACACCACAATTATTAATAACCCATGATTTACAATTTACAAATAGTTGAATATAGAAACCTAGACCTTACGACTATTCCATTGAAATGTTTTATTTTTGGCAATATAGTTTGATTGTTATTTTCACCAATATTTCACCAGAAAATATTGCGAAAACCTCTTGATGCACAAAACAATACAGTGAGCACTGGCTTCTACTTCAAGCTTTTCCCCCCCACAAATGCCTAGATTGATTACGATCACTGATGATGTTTCATGGGCACCAGCTTCATAATATTTGCATCTTATGTTCTTGTCTGTGCTGTTCAGGATGACTTGTAGCCAAAGTGTTTGGGGAGAATGACGAAAGCTCGAGTTGGTGAGGCTGTGAGAAAAAAATGGTGTCTCCACTTGCATCCTAGAAAAGTGAGGAAACTGATGATCTGCCCCATAATAATGTTTGCATTTGATATAAAATAAATAATAATCCTTGCATTTGATATAGCACCTTACCATGTCTTCAAGACGTCTCAACGCGCTTCACAGAATATACTGTAAAGTGAATTGACTATATATTTTGTGGGTGAAATGCGGCAGCAGTGTCGCACAAACAGTCGTGGATAGAGTGACCACATTTTTCTTTGAGGGATTATTACCCCCGGAAAGCGATCCGCCAATCGAATAACAACCAGGTTCCTACTTATTGCTGGGTAAACAGAGGCGTGTGGAGTAAGGAAACGTGCATAAGGTTTCTCCCCACTCGGGAATCAAACCCAGGTCCACTTGTATGGGAAGCAAGTGCACTAACCACTACACTAAAGGACTCCACAGCTGCAGTCAAGAAAGGTCACAAAGCAAACAGGAGTCCAGGTAGTTAAGTGAATAGACCTACATCAGGAGTAATAATTTAGATAGTGACGATATTTAACAAATACTACACAAAAGAGGCTAAATTTAACTTAGAAGTTCTCTTAAAAGTTCTATCAAAAAATTGAACATTTTTTTAAACACAGATTGCAATATGGTTGCAGCACTGTGCTGCATATATATATTATATATAATAATCTTGAATGATGTCTGTAAGGCCAACAGTTCCATAGCTCTTTAGTACCTTGCAAGTTTCTACCATTGTGGGCAAGAGGCACATGTTGAGTTCTGGACGAGGAGGACGGATATTATTCTTCCCACCCATTAACTTGATGTTCTCACGACAAGGGAAATACGGCCCGAGAGACACTGCAGGGAGGAAAAAAAGCAAGCTTGTAAACAGTAAATAAGGAATGTTCAAACTTAGCAATAACAAACAAAGAAATGACCAAATGATTTAAGTGCTTGCAGGCTAATCCCTGAAAAAAAATTGCACTTACTTGGTATATTACTATGGTGGTAAGTGCAATGATTGTGTTGAAGGAATGGCACCAAAGTGTGAAGGAAATCATGTGGGCTCAGAAGTACAAGTTCCTTTAAAACATCTAGGGGAAGAAAAAAAATTATGTTTAACCTGATGGTAAAAAAGTCAGTTAAAAAAAGGGAATGAAGGGAGAAAGCTTTATAAAAGTCACCATTTTCATGCGTTTGCACCAGACACAAAGTATTCATTTTGTCTTTTACTTTAAATTGCGCCAGCATCAAATGGATCATTAAAATAATTGGTAGTACACACAGGGTTCATAAAAGTTCTCTTTCACACTGCCATTACCACATTTGTGGTAAGTTGCACCTAATTGACATAAAATCTGTCTGAGTGGAGACTGCACCTTTCAAGGTGCAGAGAACAAAAACTGGTTATTATTTTGCTGACGGTAAACACATCAACTAAATTTGGCACTTTAATGAATAATTCACTGAATTGGCCGATCTGACAACAAAGGGTTGTTTAATTGCTATTTGTCAAAATGATCGAGGTATTGGGTCATTAGAATTTAGTTGACAAAGATGCCTGCTTGTATTTTGCAGTGTTGTAAATTAGAATACACCAGTGATGTACAGCTAGGAGAAGAATTATTAAAAAACGGCAGAAACCAAAAGGTGCAATTTTCTTCCCAGTGTGGTAATATTCCTGTAAAGTATTCCTGTAAATTTTCAAAGCCAAAGAATGAAAAGTGTCTTGTCAAGTAGCATATATTGCTTTAAATAATTGGTGGTACAGTCCTTCAATTGGCAAGCTTCCATCTCTGAAGACTCGGGCTATAATCAAACTCAAAGTGAGAACTGCTTTGCTTCCAAAGTCATTTGTCAATTTTTTTTAAGTTCTAGTGCTCATGATCTTTTTCATAACAGACATGAGGCCAAAGCTCCATCCTCACTAGGTTTAGTTTTTATGACCGAATGCAGCAAATTAATCACAGAAGGTTATCCAGCAAAAGTGCAGTAACTATAAATAGGCTGGGAAGTAAATCATCCTTTAGGCTATACACAAAGCAACTGCCTCGCATCATAAATTGCTTAGAAGTGCTTAGGCTCTCAACAAATTCACAGTGGAAAATTGTTTTAAAAGTAACCATTTGCAGTGTAAATTGAATCAGTCATGTGGTTCCTCCTATCCTTGCACCTACTTTTAATGTTCAATTAAAATCCAGCAATTTCATCTTTTTTCCTCTCGCCCTCTGCAGATTGCCACGTACACCCTTTGACTGCCAAGAGCACTGTTATAACAATAATCATCCATGCATTTGATACAGTGCCTTGAGTGATCAATTTTTTTTATTTGAACAGATTATTATCCCAGGAAAAACATTCAGCCAATCGACTAACAACAGCATTCCAATTTACTGCTAGGTAAACAGAGGTGTGTGGAGTAAGGAGACTTATCTAACATTTCATCCTGTTAACATCCTAAAGTTGCTTGCCCACAGGTTGCTGAATGTAGACCAAATGGCATATTCAATTTTCCCTGCCTCCCTGCAAATAAATATCTTTACATTCTGTGGCCTCAGCTCTTCCCACTAAGGATGTGGGATCAGGAATGCATTTGGTACATAATTGTATTCTATTGCTTTACTAATGCACACGATCATGGAGCCTACTTGTAGCTGGAGCACAATTTGATCTGGGTGGTGGACTGTTCCGGAGCCACCACTGGTGTTTGTTTGCTATTTAATTAAGAAATAGGTCAAGCAATGAACCAGTTCCAAGCTTTTCCCTTTTCTTTAATCACAAAAGAACTGACAATGAACAGAGAGAGTTGAGTGAGAAGTAATGTTCCGAGTAAAACCCTCTTGGAAGGCAAATATAGCATTGTTTCACAAGCACAACTAGTTTTGTTTCACTTATATTTTGTACTGTAGCTTTTTGCCCATAACGATGCAGTGTATGAAATACATTTTGACACTCAGTGTATATATTGCACATCAAGAAAGGTATAACACAGAAAGATGCAATGCAAAGTTTCCTCTATTCTTCCCAACAAGGTGCTTTACTGACTAAACTTACTGTGATATAAATGGATTGTTTTTCCACATTAACCAACCTTGTGCCTCTATGAATGAGATTCCCAATTTAGTTCCAATTCGTACTGAATTATACCCAATTTGATTGTGTGAACCTGTATCCATTAAGAATTGGGTTGAGACTGGCTGAAATAATTTCATAGGAAATATTTATTCAGTCCAGGCTTCATTTGATCCCAATAAGCAGATATGAAAGGACAGTGTGTAAACTCACCATAACACCACGTCCCCTCAAATACATTACAACAACAACAACTTGTGTGTATACAGAGTCATTCACGTGGGACAGCATCTCAGAGTGCTTAACAGTGGCAGAGCCTGATGCTGACAGGGAGGAGGCAACCTTAAGCACAGTCGAAGAGTAAGGTCTTACTTACTTTCAAGCATTACATTAAGGCAAAAAAAACACAGCAACAAAGATGAAGAAATTCCAACGCGTACAGATTTAGAAGAATAAGCACACAAATCTTCTCTTTAATGCAATACTTTATCAAGTACACCCCAAAAGCATCATTACCTATACAGGCATTTCGGAGCTCTGGTGGGCTGTAAGAGTTCAGTAATGTGAGAAGCTTGTGAGCAAATTCAATTCTCTCCTGCCACTGAATCAATGCTTGCTTCACATCTGCAATTGCAAGATTAAAAAATAATGAATCAAAAGGCAGAACGTTTTTCATACAGAACCAAACAGGTTTTTATTTAATAATAGTAATCCTTGCAGTTAATAAAATAATCCTTGCATCACATCTTTAAGACGTCTCAAAGTGCTTCACAGAATATATTGTAAAGTGAACTGAGTGTGGGTGAAACGAGGCAGCCAATTGCACACAGCAGTGTCCCACAAACAGTCGTGGATTGGGTGACCAAATTTTTTTTGAGGGATTACCACAACACCTTATCACAACATCGAGACATCTCAAAATGCAATTTAAGAACTTATTCTTTGTTATTGCTGGAAGCCATCATGAAGCAAATGCTAAGTACTGGAGAGTGTGGAGGTCAAACCATTGAAGAAATTCAGTGACAAAAGGAAAATTAACTAGAACTAATAGTAACAGTTCTCAAAATACAAATAAAAGTCCAACTTTGACAGCACAAAATAACAGTGTTTTGTTTTACTTGGAAGTGGATATAAAGGAAGAAACACACTCGGTTTTATTATAATCATAGCAATTTGCATTAGTATCATCATGCAATGTGGGGTTGGGCAGCGTACAGTACACAAGTTAAATGTGGGCATAGTGTCTGTGGGTCTGGGAGAATAATAATAATCCTTGCATTTGATATAGCGTTTTTCACGTCGGGAGGACGTCCCAAAGCGCTTCACAGAACACACTGTAAAGTGAATTGACTGTATATTTGTGGGCAAACGTGGCAGCCAATTGTGCACAGCAATGTCCCACAAACAGTCGTGGATTGAAAATGACCAATTTTATTATTGTTTTTGGTTTTGGAGGGATTATTATTAGGCTCTGTGTGGAGTGAGGAAACTTGCCCAAGGTTTCGCCCTGACCTGCCTGGAATTGAACTCAGGTCTCTCACTTGCAAAGCGAGTGCTCTAACCACTGAGCTACAGGACTCCAACCTTGGCACCCATTCAAACTGACTGGAGGCTTGGGGGCAGACTGAGTGGGGAGGAATCACTGCCAACTACACAGCACCCTCCACAGGCCAGGAAGGACGCTCTGCTCATCAGTCCTCTACTTTCTCCCCATTGGGATGAACTACTGAATGACAAGGGCCTAAGGCCTGAGGTTGAGGGACCTAAAGAGTGCAAGAGGAGCTCTGTGTCTGGAGAGTAGCAGCTCGAGGACATATGGGTTTGCCGTCCACTGTGCTTTGCAATTTTTTTTGGACGTTGGGTTGGAAATAAAGATGGTTATTTCACCCTTCTAATTCTTTGACAACTGCATGCCTTCTACATTGGTGTCAGCGATGTTAGTGTGGACCAGGAGATTAACTGAAATTTGCTGTCAGGTGGGCTTTGCTTTAGATCTCTCTGCAGGCTGCATTTGTATTTCTGATCATGAGTTTGCATATGTTGTGAAACATGTCTTTATGATAGAAAGTTCTAGTGTTGTATGTGTTTCAATGGGCGGGTGGAGGTAGAAAGGAAATGCAGGCATCTAGCCCAGTTTGTGTCAGAATAAGGAAGAGCTTGATTTCTACATTAGAAGATGCAAATCTAGCAAGATGTCTGGGAGATTCAGCTAGTAACTTTCAACCCAGAGAGACATTCTCCTCTTCATGAAACAGAGCAGATATTTGAGCAAGTCAGTTATAAATTTGTTCAATGGTGAATTACTCATCTGAGAATTGTCAGACATGGGAAGCTACCAATGAATATAAACAGATAATACTTCTATTTTGATATGTACATAAAAAAAACCTTACAAGGTTTACTGGGTGCATCTGATGTGTCCAAGTCAATCTTTAACAATTGGACTTTCAAAGCCAAAATGCATTCATTGAAGATCTTGTTTTCCGCCAAAATAGTACCACAGGTAAAAGTTCTAAAACTCAAATTTCTCCCCTTCCCATCCCAGCATTAGAGGGTATATAAATGTGAACCAGATTGGACAAAATGTTTAGAAAAAAATAGATTGCACCAATGATAACAAATGCTCCTTAATATATCTATCAAATATCACAGGGAGACGTCTCATTTTAATAAACCTAACATTCTCCGTCTCCCACTTCCTCAAACAAAAGAAGAGTTTCACAAACCTTTTCGTTGCAGGTATGGGCGAGTTGACTTGAGTACAGACAGGAAAATAGAGAGGAGTTCCACCAAGTCCCCAGTCACATGGCAGGCTGTGGCCTCATGGTACATCATGTGCAATGTATTGAAAGACTGTGTTTAAACAAAGATGCTCAGAGCTAGATTTCTGGATTTGTTTTACATTAAGAAAATTAGGGTTAAAATAACTCGCTTCCAGATAAAGTAGACATTATTCCATAAACATAAGAATTTGCTAGGCAAAAGAAGACCAAGATCCATCTAGTTCACCTCCCACCATCCTGGCAGTCGCTTGAGGTATCATGTCCCAAACTATATACTGTATCCTGAAATATTATTTTCTAGCAGAAATCTATCCAGTTTGTTCTTGAAACAAATTACATTTTCTGCTTCCACTGTCTCCTGAGGGAGCCTATTCCATAAGTTTACTACTCGCTCACTGAAGTAGTGTTTCCGCAGATTTGTTCTGAATTTTAACCCCCTTCAATCGCAGGAAATGCCCTCTGGCTTTACTGTTCAGTACAAAATAAAACAGCTCATCATGGTCTACATTACCTATTCCCTTCAGAATCTTAAAGACCGTAATCATATCGCCCTCAACCTTCTCTTCTCCAGTGTGAACAAGCCCAGTTTATCTAATCGCATCTTGTAGTCCAGTCCCTCCATCCCCTCAATCATTTTGGTTGCCCTCCTCTGTATCCTCTCAATCACTGCAATATCCTTTTTATATTGAGGTGGACAGAACTGCACACAGTATTCGAAGTGCGGTCGCACCAGTGATTTATAAAATCAAAGCTACTGTTGAATATTTCTGCTGTGCGTCATTCAGTAAAGTAAGGATTTTTATTTCAAGGTATTCCTGAATTGTGCAGCACTTAATAATGTACCTCAGTCATCAGAATCAGTCCTCGATTGAATACAACCAGCAACCTGTCTTCGTCAGTTTCCAGGAGGATTCTGAAGGCACTAAAATAATAAAAAGGAAAATTCTTAAGTGAATATCGCAATTTCGGTGTGGGCGAGGACCCATGGCAATTGGTATCAAGCCGATGGGCTCATAATTAGTGGTTTATTTTCAGCTCACACTCTATTCCTTAGAATGACAAGAATCACCCACTAACTAACCAATTAAGATAACAATCACACAAGCTCGTGCTCCTGCAGATCATTCCACTCCCTCGTCAACCGAGAAAGCAATAGCTGCTTCAACTGGTCCACACCCTATGGCTCTGTGCCTGCCCCTCACTCCATCAATATATGCAGTCATAAATCCCATTTGTGTGGAAGGAATATTAGTCGGTGTGGGAAGAGATTGCACCTCCTTTCAAAAATGTATTAAGTTCCTCTATTCTTTCTTTGATCCTTGTAATATGTTGATTGCCAGCTCCATTGAATTTTCAGGTCTAATTTGTTTCATGAAATTACCTGCCTCTGATAAGCACTTTTAATATGTAAATATCGATAAGGAAATGAGTGTGAATCTTTTGAATGTAGTTGGATTTTTGACACAAGGGAAATAACCATCTCTCTGACTAATAGTGAGTGGTCGTTGCTTGATAAGTCTAGTTACAGCTGAGCATTGGACTCTGGCTTCAAAAGGAGCTTGATTAAACCTCCGCAAGGCATTACCATTTCTGATAGGATTTCCCAATAACTAATTGGTATCCTACCCCAATTTACTGGATGTGATTTAAATGCTTACAAGAAACATCTAAATTTACCTAATAAGTGTAGTCCAACAGGAGCGTCCGTCCAGACAGCGCAGGTAGCAGTTAATGGTGGTTTTCTTGAACTGTTTTATGTCCTCCAACTCCTCTTCCCTCATATCTGGCCTTTGAGCTACAAACAACTGCATAAGGTTGAACAGTTCTTCAACAGCCTGTATAATTCGGAAACAGAATGGCTAGTTTAGTGCATTTCAAATATTTACTAGATACTGAACAGAATTCAAAGCAAGAGTCCTAATAACCTAACTTTTATTCCACAGGAACTATCACCATTATAAAATTGCAGGATCACTCAACAACTGCATTGAAATGGTTTTCCCTACAGTACAATTTTTGTATTTTAGAATTTATATAACATTTCTAATATAATACATATAAAATACCCACCATCGGTGGTCAGGCTTTCAGCTTATCTGCCCTCACTCTTTGGAACTCCATCCCGGAGACCCTTTACCTCATCTCCTTCAAGGTGCATCTCAAGACCATCCTCTTTGACCTTGCCTTCGGTCATCTTTCCACTCCTCCATCGCCCATCCCTTCCTGAATCCACCTCCCAGGTAAGGTGCAAGCCCTCAACTGTCCAGCACCATAGAACACCCTCCCGACATGAAAGGCCCTAATATAAGTATAATATATATATATATATATAGATATATTAGTTAACTTAAGCACTGTTGCATTAGTTCCAACACTTACCCCTGGGTACTGACTAGCATGAGGTGTAAGATTTTTGAAAGCCCACTGAATATTCTGATGAGATGCGAGCTGGCGGGTAAAAGCAGGGGACTGTTCACAGCACAGACGTAAAATCCCATAATACGCAGGCAGCATCCCCCGGTTAAAAAGGACAACATCTTGATCATCGTGATCAGCTAATATGTAATTAAAAGCAATGTTTTTTGTCACCACCGGATTCTGCACAATGAAGCGGACATTCTCCGGGCAATCCACGCACACGTTGTACCAGAAGATGAGCAGTGCCTGCTTATTGTGGTTTGTTGCGATAGCGGGTTCAGACAGCTTAGGCTGGAAGAGGTTCCAGAGGTCCATGAAGTAACTAGAGAACATCAACTTCTCAGTCTTTGAGACCAAACAGTAGGTCATGAAGCTAAAGTAAGGAACTAGTTTAGTGGTGCCGTGGACAGCAGCGTCGACATACAGCTTGGCTCTTGAAAGTAGGCCCAGGAGGATATTGTAGACCTGGTGCAGGACAACAGTAGTGTCTGGACTAAGAGGCAAGTCTCGGGTGGGATTGTGCAATGACCGGGTGGATCGGAACATCTGACGAAAGGAATTACTTGGAATGAGAGACACCAAAAGGTAGGCTGCAGCTGTGTTGCGGGGGGGAAATGATATTGCAGTCAGCATAATGTACAACTCTGAACAATTGGAGATATTTTAAATGAAGAGTAAAAAAAACATTAAATATTCCATTAACATAAGTCATTTTGTTCAGTTATTTTATGTGGTTCATTTTAGTGGCATATCATTTTCAGGTAAATATTGACAACCCACAGAATCCGTAAACCCCACTTAAACGCAGGGTCCAGTTAGAGCAGAGAGGATAAACATCGCATATATATCTCTTCCTATAAAATGTCTGCGTGTGCATAAAACCCAAATACTGAAATATGATTAAAAGCTAAAGATGCTAGACACAAAACTTAAGGAATAACTGTCCTGGATGTGGCTTTCGTCATGTGGTGCAAAATACGCAGTCACAGATAAGCCTCCCACTGATTGCTCAGCTGATTAAGTCATCTCCTAAGTGAAAAACTGAACTATACAGACCAGAAAGGTACCAGTTCCCATTACTAAGAGGTGACTTAACTGAGGAGCAGCAGGAAAGGTCACCAAAATTGTCAACAGCAGAGGGTAAGGAGAGAAAAATAATTAGGGGTTCACAGTTCTCATTTATGATCCAGTGACAACTCCTGCAAACAATGGTCATTTGGGCAGAGTCCCAAAGGGTGGGTTGCACCTGGACTTCAGGAAGTATCAGACCCCTTTAGAAGAGGGAGAACAAAATGGTCTCAGTTGCGAAACTAAAACCATCCAAAAGGAACTAAAACCAAATCTGGCTGACCCAATGAACTGGATGATCTTTTTCTACCATTGGTCGCACCCCCCGACCACCCCTTTTCTCCCTGGCTTGGGATCAAACTGTTCAGTGCTCCGAGCCGTAACCCTGCATGATGGTACTTTATAAATCAAGTTGTAGTTTCTTGATTCAATGTTTAAGCTCATATAATATTTAAATATATATAATAAATTGCTATTTATTCAAAGAAAACTCAGTGTATTCAGGAACATGTTTTTTTAAAAAAGCAACAATTCTTCCCTCAACCCATCTTAAATCACCAAAACGTCTCTCAAAAAGAGTTTGTACCACAAAGTAACTTTCAACCACACTTTTTTTAAAAAAAATAAAGGCAATTTTGCTGTCACTCGCTGTATGCAGGTAACTTACATGTTCGGACTCGAGGATAGTTGTGTGCCAGCAGAAAGCGCTCCACCCAGTTCTCCATGTTTTGAAGCACCCAGCTATGAGCTAATTTATTACGTGGTGTTTGCATTGCCAACCAGTCCAAACATTGTGAAGGATTGTATTCGATTACCTGAGCAAAAGCAAGGAAGGACAGAAATACTAGCGTAAACTAAAATCATTTCAGAATTCACATATATTTGCATTTCAAATCATATTTCAATTGGAAGCAACAAATATATAATGAGCATGCACGGTTACCTTTCTTGCATCCAATAAAATCAATGCTCCAAATTCACCCCGAGTTAAAAGTTTTCTTTGCTTTCAAAGCCTACCTCCGTGAACCCTAATCTCATACTGGCCTTTGCACTCCCTCCGCTCGGAGGACGATGGCCTGCTCCATGTCCCCCCCAGCCGGCCCGCCTCACCATCACCAGTCAGGCCTTCAGTCTCTCTACCCGCACCTTTTGGAATTCCATCCATGTGTCCCTTCGACTCGGCCCCTCCTTTGCCTCCTTCAAGACCCTCCTCTTTGACCGCGCCTTCTGTTACCCTCCCTTCCCTCCACCCATCCTGATCCCAACCCCCATCTTAGGTCAATTCCTTGTCTGTTCAGCGCTTTGGGACGTCTTTCATTATGAAAGGTGCTAAACAAATGTAATTTGTGCTTCTTTTCCCAAGTACATTAAAATGTAACCATTGTTTAGATTATACCAGATTGAAAATGCGTGTGTACCTCCCATATTCTCTGCAGAATGTAAGAGGCAAATGGTGGCATTCCAGGTGGTCCACCAGCAAACTCCATCAACATGGACAGCAGCTTAAAGAATGGTTGTGCAGCCTGGAACAATAAAATATATGGTTTTACAGACTAATAATCTTTACATCAGCCGATAATGACCAAAAGCTGTACACACATCTTTTTGTTTCAAGGTTCCATTCTATACCCCAGGAGCAATGTTCATTTCTACTTGGCTGCTCTTCTCTTCACGGATAACCTTCAATAATTCTCAACTCTGCAGTAATGAAGCAATCCATTTAGTCAGGGGCAGGGTGGAAGAATTGTTCTCCTGTAACTGTCCACAGTTATGAGGACTACAGCCTAGATCATCTTCCCTCTCCCAATACAATAAACCTTCAAAACAAATTATAATAATTTGTGTATCACCCTGGCTCAGTTGGTAACGCTCTCATCTGAGTTAGAAGATTGTTGGTTCACGACCCACATCGGAATTTGAACTCAAAAAAAGTGTGGTTGAAGATTACTTTGTGGTACACAAAGTAACTCACACTCCAACTCAGTGCTGGTGATGTGCTGTATTGTTGGGAGGTGCCGTCCTTCAGAATGTGATGCTAAACCAAGATGCCATCTGTCAGTTCAGGTGGATGCTAAAAGATCCCATGACAGTATTCAAAAGGGAGTTTCCCCCAGTATCCTGGCCAACTGTACCCAGATAAAATTGGTCATTCACTTCATGTTAGTTTGTAAAATGTTGTAAGGTGCAACTTGGCCACATTCGCCTACAAAATACTCAGATACTAAACTTTACAATAGCTTTGAGACGTCCTCCCAACATGAAAATCTTTAATTTCTGCCTATCCCTCTTTCCAGCTTTGTCTACAGAATAGAAAAGATGCAGCGTAGGTTTATTGGGATATTCTTAGGAATGAAGTGTTTTCAGTAATGGAGACTTGAGAAGTTTGAGTTCTTAGGTCTAGTACTGAGGTCATTTCTATTCTTTCAAACTGTAATTTGTTTTATAATGGGAAAGGGTAAATTGTCTAAGCTGTAGACTTCATAACTATGGACAGATTTTTGTAGCCTTCATAACTGTGGGTAGCTGGTAGACTTGGCTTCTGTACAAGATGAATTCTTTCACCTTACCTTTGACTAAAAGGATTGCTTCAAGAGTGATCTGATAAACGTCTTAAGTTATGATAGGGTTAATAGTAATATATCATCCGGTCAAAAACTAGATTTAAGATAATCACAATATTAATGTAAGGGGAGGTTAGAAAATATCCTTACACACTGGTTAATAGAATAAGGAATTCTTTGCCACAGAAATAGTTGAGGCAGAGTCTGTAATTCGTTTTAAAAATGTATTGGATACATTATTGAAGATGAGAGACACTGAAGAGTATGGGAGCCAGTGGGATTAATTTATGTGAAGCAAAACACCAGACTTGACTGGTTGCATGGCCCGTTTCTGTGCTAAAATTTTATGAATCTATGTTGAGGTAGGTCACTGAAACAACTTTGTTGACTTTGTACCAACAACAACAAGATTACATTTGTATAGCGCCTTTCACGTCGGAAGGACGTCGCAAGGCGCTGGACAGAGTACAGCATATCAGACCCGAGCTGGGGTTGGGGGATTAAGGCAGGGGCGGGAAGGGGGGTGACCGATGGCATGGTCGAAGAGGAGGGTCTCGAGGCAGGACTTGAAGGAGGCTAAGGAGGGGGCGAGGCAGAGTGACTGAGGGATGGAATTCCAGAGGTTGGGGGCAGAGTGGCTGAAGGCTCTCCTGCCAATGGTGGGGCGGGTGGGTCGGGGGATGTGGAACAGGCCAGAGCAGGCTGAGCAGAGGGAATGGGCGGATTGGTTGGGGGTTAGGAGGTCGCAGAAGTGGGGTGGGGCGAAGCCATGGAGGGCTTTGTAGGTGAGGACCAGGATCTTGAACTGGATCCTCTGAAGGATAGGGAGCCAGTGGAGTCGGGCGAGAGTGGGGGAGATGGGGTCACAGAGTTTGGTGCGGAAGAGGACACGGGCTGCAGAGTTCTGGATTATCTGCAGCCTGTGGAGGAAGGAGTTGGGAAGGACGACAAGCAGGGCCTTTGCATAGTCGAGCCTGGAGATGATGAAGGCATGAACAAGAGTTTCAGCGGCCTGAGGGGTGAGGTAGTGGCGGAGTCGGGCGATGTTACGGAGGTGAGGGAAGGCAGAGCGGGTCATGGCTTGAATGTGAGGGAGAAAAGACAGTTGAGGGTCGAACAAGACACCTAGGTTCCTGACTGGTTTGGTGAGTTGTAGTGTGCAACCATGGAGTCAGTTTCACACATTCATTATATGCCACAACATTACCATAGCCTGTGAAGCAAAATATCTGGCCCACTAAAATTATTTATTTTCACATTATATATAGTCTGGATTTGAAACAAAGACGGTCGTCAAATATTCCATTATCCCTATCCCCTTAGAGATGTTACGAAGTAAGTTATTATACAATATGATCCATATTTTAGTCAAGGCCACAAGAAAAATCAGTAATAAGACTGTGACTCAAACGTCAATTGTATACAATAACACAGGACATACCTCTGGCGTCAGTTTTGCTATGGATGTGAACAGCATGGACACAATCTAAAATGTAAAAATCATTGTTAAAACATAGGCTTTTTTGTAGAGTGGGGGTGGGAGCAGGGGGGATCCAAGATACAATAAAACAACAACAACAGGATTCCATTTATAAAGCGCCTTTCACGTCAGGAGGATATCCCAAGGCGCTGCACAGTTGGGTCAGGACCCGAGCAGGGGGAAATGGTCAGGGTGAGGGGAGGGAAGGGAGGGAGCGAGGAGGGGCGAAATGGTCAGGGTGAGGGGAGGGAAGGGAGGGAAGGAGCAAGGAGGGGGAAGAGAGTCGAGAGGGGAACTGAAGGCTCGGTCAAAGAGAAAGGTTTTGAGACCAATGTTGCATTCTACGAAAAGTGAACGTTACGTACGTGTTCTGCAAGACGGTTATTATAACGGCAGAGGCTGAAGATCAAGTTGCAGGTCTGGCGGATGTTAATACCGTCACGGATATGTTGGAACAAAAATGGAAAACCCTGAAACGAGAAAAGAAAAAGTGCTGCAGTAAGTTTTAAGAATGCTGGCAAATAATAATCCTCGCATTTGATATAGCGCCTTAACACGTCTTCTATACACCTCAAAGTGCTTCATAGAAAATACTGTAAAGTTAATTGACTGTATATTTTGTGGGTGAAACTCGGCAGCCAATTGCGCACAGCAGTGTCCCACAAATAGTCATGGAATGAGTGACCAATTTTTTTTTTTTTTGAAGGAATTATTATCCCCGGAAAAGCGATCTGCCCATCGACGTACCAGAAAAAAAAACTCTGAATCACTGAGGAAAACATGTAAAACACACATCCTAAATATTGTTAACCCCCTCCCTTCCCAAACACTTATTTTCTCAACAGAATTGCTTGAAAATGGACTAAGAAACAAAACAGAAAATACACTAAAATTTAAAACATGAAATTCTCACTAAAGAGATTAGCTGCCTTCAGCAGTCTTGCATGTTCTTAGTGTGTGTGATACTAGGGCATTTTAAAGCATGTCAAAGTTTAATCCACTTTAGTACAAATGAGGGCACAATGATTAAATAGTTTATATATGATAGTGAATCCCACTGAAACACATCACAAGACGATACTAAATAGGATTTCATCTGATAAGATATTTCCCCTTTTGACAGTAAAGAAAGGTAAGAAATAATTGCCCAGAACCTACTTTCTGCCACTTGTTGATATCTCTATTTTTCAGAGGATGCTGCAGAAATCTAGAACATGTTACTGTAATAGGTTCTACGCTAATTCTTAAATATCAAAGCACGTGGAAGTGAATGTTAAGTCTCAAAACCAGCTAATATTTATTTGCATGAAGCACTGGAAGAGTTGAGACTTTAATTTACAAACATGAATCAGACTACTTAGTGATAATGAATATCCAGTTAATGCATCAAAGGAAAGGGGTGATGTGTTAAGTGAGTCTATCAATTCTACTCTGAACTGGATTTCCCTTAGCTGCTTTTTACACCAGTGTGAAACTGCATCTCAAGGCTCACCACAAATCGTACCGACAACATAAGAGGACACAACTCACTAAATAACTAATATAATATAGTGGATCCCACTTAACGATGTCACAAGGCTACACTGAAGAGGTATTGATCAAATGTGATTAGCGGATTCTGTCAAGAACATTCAAGTCACTGCAGAAGTGAGTTGGGGAAGGGGCAATGCTGGTATTTCACAGGCAAAATGACCTGCAATAGCTATAGGAAAACAGGACACAGATAGTGCACAGAGGAAAACTATAAGGAACTGAAGGAAAAATCTTGGAAGACTAAAATAACTAATATTGCATTAAATTACTTTTTCTAAAACACATCACTGTGTAAAAAACAAAAGTGTTATTGAAATATTTCATGGTTTCCACGCTTTTTCTTGGTGAGTTTGGAATTGTGTATATATACACAGCTATACACACAGTGGAAGAGTCTAGAAAAAAGTCCATGAAAATAAGAGAATATGGTAAAAAAAGAACAGCTAAATACCAGGAATATCTGTTAAACTATATGTTTCAGTGCCTCCTGTCAACGATGGGTCAGATTTGTTAGCAAGTCTAAACGCTGCAGAGCTTCAACTTAAATTGGTCGCCTTAGATGGACAACCATTTATTTCAGCCAAGCAGTTAAGAGTCTTACTGATTTTTGGATAGAGAAGTGTGGCCCAGAGAAGATAGAGGCACTATTGTGGGATTCTAACTGGGGACAAAGCAGATTTTAAATTACCCAATAGTGTCATCTTATGTTTGTCGAAGGCAGACAGTTATACAAATCTTGATCTACATGAAGATTAGAATCTCGTTGTAATCCTATACCTTCTCAGATATCATACACATGGATTTCTAAAAGAAAAATAAATATATATCACCAGTTCTGTGTCTATTGACGATACCTTGCCTCCTGTCAAGGCAGCCATGTCATTCTGTGACAATGTAAGATGCCTATTGAAAACAAAAGTTTTAAAAATAATTAACAATAATGACTAAAACACTTAGGGCTAGATCCTGGATGTCATGATTGGAATATTAAAAACTACATTCGTCCACCATGACAATAAGGTTCTTAGTTGTCTGTTTAATAAAATATTCAGCAACAATGATGCTCAAATTATTCCTTTTTTTAAAAAAAAAATTTTGCTCATGTATTGCCAGCCTACATAGATTTACAGATTCTTGTAACATTTAGCCCCAAGGTTTCTCTTAGCTATTTATGGATATTACACCTGGTCAGAATGTAGTGTGTTCTCTTCTTCCCATCGTACCATTTTAATATATATATTTATATATATATATTGGTAACTGTGCAGCACGGCAGCCCATTATAGTTCTGGCTTACAGGCTTGTGATCATGACTAACGTGCCTTGAATTACTGTGGGTTTGTCTAATTTTCCAAAGCATATCTTCTTAGCCAATTCAGTCCCAAGGTGACTCAGTTCATCTTCTCTCTTCCCCCTCTTTTTTTCCTTCCCCCTTTTCCACACAGAATATTTAAAGGAAAAATACTAATTTAATGGACCTAAAAAGGGTGAACGGTTATTGTGTGGTCGGATAGATAAGGAGTTAAAAGCTGAACATAAAAAAAAGGAATTGTCCAAATAAATTAAACTAGAACATTATTTTAGAAACCTGTACGAGTAAAACCAACTAAATGTGCTAACATGTTTGCTGAGCTCTTGGGAAATCTAAAGCTTTTCCCACAAAGTACAGCATTTTTCTTCCCTCCATCTCAATTTTTACCTGGATTCAATGAATCCTTTTTTAAAAAATTCTAAAAACAAAGAACCTTATTTATGAATGAGGTCATAACAAAAGTAGCTAACAAAAATGACAAATTTAATCCAGATCACATGAAAACAAGTGATAAGCATATATTCAGGTCTACTGCATTTTATAAAACTTACTGTTTTAATATTTCATTACAAGTCAAATACATTGCCATTAGGTTTGAAATTTATTTGAACTCAACTCTGCTGATAATGATTATTTTAGAAAATGTATAAATTAAATATTTTACTAAAAAAATCAAGTGGCTACATGCAGAAGTGATAAATAATACGAGTTATCTGAAAGCTAATTAAGTAGGTACAAAAATTGCATCCCTAATTTTATTCTGTAACACGTGTAAGCCTTACCTTTCAGAACGAGACTGTTCTACTAAAAGTGCAATCAAGGCAATCATCTTCTCTAATGCTGCAGGTCGGTACTTCTCCTCTGTTAAAGATAAGATGTCCTCCTCCTCCTCTTCCTCCTCACCTTCTTCTTCAGACAATACTTCGACCTGTGGCTGGGGAAACTGCTATAAATGAATATACAAAATATCTGTTACCTAACTTCAGTCACCAGCTTCCATTTCATAACCTTACATGTATATTTTCAGTCTGACAAGCATCATTACTTTATTCGTCTATCATGGAGCAAGCCATTCAATTGACAAATTTCTATGTTTCTGCATTTTTTTACGCTTTAAAGACTATAGTCGACGATTTGGCACTGTATTAAAAAGCAATCGAACTTAGCATTTAGCTAAAAATATTTGGAAGTATCTCTCAGATTTAGGACTGTGCAAAATTCAAAGATTTACACCTCTTCTACAGTAAACTCCTGATAACTCATCACTCCTAGGGAAAGCGGCTCAGTTATCTGGAGCGGCGAGTTAGACATATGTACAAATACATAAATAAATGCAGCCGCGATATTAACAGCATGATGACTTAAGTGGTAGTGGCGTGTTAAGCCAGGGTCGAGTTATCAGAGTTTACTGTATTTTCAAATCAATTCAAATTATTGCAAGTTACAATAAAACATTAGTGAGACAGTTTGGAAAACTTCACAATCTACAAGAAGGGCAATTTCAAAAGGTAACATTGAGAAACTTTGCAGGGAATGCACTTACATTTTCTGGACCTTTTGTTCCCATGTAAAAATGCACCATTGTCGATATGGCTTGTAGTGACAAAAGAAACTGACTCTAGAACAATGAAATGCCATAATTAATAAAGTCTGGCACAAAGGTGGGAGATTATCAATTTCCCATGCCGAACAGATTGATTGATTTCAAGATCCTCACACTCCTTTGCAAATCCCTTCATGCCCTGGCACCTGCCTACCTTCCAACCTGCTTACCACCCAACCCACTACCCGCTGCCTCTACTCGACTCGCTCCAGCCTTCTGCATGTCCCACGTGCCCTCCGTTCCACCAGCGGTGGCCGCACTTTCAACCACTACGCCCCCAACACTCTTCCTCTATCGCTCCATCTTGCCACCTCCTTCTTATCTGCAGGTTGCGTTTGAAGACCTTTCTCTTCAACTGTGCATACGGTCACTTCCCCCTAACCCCGGCGTCGTGCTCCGACACTGTCAAGCGCTCTGGGACGCTACCCTGCCTGAAGGGTGCTATATAAATGCAAGTTCTGTTGTATTATTGTACTTTACATCCTCTCCTCTTCCCCCCTCCCCCAACTACACAGTTTAAAACATATCCAAAACATATATGGAGAGACTATAAGAGGCTGGGATTATTCTCCTTAGAGCAGTGAAGATCGAGGGGAGATTTAATAGAGGTGTTCAAAATTATGAGGGTTTTGAGAGAGTAGATAGGGAGAAACTGTTTCCTCTGATGCGTGGGGTCAGTAACCAGAGGGCACAGATTTAAGATAATTGGCAAAAGAACCAGATGGGAGACGTGGAAAATTTTCTTTACCCGCAGAATTGTTACTATTTGGAATGCACAGCCTGAAAGGGTAATGGAAGCAGATTCAATAGTAGCGTTGAAAAGCGAATTGGATAGGTACTTAAAAAGGAAAAAATTGGAGGGCTATGGGGTAAGAGCTGGGGAATGGGACTAGCTAGACAGCTCTTTCAAAGAGACAGCACAGGCATGATGGGCCGAATGACCTCTTTCTGTACTGTAAGATTCTATGATCCCTTTACTTACCTCTTCCTCTCCCATTTTTGCAAACTCAAACAAGAATGCAAAATATTCTGTGAGATGTTTGCTGTGAGGCTTTACTCCATGCTCCATAATAGACAGTAATGTCTTCACAAACCGTGTTACACATGAACGACTTCCTATATCTTCTACGGGACCATCCATATCATCAGAACTACAAAAGCAGACATTGAGGCATATTACGTACAAAATTTAGATCATCAGCTAGTGGATGGACTAAATGTGTTAACCATAGTACAAAATAGATTCAAAAGAATCCCATGCAACAAGTTAACCTGAAACATTCTATAAGTTTGACTGATTTGTTAAGTTTAAAACTCGATGATTGACTTTTGTCCCTAACCACATCGGGATTTTTAAAACATAAAATAGAAACGCCCTAATCTACATTATGAGCTTTGAATTTGAAGTACTGGGGAGTACAAGTAATTCACGATTTAAGTCTGCCATAATGGTACAGATCTATTGCCATTTTATATATTGTGTTTTGCCACAAAATACACAGTCAATCCACTTTACAGTATATTCTGTGAAGCGCTTTAAGACGTTTCAACAACGTGATAAGGCGCTATATCAAATGCATGAATTATTATTATTATTATTATGATTATTAACTTCTCAGGATTACTCAGTTCTGGAAGCAAAGAACACAGATATTGCAAACAAATTCTGCATGCCACAGAAAAAAGTGTCAGTCATGTAACTAAGGCACACCAAAAAAAAACGGAAAGTTGGACTTGTTCTCATTAAAACAAAAGATTGTGTGGGATTAACATGATCCAGGCGTTTAACATGTCAAGGGGCTACAAGTTCGATAACAAATAATCTGTGTTTTATTAAAAGCTTTCAGAAGCGTAGTGATTTGGTCATTTACCCGTCTTCCATTCCTGGCTGAAGGTAGAGATGTGCATGCACTGGTCGGAGCCTCTGAATTACGTGAATACATAAGCGCTGGAACATCTGTAGAGCCCAAAGTAAAGTGTAAGAGAAGAATTTTAAAATCGCAGTTTTGTTTGTGTGAATTCCTAAACTTGATCCAAGCAATTCATTCAAAAGTACAGTAATTCACAAAGTTAGAATGCCACAAAATAATTCACTTTAGACACGCTTATACAGTACAATGTTCACAAATGAAATAATAATTACAAGTACCGAGATAAAGCACTTCATACCTGTCTTACAATCTGATTTGGACACTTAATGAGGATTTGCATTGGCCACCAGTCATCATCTGCCATTCGATCCAAAAACCACTGTACAGACAGAATATGGAATTAACCATTTTGAATTCCATGACTCCAAAATAGCCATTAATTACTTCATTATCCACAACTTTATCACCAGTTTCATTGTTAGCAGAAAGTATTACTGACCATTCAAATCTTCTGATCAATTAAACATTTCTGAAGACTAACGGAAATTACATTTCTTTACCAACTACCTAAGTGTGTTAATAAATAGTGCAGCTGTTTAATAATTAGATTTTTTGTCGCCACAAGCAGAGCGTGTACTTAAGCATATCTCAAAGCGTGAAAAGACACAAGGTAAGAGAAGTGAGTGAGCCCGAAAGAAACCAATGGAATGGTGGAGTTATATAACACAGAAAAAGGCAATTGATGCTTTTCAGTGTCTTAAAGGGACAGCATCCCACAATGTCTCTGCAGTATCTCACACTGATGTCTTGAGGAATATTCTTGAGGGGTACGTGAAACATAACAAATGAAGAAGAATCACTGAATGAAGCCCGGTCGGTCTTCAATACCCTTACTGCACAATGACTATACTTTTTAATTATAGGTAAAGGATCACTTAAAACTCTGTTATACCAGAAGTGTTTTTTTTCTATTTCCACTTCATAAAGTGTTCTAATTTTCACTTCTAAAATTTTTAAATCCCCAAAACGAATGCGTGCAGGAAGAGATTTTAAAATATCACAAAGTAAGATTATGACAAGATATTCAGGAGTTCCGCCCACCCTCCGAACCCCAACAACATTGACTTTTTCAAAACGGTACAACTCAATTTTGCTTTGCTGTCATACAAATTAAAAAATGAATGAGATCTGTGCAAATACATATGTTAGTATTATCCCGTTGGTCATTCAGAGACTTGCCATAAGAAATGGAGAAAATGAATGTCACAACAGTGTGACATGCAAAGAAAAAAAAGTTAATTATGAAAATAAGCTAGCAGGACTTCGAAAGTAAAAAAGTAAACTTTTTTTTGAAAAAGTCTTCCTCTTAAGAAATTAAATCATTCTGTTACTACTGGTTTAATTCACCCACACTGTGTTATGTTCCTGAAATGGATTCAGGCCCATGATCAGCAGCACCGTAACCAACATATGACGATATTGAGGGTCGTGTGGCTCCTTACCTCACATGCTGCCTGGCTGTTGTTGAACTGTTTTGTTAAAAGCTCGATCCACTGCAACATGGTGGGCTATCAAAATAAACACACAAAACAACCTTGTGAACCGTAAAACCACATAACATGGCGCCTATCAACTTGGTGCTATTCTGGAAAGAAAAAAAAATCTTTCAAATTATAACTCAGGTAATCAGGTTCACCCCCGCCCACTTATACCCCAATTCTGTTATTTTCCTAAATATGATATTGAAGGATAAATGTTGACAGAGCAGCAGATTTAATTGGGCTTACCTTTTCCTTGGAATGGATAAATGTTTCCAGGACAAAAGAGGTACTCAGCTGCAATCAAGGGGACATTTAAAGTCAGCAAACATGTCATATCGTACACAATTTCATCAAAACAAAATTCCGAAGAAGATAAACTCTCTTAGGTTTTGCTTGTGATGATCAACTACAGAGCTCGCAAAATGGGTGTTGCAAATAATATTACACTTTACAGTAAATCCTGTGAAGCGCTTTGAGATTGCTCATGGAGTGATAACCCACTACATCAAATACAATTTTATTATTATCATTAGATAAAGTCCTCACCTTCGCAGTCATTAGCGATACTGCTTTTGGATCCGGTAATGTGCTTGGGATGCTGCTACACAACTGCCACATAAATCTAAAGTTGAAAATGCAAACATATTTTATTTATGAGACACTGTTAGAACTCCATAGATTTTTTTTTGTACCTTCAGTGTGATCAAGTAGAAATGGGACTGCAGTACTAAGTTTTGGTTCATCCTCACTCACCCAAAGTAGGTATGCTCAAAGATGTTCTTGTCCTGAAGAAATTGCATGTTGTCATGCCAGATCCACTGCAATAAGCAAAAACATAAAACCATCATTAAGCATGCTGGACGGGGCACGGGGAAGAGAAAAAATAGAATGGATCGTGAAAATGTTTCTGTGCAACTGAGAATAAACTACTATTTTTAAGATTTTTGTTCATTTTTTGATATTTTTAACCAGTTCTTTAAATGTCAGTAAGATTAACAGTTAACTGAATGTTTCCTTAACTTTGCTACATCGGTTTATTTCCTTGTCCTGGATCTTCGATTGGTAGTTAGTCAAAATAAACTGCTTCCCACATGGCATAAATGTAGTGAGAGTAAGTCACCGTGTCATACAACAGTGTGAAATAAACAGTAGTTTTTTTGTAATCTATCGTTTTTAAAATAAATCAGGTTATTAAAGATGTAATACCTCCAAAAGTTCTGGAGAAACATCAAAGTTATACTCCTTCCCATTTTCTTCCTCCATTTCCACACGTTTGTAGAACAGCATGTAGGCACTGTGTGTCTAAAGTCAAAGTACTGCATCAGCAAACGTGAATCTCCAACATTAGTGAAAATATAAAACTACTGCCTGATGGGTTATCACTGAATCAAGGCCATCCGTTTTCTTAAATAATGCAAGAGTTGTTTTTTAAAATTTAAGAGTAAACCCAGGTAACGAATAGGAAGAATAACTCGTCAATGTTTCATCAAAAGAAAGTATTCTTCCCTCCCTCACTATCTTTCCCCTCCATCTGAAGGGTGATGATTATCCCTTCAAAAAAATAAAAAAATAATAATTTGGTCACTCAATCCACAACTTTGTGGGATACTGCTGTGTGCAAATGTGACGAATTTCGCCTACAAAATATACACTTTACAGTATATTCTGTGTAGCGCTTGTGATTATTAATATTATTATTATCTCTCCTAAAGCCATCGACACGAGTGCATGGTTCCTGACATGTCAGTAATCAATATGTACCTCATTTAAGCAGCCACTCTTGACATGCAAGTCTGAACAATATCAGTTATATTATTTGACCATGAAAGGGAAGAGGGTTGAATGAGGACCTGTTTAATAGACAATATAAACTAACTATTGCCACTTTTATATCTGATGAAGATGCATGTACGATAAACAAAGCTTTCCTTTATCCAATAATTAAGATTCATTCACGTAATCTGCAATCACTTGAGAAAGTGGCCGATAGATATCATTACTTTGCAATAGGACTGTTGCGACAGTAATAATAATTATATTATTAATTATAATAATAATTTTAATAATAATAATTTTGTATGCACCAGAACACAAAATAAGAAGTATCCATTCTTTCCCCTCTCCATCACTCCTATACTTAGCTCAGTTACACAGTTGGAGAAAAATTATTCAGGTAACTGGAAAAAATTAGAAACATTTTAAGATTGAACTGAAAGATACAATATGGAATCCTTCTGACTAGCTCCAAAAATAATTACCTTTTCAAAGGAGAAATCCATGAATTTGTCTGTGACAGAATCATATGTCTTCGTCTGTATATAAAAAAACACAGAAATTATGTACTTGTAGGATTCTATATCCTGGAAGCAGATACTAACCTTGTCTTGTTACACGTACAAAATCCCAGAATGCTAACGGCTTCTGTTAACATCAGTTATGGAAAAGCAAATCAACCAGAATTAAAAACGTTCAAGGTACCAACCAGGTTTGCACCTGTGATTTCTCAAATCCTGATCAAATCAAATGATGGCGGTCGTGGTATTGACCAGAGGTATTTGCTTAGAGGGATGGAAGTAAAAAGCAACACCAGCTCTCATACATTTTCTGACACTGGTCACAAAGCCTGGGAATAAGCTTCCTTACAATTTACCAGGCAGCTTCACATGCCCCCGCCCCATCATCAATGGTCAGTCTTTCAGCACATCTTCACCTACTCTCTGGAACTCCATCCTGGAGTCCCTTAGTCCCTTCAACTCACCCCTTGCCTCACCACCTTCAAGGTCCGTCTCAAGACCTTTATACTTGACTGGCTATTGGCCACCTTTCACCCCACCCCTACCCTCCAGCCTCAGCTCGGGTGCAAACCCTGAACTGTCCAGCACCTTGGGACGTCGTCTCGAAGTGAAAGGTGCTATATAAATGTAAATTTGTTTTGAGTATTGCCCACAAAATACACAGTTAATCCACTTTACAATATATTCTGCGAAGCGCTTTGAGACGTCTCAATGGCATGATAAAGCTCTATATCAAATGCAAAGATTATTATTATTGTATTGTAATAGTGCCTGGGGTATGGTTAGAAGGAATTTTGGTACTAGGAGGGTTGTTATGTCTAAAATTCATTGCAAAAAGCGATTATTGAAGCAGAATCAATAACATCATTTAAATGGGATCTGTGTAAGCACCAGAGAAGTAAAATGTTAAACGTAAATGAAGATAGACCTGGAAAGTGAGATTAATAAAAAAAGGTATTAAAAACGGAGATAGCAATGGCACAGACATGGTGGGCTGAATGGTTTCTATGCTAAAAAAAAAGGTTTCTATGTGGGTTAGAGGAAGGAGGCAAAAACAAGGAGACAAATTATCTTGCAGGTAGGAAATATTATTGGCACAAAATAGTTAACAGTTCCACCACCTCAAATTTCCAAAGGTATGAGTAGAATGATAGCTGATTTGCCGGAAGTGTTCAGGCATTCGAGAACACAATTATTGGACAGTGAAACACCAGAGACCCAAGCCCAAAGGTAAGGCCAGATGCAATTTTCCAAATAAAGACATTTCCCCAATGTCCATATTGCTGCAAATTGACTTGGCTAAAACCAGAATGCACTTAAGGAGAGATTTTGCTTATTTTCACAGTAAGCGGGAGTGATTTCTGATAGCACGTCCTCAGCAATGAGCTAAGTTTATGTAGATTGTGCAGCACGGAAATAGGCCATTTGGCCCAACTAGTCCGTGCCAGTTATGAAAAGTTAATCAACCTGACAAAGGTTTCCACAAGCACACCCCTGATTAACGTACCAATGTTAAACTACTTTAGCATATGGCAACACTGGGTGGAATGTGGGACAGGGTGGATGGACAATTTGAAACATCGAGCCCTACTGGTACCATTCACAAGTAAATCTCTTTCACAATATTTTACAAATACAACATTTTTTTGTTATATACAATATAAAAAAGGGGAAAATCACCAAACATTCTAATATTAGCATCTTCTTTCACCCCAAAGTGTTTTGCATCAGAGAGAAAATAACCCCCATTGCTGAAGTCGTAAATTTGTTTCTTTATTCCTTTCAACCTTTATTTACTCTGACTTGCTTGTGCATCTAGGGAGAGTACTCTGTGCTCACTTTTAGGCTGCTAGAACATCTTTTTCCTACTAGGAATTGTGTGTAAATTATGCCACCAAGGACTCACACTTTTCTGTGTAAAGTCCTCAATATCATCCATTTAAATCGCAAAATGAATGTTCTGGAGGCACACTTTACACAGCTACAGAACATTCTCAATCACAGAAATTACTTACAATTCTTAGCTGGAAAGAGATGTCATGGCAACTCAGGTGGCCTAAATAAGTGAGCAGAGGAATAAAACATGCTGAGAAACATTGGCAGTTATTAACTTGAGAGCGCAGTGAACAAATGCAACAAAAAGGAATAACTTCACCGCTTATATTTACAACCCCTTTAAGTTGAATATTTAAAGACTTACGGTCATTTCTCCACCAAAGCATTCAGAGGCAAGTTGAGCAGAATCAAAGGGTTTGACTTCAGCATCATTAAACAGAAACCTAAACAAAGTGACAAAATAGGTAAGACAAACAGTACTGTACACACTTGTTTAAAAGGATTTTCAATAGGGCTATATACTGATGTTTAAGATAATTATATATATATAGCTATATTCTTTAGCAGTTCTTTAAATGATTCTATCAATATCACATTTCATGGATGTGAAATCACCTTTGAACATAAATTATGCTTTTCACGTTTTTAATAACTGTCGAATAAACATAGAACCGGATATTAATGGAGATGAATATTCAGCATTTTTGTTGGTTTTATAACTAGCTCAGACAGTATTCTTTTGAAAAAGCATTAATCAACTCTATAAATTACCATTTGTTGTTTCTGTAAGCATGTGGATTAACGATATCTCTGATGAAACTATAGTAATGCCCTCCATCTGCTGTCCCCGTGTGAACAGTTACTCCTATCAAGTCATACTCAAAACTTTCGGTTTGTTTTTCTTCACCATCATCTTTCAAACCTAAAGTGACAAACACAAACAGCTCATGTGGTTTCTTTAAATCACACAATTTACCAGTTAACTTTGTTTTCATAATGTATTTAGTTATGTAACTTACTATATGTTGTGGGTGGGGATATTCTCTTTCAAAACATATATCTGTCATTGTAACTATATACATTTATACAAGTACCTGGTATTAATTATGCTTATGGTTAATGTCTTCACTTTCCTATTCAGCTCGTCTGATAAAGTAGGTCACCGAGCAGCTCCACCCACCTCTGAGCAGCTCAATACATCCCCAAGCAGTTCCATATACTTTAATTATTCTTAGGTCTGGTCTGATCTTGAAATCCCTGTCCCTGGTGGGGAGGGGGGGACCTAGTGCAGGCCGGCTACTGCATATACTCAGCTTGTAAAGGACTATCCATACTCAAATAGATCAGACACCAGGTTGGTCCAAAGCCCCAGCTCCCATTAAAGTTACCAAAGCTGTTCCAGGACACGTTGGGAGTCTCCAATCCCCCTTGAATCTGCATCATCAGAGGGGTTAAGAGAAGTAGTGACATTAAATGAATAGTGTAAATAGTGAATCACTATCAGGCCAAAATCGAAGAGTAAAATCAATGTAATGTAGAAAGCAAATAAATCCACTTTACCATGCCATGGAAGGCAGAGTGGGGCGTGGGGTTACAAGAGAGTGGGAGAGAGGGGTGGGGAGAGAGGCAAGTAGTGGGTGGTATAATAATGAAATAAACAGTCAATTCACTTTACAGTATATTCTGTGAAGCGCTTTGAGATGTCTTGTAGACGTGATAAGGCGCTATATCAAATGCATGGATTATTATTATAATATATTGTGGAGTCCTTTAGCTCAGTGGTTAGAGCACTCACTTTGCAAGCGAGAGACCTGAGTTCAATTCCAGGCAGCGCGAAACCTTGGGCAAGTTTCCTTACTCCATACAGAGCCTGATAATAATCCCTCCAAAACCAAAACCAATAATAAATTGGTCATTTTCAATCTACAACTGTTTGTGGGACATTGCTGTGCGCAATTGGCTGCTGTGTTCGCCCACAAATATACAGTCAATTCACTTTACAGTATATTCTGTGAAGTGCTTTGGGACGTCCTCTCGACGTGAAAAGCGTTATATCAAATGCAAGGATTATTGTTATTATTATAATGAGTTATGTTATCTGGATTTAGGACCAGTATAGACTGAAAGGATGAAGTCCCTTTCTTTCTGCTGATTTTAAGGGTCCAAAGTGAATTAAAGTTAGGCAGTCTCAGTCCAGTTGAGAGATCACCGTACAAAAAGTCTTCTCGTATTTGGAAATAATTTGCAATCTCACGGAGACAGGGGGCTGGTGTGGGAAGTGGAGAATATCACAATGGTGTATTGGAGATGCTCTAAAGGTTGCAGCTGGAATATCCTGTTGGGGCAGATAGAATGTTGCTCTGCATCTAAATGGTGCTACACCTGACCCTCGGAGTGCCTGACCCTGACACTGAATGGAAAAGTCTTCCATTTCCCAGTAATGAGGTTGTTTACCTTGATGAGCACCAAAACACGTCAGTATGAAATAACCCATTCATGTGCTATAGAGTTGTTAGGATCAATACAAAACTAGCCATTGTAATCAGACAATCAATATCTTATGCTTTCACCTCTCTTTTGACAAAATATTTTTTGTCTCCAAACAGTCTATAAATACAATACGAGTATCACTGAACTGATTAACGATTTGGGAGATGTTCTGGTTTGAAGCCAAAGAAAACAATATCATGTCTTATTCTAGCTTAAAGATCCTGGAGTTAAAAGTTTAAAACAGTTGGTGCACGGCTTCACATTTTACCAGCAGTCTTAAAAATTTCACTACTTCAAATTCTGAACTCCGCATAAATATGTTACAGTACAACAGTAGGGCTGGAAACTCCCAAGCTTTTGATTAGCATTGTTGTCAATTTGTATTTTGCCTAATGATCCATTATCTGCACTATTTGGCCGACAAAGTATACAGTCTATTCACTTTGCTGCATATTCTGTGAAGCGCTTTGAGAAGCCTCGAAGAAGTGATAAGACGCTATATCAAATGCAAGGATTATTATTATTATTTCCATATCCACAATGGAGCTGATTCCAATGAGTACATATAACGGGCTCTCTATTGTAAATGAAGCTAAATTACACCTTGAAAGTTACCCGCAACTCAGTTCTACAATTATTTGTTACAAGACATCTGTGAAAAGTGAAGAGTTGGGTAACTGACAGCAAACAAAAGACGTAGTGGAAAACAATTAAAATAAATTCCTGTTTATTGTATTGTAGAATCTTAAACAAGACTTTACCATCTATTCGGTCATTTTTGCCCATAAGATAGTCTTCGGTGTATGGAGTCATATCGAGGCGCAAAGGAAAAGAGAAGTGAGTGTTGACTTTTTCCTTCATCATTGTAACCATGTTGAAAGTGTATCGCATGGTATTGAAACTTAAGATTCGGGGTAGTTTCTTGAAACAAGCCCTGCGAAAACATAGAAAAAGTAGCAAAAATGAGGAGAGAAAGCAATAAATATAAGATGTTAAACACATGATGACTCATTGATCCGTTGGCTATATTTGGCCACCAATCCCCCAAATATAAGTAGCTATTCACTTCATGGCTGTTTATGGGACGTTGCTGTGCACAAATTCACTACGATATTCTCTTATAAAATACAGTCACTGCATTATACAGTAAATCAGGTGAACAATTTGAAACATCCTTCCGATGTAAAAGGCGCTAGATGAAATGCAAAGATCATTATTATTTTGCTCTGTGAAATCTACCATCTCTGTGATTATCTGTGGACTCTATTAATTAAAAACTCCAGTTGAAAACGACTGACCGATTCAGTCTCCATAATAACAATTAGCCTCGAAATTAGACCAGAACTGTGACTTCGCTGTGAGAAAGTACTCAATGTCTGTGCAGGTGCCTAAATAGTCGGGTAAGATAAGTCCATACTCAGGGGATAGAATTTGTGACAAAATCCGACACTTCTATTTGGTGATAATTAATTTTGCTTTGTACAATGTTATGTTGCTACATTGCAAAGCACATTACCAAGTAATCAAGTATTTGTTGGCACTCAGGGCATTTAATTCAGAAACAATTTACTTGAAAGTCTTACCTTTTCTCAGCTCGTACTTTTTTCCCACACTGAGAACACGTGTACATGTTATCACCCTCCAGAGTATCTTTGATGGTAACTTCATCAAGCGACTCCTAGTATGAAAATGCACAAAATGATACACGATATTAACACTTCAATAACTAGAGTGTTTGATATGGCTTGCTGATCTCAGGACATTTACAGATACCGTGTAATTTCACACTGAGCTTTGCCCACTTTGTGTTGTTCCATTACTTTTAATATAATAATACTTGCAATTGATATGGTGCCTTATCACGTCTTCTAGACGTCTCCAAGAGCTTCACAGAATATACAGTGAAGTGGAATGACTTTTGTGGGCGAAATGCGGCAGCCAATTGCACTCAGCAGTGTCTCACAAATAGTCATGGTTTGAGTGATCAAATTATTATTATTATTTTAGCTATTATATAACAGTATAAATTCATAAATTTAGCTTTTCAGTGCAATTTTTGGCACTGAAATCAACTGCAGACAATCTACATTTCTTTTATTCCGCCTCAAATAAATTCTTGCCATGTTTTAGATATATGGTCACCCACATGTCTAATACATAGAGAAACACATCACTATGCTTAAGAGTATTGAATCCAGATTGAATCCCCACTGATATTTGCCATCTGTGCATAAGAAATTTTCCTCTCTCTAGAATGACGTGCACATTCTCTCCCTGGAGGGATGCACTTTTCTTACTCAATTCAGGAAAGTATTAGGCTCGGGTTGGCAGGAGACGAGGCTCGGATTTCGAGTCAAAATCCACTGGGGGTATTGCTGGACTTCAACCAGCTAAAGCTGCATATCTTGCCATTGAGAGCACTATTTGGCAACTTTCCCTATGCTTGTCCAGCTAGGACCACCTTACCAGTTAGTGCTTTGGCTTGCAGGGTTAACAGGAGCCAAGTGGGAACAACTCATCATGACATCATGCATGAGAGCAAACCCACTATCCTCCTGCCCACTGTTCAGTGACATATTGCTACACATTGAGCTGTGGTTCTACCAGTTGGAAGTGCGGCGCTCCAACAGCAGCTGCTTAGTTTGTTGCAAACCAATCAATGTAGATAACAAGGTCTGAATATATGAGGCTTTGTGAACTTCAGGTAATGCCTTCCAGCAACTGTCATCCAAGCCTCCAGAGTTTCCTCATTTCCTATTCAACAGACATCTGACTTCAGTATGGTGAGAGGTAATCTGCAAGACAACTTGTGATATGCCAGCCACCTTGGATGTTTCAGAGGTCCAAGTGAAATACTGCATACCAAATTTATACCACACCAAATGCTTAATCCAGGGCCTTATATGAAAGTTCTCAGCAGAGACGTGAACCTGCCTCTGCTTCTATGGAGCTGAGCAACAGATTACAGAGCGCAGCCCTCCCGTCCTGCAAACGTTTTCCCTTTTTTTGTCACAAAAAATCTAACTCACTGCTTGTCCTAGCCTTCAAAATGGGCTGAAGGAAACTTTTCTGTTGCATGCCCAAGAGCTCTAAAACAATAAAGGAAAACAGTTTGGACGTATGCCTTATGTACCACAATCTTAGGCATTACTCACATAAATATTTTTCATATCAGCGACTTGACATCGAACAGTATAGAATTCCTCGGCAGTCTGGCTGACATGTTCGCAGTCCTGGGAGTTTAAAAAAAACAAGCTAATTGCAATACACCATTTTCTTTTGTTATAAATATCTACTTGAAACATTAAGCATACTTACCAGTGACACTACATTGTTGGTAATAATGCCTCCAAATAAGCTTTTCACTGTGTTCTTCTAAATTAAAGAATAAAACAAATCAATTTTCAATAACAGTCTTTGTTCTTAATCTAAAAAAAAATTCAAATTAGGCTTACCAAGTCGGGAGACATTTCTTCTATTTTTGTTATCAAATCTGTGAAAAATTCAGTCATATCTTTCTGTTCTCCAGTATTCAGTGGCTGCTTATCCATGGTGTAGGTTTTACAGAATGGCCTTGGGTTATATGCTTTGCGCTCACTTTCCTACACAAGCAAATATTTTCAAAAAGTAAATAATTGATAGCATTTTAAATGCAATGCTCCCAACAACACAATTTGTATTCAGAATCCAAACATACCATAAGATATGTGAACATCTTTTGCAATTCAAGAAGTGTTGTTTTATGTTTGATGTCCTCTGAATACTGCAAGAAAAAAAAGCAGAAACAAAGAATGTTTTTCCTAAGACAAGACACTGTCATTTTCATATCTCTAAATACATTTTGATCATGACTTCCTCCCCCCACTCTATATGTGTGTGTGTGTATATATATATATATATACACACACACACCTATGATATATCCTGATAACTCATCACTCCAAGAGAAAAGAGCTCAGTGACAAATTATCCGGAGTGGCGAGTTAAGCATACATAAATAAATGCGGCTATTGATATTGATAACAGGATGACACGTTAAGTAAGGGTTGAGTTATCAGGAGTTTACTGTTATGCAATTGAATGGCATAAGTGTGCATACGTGTGTACAATTGAAGGGACAACACTTATTGACTTTAGAAACTCACTTTCATATCAGCTTCCAGCTAGGCTGAGAGTGACGGGTTAAATCTCTGACTAGCACAATATTTCTTTTTTTTCAAAACAGAACATAATTCTCTCACGGATTTTAACTACGTGAATGTCCAAGAAGTATACCTGCTTTCACAGATGGCCCCTGACCACCTCTTGTAAACACATCCGTAAGGACAAAGGAAAGTCAATTATCACCAAAGGTCAAAACAGTATATCTCAACTACGAGGAATACTCTTCCTTTCTAGACGTTAAGCAATATTTACTTGGAAACCTTTTCTCTTTTTTTATTACTATAAAATTCCATATAAATGCCCTTTAATTCTAGAGCATAATTCTTTAAAATGTACAATTCCTTGTGTAAAGGTCATCCAGATGTATACATTTCAGCAAAATTATACCACCTAACAGTACTTACTTTGGCTGTAAAAATGGCTTGTCTGGCCTCCGGTATCATATACAATTGTTGAATAGTGGAAGCTAAGTAACAGGTTGCTCCAAGATTGGTCAAACCCACAAAGCGACACTCAGCCCGAACATCATCGTGGGGCCAGTAGTCCCACTTGTAGGGGGCATGAGATGCTAGAAGAGTCAATAAAAATGATCACAATGAATGCACTATTTAAGAGATGTCAACTTTTGTGAGATAACAAAGAATACATTTCAAAACTAGTGAACCCGTTAAACTACAAATGACATTGATCTTCTCTACTTGTGCCTGCTCCTTTCCACTCTAACATTATTGCCAAAGTAATAATAATAATCATTGCATTTGGTACAGCGCCTTATCACATCTTTGAGACGTCTCAAAGCTTTTCACAGGATGTATTGTAAAGTGGATTTCGCTGTGTATTTTGTGGATGAAACGTAGCAGTCCCTTTTGAGAAATGCTCTGATTATTTATGCATCATGTTAATATTTCTGTTCATGATATAAATAGCACAACTCATGTTATAGCATGTTATACTGTGCTCTTACACTGCATGTGCTGTGCCATCACCCAGTTGTGCAGCAGCCTGTAGTTTTCTGCTGAGCCCTTCACCATTTCCACAAGCAAATCATAGGCTGCTGCTCTGGAGGAATGTGACTTGCACTTTGGTTGTTGTCTGTCTTTCAGGCTCGGCAGCAAAAATAGCAGATTGAACACATCCCTTAGGAACTCCTACAGTAAAAGCAGATGAAATATTGTGGTTAGCGCTCTGTTTATGACATACTCTCAGCCAGCGGATCGAGAAAATACACCAACTTACGCTACCAGTACTGGGTGAATTGGTAGAATATCGATCGGTATCATTAATAGCACACGTTAATATGACAAACTGTGACTTATACTGCAAACCAAAACTGAATGCGTCTCCAGCGGAAGTTGCCTCCAAAAAGTCTAATGGAGTCTAATTCAACAGTTTGAGTTCCAGCAATACTCAAGCTTTGGGGTGGGTGTGATGGAGGTTGAACAATATAGTTCTTCAGAATATTGAAGATTTATATAAAGTTGGCGCATGTAACTATTTCAGAAACAATTTTTCCCTTATCAAAATACGGTTTACAGTTATTTAAAAAGTGAATCTGCTCGACTATTCACAACTATGCAAATATCATACCCTTGAGATTACAAAAATACTCGCACATATTTTCCAAAGAGTACATTTTAATCTCCTGAGAAATTAGGAAACCTCAATTCTAAATAAGGTACCAGCTAGAGATTGTGGCCTCCAGTTTCATACTTATACAGATTCACACTAATTCTCTTAGCAAATGACCACATTGAAATGTTCGTTTATTTTTTACCTGTCCTTCTCTGGAGAATTTAAATGGAGGTTTGTGTTTTATGACCACAGTACAAAGTCGGAGGAGTCCTGTAAGTCCATCATCTTCTGTGTTAATATCCTGTTGATCAAGGATCTCCCTGCTACAACCAAGAAAATGTAAACATGGAAAACCCGTAATGATTAATACATATTCTTCAATATATATTGATATATTGAGACTTTAAAATTTACATCTTAAAGATCATGTAGCATACTAACCTGCGAATGCAGTCAGCTAGGTGTCTTGCCAAGGCATCCAAATCCAATAATGTTGTCTACAAAAGAAATTCCACACTTAAATATGTATTTTCTTTTACAAAATGGACTATAATTTGCTCTAAAGCTGCTTCAATGTTACTATGTACACATAACTTGCAGCTACAAGCAAAAACAGAACAATCAAAATATTTGCTTCTGGCCTTAATCAAACTACAATTATTCCGTAATGCAATAAATGCATTGGATTCACTGAAAAGATGGGAGCTACAAGCAAATTATATTATTGCAGCCTACTGGGGGATTTAGTGAAGCATAATTTGCAATGCAGTGTTTAATACTTCTGAATCTAAAAAGCAATTGTATTGTATAAACAATGACATTGGCTACTGCATACAACAAATCAACACCAACAGGATTTCTAAGTAGTTTAGTGCAGAAGCATTTACATGAATTACAGAAAATTATTTCCCTTGACACAATGCCAACTCTGACTGGAGGACAGAGCTGGTTCAAGTACCAATTAGTATGCAAGTCTGCTCCGAGAGGAAAGGACTTAATCTCACAAAGCAGAAGGAAAATCTTATTCAATTGAACAGTAACTAGCTTATCTTTGGGTGCTCACATGTTCAAACTTTCAACTTGTCATTTTCAAATGCATTCGGTTATTCAGCATAATGAGTCTTCAGACAAAACTCAAAATAGATGATTAATATTAAAAGGCACGAACAAAGAGGCTAATATGAAAAGTAAAGCTGAATGAAAGCAACATTTGCAATGTGCGACAAAAGCAGGAAAGTACTACGAATGAGATAATAGGCACTTTATGTTCCTGGCACAATGAAAACTGACAAGGCAAACAGTTGAAAGGTCAGAGTGTTAACATATCCAGAGTCAGCGCCTTGGGACGTCCTCCTGACGTGAAAGGCGCTATACAAATGTAATCTTGCTGTTGTTGTTAACACATAATGAGATACAAGGGAGAACTTAGCAGTTACAGTCACATACCTGACTGGCATCTTTCACATGAATGTTATCAATCAATTTGCAAAGCAACCAAAAATATTCTTTGCAACCTGCTCGTAGCACTGGTTCTTCTTCATAATCCACTTCCTGAAAACAATTAGGTCACTTTGCTTTAAGCTGCAATAAATCCATGTAAACTGACAGTATTTCTACTAAACTACTCATTTGTTTTTAACTGCATTTCTCCTGAAAAACATGCAACATTAGAATACATTAGAATATACAGCACAGAAATAGGCCATTCGGCCCAACTAGTCTATGCTGGTTATGCTCCACGAGCCTCCTCCTGCCCTTTCTCAACTAAGCCTTCAAGCATAACCTTCTATTCCTTTCTCCCTCATGTACCTATCTAGCTTCCCCTTAAATACATCTATGCTATTTGCCTCAACAACTTGTTGTGGTAGCTTGTTCTGCATTCCCACTACTCTTTGTGTGCATAAATTTCTTCTAGCTTCTCTATTTGATCTATTTGTGACTATTTTACATTGATGGCCCCTGGTTTTGGTCTCCCCCAGAAGTAGAAACATATTCTCTATATCTACCCTATCAAAACCTTTCATCATTTTAAAGAACTCTATCAGGTCACCCCTTACCCTCCTCTTTTCAAGAGAAAAAAGACCAAGTATATTCAGCCTTTCCTGATAGGTATAACCTCTCAGTTCTGGGATCTGGAACTGCACAAAGTATTCTAAGTTTGATCCAATCAAGGTTCGACAGAGGTTTACCATAACTTCCCTGCTTTTCATTTCTATCCCTCTAGAAGTGAACCCCAATGCCCGGTTTGCTGTTTTTAATGACCTTATTAAGCTGCATTGCTACTTTTAGTGAATTGTGTATATATACCCGTAGGTCCCTTTGCTCCTCTACCCCATTTAGGTTTTTATTTTTCAGGATGTATGTGACTTTGTAATCAAAAGCATAACTTGCACAGCCTCTCATCTGGCACCTATAATAGATTTTAAATATAGTGCCACTTAGTTACATTGCACTGGGTAGCGTCTCGAAGCATTTAATAATGGTGGAACTTGATGCTAAGCTGGGAAGGGGGAAGGTGATTGAAGGCACAGTCAAAGAGGAGGGTCTTCAGGTATAATCTGAAGACAGGGAAGGAAGTAGCTTGCACCAACTGCACCTAATGCTTCCCAGAATTGGGTAAGAAGGATGCTTCCCTCCAGGGAGAAAGTGCACATTGCATTCTAAAATTTCCATATGTAATTGGCACGAACTCTCTGCCCGGGTTGGCTATTCTTAAACTTGATTGGTGAGTTCCTGCCTGTAGCAGACACCCGGCTGACAAAAAAACAAATTCCTTTCCAATCTCTGGTGTCTCCAGAGTATCACCAATTATGCAATGCTGGCCAGCAACATACTAATGGGTCTCTGCTTAAGTTGCACTAAACCAGCCAACAGGTATGTGAAAGAATCCCAGGAATGGGTCTCTCTCACTTCTTTCCTGCAGCAAAGCATCTGGCCACAGGTCTGCATGTTTTACTTCAAAATGTGACAATGATAAGGTATTCAGTTTATATAATGAGATTGGGAGCTTCAGGCTACATCCCATATTTTGGCACTCCAAAGTGCTGCACAATTGCACTTCCTCTGATTAAATAGACCTTATGAAGTTAATTTTAATGCAATTCACAATTGATACTCTATAGTCAAAGGCTTAACAGATTAATTCTGAATCTAGCATAGTTTTGCAAATGGATGGCCACAACGTTCATATCTGAGAAGTCTTCAAAGCAGGTCTTACCCGGACAGGCTTCAAAGCCTGGGCATCAGGAAGAAACTTAAGTAACGTTGATGCAGCCAGCAAAAGAAAAGATCGATTTATTGATTCTCCACCATCCAGACCGGACAGACACAACTTGTATAGTCCATTGCAAGCTTCATGTCGAACTGATGTCTGGAACAAAGATATGAATTATTGACAAAATATGTGCAATTAGACAATATAACAGAACCAGAAGTAAGAATAAATTAAGCAACTAAAAAACATGCAGGTTTAGTAAAATTGTGATTATCTTCCAGTATCCACTCACCTCTAAAGACCTGGAAACACAATGTGAGCAAGATGACCTGAGCGCATACAATTATACGAGCAATGAAATGTTGTCTATTTAGCTACAAATTAGTGAAGGAAATATTGTCAGTAAATGCAATGAGTACTGAAAGTAGCAATAATGTTAACCGTTTTAAGAGAGAAACAAGAGAGGGTGCAGCAACAACAACAACAAATGATATCTTGTGTTGATATACTGCTTTCCGTATGGGAAATGTCTGAACGTTTCGCAAGGATGCGGTTGAATACCAAGTGGGGGGAGTGTCCATAGGCACAATTGAAGAAAGAGAATTTGAAGCAAGATTTAACGTGAGACAGAATGGTGGAGGGAGGGAATTCCAGGGATTAATTGCATAGGAACTGGCCGCCAATGTTGACATGGAGAGGGCTGGGGCACACAGCAAGCCTGAGTTAGCTGAGCGGAGGAGCTAGAAGATCAGAGAGAAAAGGAGGTGCCAGAAAATGACAATCGGGCTGAAGTAAGAATGGAAGTCAGAAATCATTAGAGATAATCCCAGTGAGGTTTATTTTTAATTCAAATTTATATGATAATAATAGTCCTTGAAGTTGATATAGACTTTGTCACGTCATTGAGACGCCTCAAAGTGCTTCATAGAATATACTATAAAACGGGGCAGACAACTGCACACAGCAGTGTCCAGTAGATTGAGTGACCAAATTATTATTATTTGAATTGTGTTGAAGGGATTATTACACCTGGAAAAGTGATCCTCCAATTGACTAACAACCGGGTTCCCACTAAACAGAAGCAATGTGGAGCAAGGAAACTTGCCTAAGGTTTCGACCTGCCTGGGAGGTCGAACCCAGGTCCTCTCGCTTTCGAGGCGAGTGCTCTAACCACTATGCTACAGGATTCACAAATCTATGTACCATTTGTGGAGTCCTGTAACGTAGTTGTTAGAGCACTCGCTACATGATGTATATAACTTTATTTTAGGCTATGACAAAATTGAGCTTTAGCTACATGCTAAATTCGATTAAAAGGTAGAACCATAATTATCTGACAATATAAATTTTCAACTGGGGGACGGAAGTAGGGTACAGTGGAAATTTCACTGTAGTTTTCTCAGAGGTCAATGTATTGTAGAAAAGCCAGGTTGAGCCACTATATTTAAATACAATTATGGCTATTCAAAACTATTTTATTTAAAGAATAAACAAAGCAGAATGTATGGCAAGTTATATATTTCTCAATTAATTCATAAATTTCCCCAATATTTCCATAGATCATAAAATAGATTTTGCATAACATTCTACATGGCTTCAATTTTAGCACTCCTGGTACTTGGGGATTATTCCCCGAGATACAAGCACTCCAAGTATCACAAAATAACATTACAGCAACAACTTGCTTGCATTTATATAGCAGAGCAGCATCCCAGACATTAGTGTGCAAAGTACATGCTTCAAATACAAATTTATATAAGGATTTTTTTTAAAAAAGCAATTCAGAAATGTTGTCATAAGTCAGGAATTTCTCACAATCACTTTCAAGATTAGTACAAACCTATTGAAAGTCACCTCAATACATTTTCTATATCAGAATATATAATGTACAAATATGCAAAACTAAATAGCTACAAATCCCAATAGTAAAGTCTTGGATTTATATTAAAAAAACTGTAGCACAGTAATCCCTAAACAATCAGCAGCTCTAATGTCCTGACTTCATAGAATCATAGAACTATACAGCACAGAAGGAGGCCATTCAGCCCATTGCGTCTGTGTCAGCTCTTTGAAAAGAGCTATCCAATTCAATCCCACTCCCCCGCTCTCTCCTCATAGACCTGCAAACTTGTCGTCCCCAAATAATTATCTACTTCTCTCTTAAAAGTTGTTATCGAATCGGCTTCCACCACCCTTTCAGGCAATACATTCCAGATCCGAACAACTCACTGCGTGAAAACATTTCTCCTCAGCTCCCCTACAATAAATATCAAATATACATTATATAGACACGAGAGTTTGCAAAACGTGAACATGTTACTGAGGGTCTCAGTTGGAAGCAGTGACTTACTTACCTCTGGAACTAGAAGAGTTAGTTTTTTCAGCCAATCGTGTAGGTTTTCACTGTCTGCCAAGCTGGATTTCACCAGTGAACAGCAGTGAGCCCAGCTCACTAACAGCCACATGGCGTAATGAGCACCTAGAAAGTAAAACAAGAACCCAGTGTAAAAATACAGAAAAGAGATGCAAGTCTCATGTATGAACTATAGATTTTAGTCAAACATTAGCTGGTGTGAGAAGCTAGCTAGATGCAAGGTTACATTCCCTATAGCTGATGAGGTTAAGGAGGGGGTCTGTTTGAGGCATTTAAAATCAGAAAGAGAGTCGGAGAGACTGATTATTCCCTCCAGAACAAGGGGGTATAATCTTATAATTAGAGTTAAGATGATAAGAAGTAAATCCGGTAAAGATTGCTTCACACAAAGGATTGTGAGAATGTGAAATGCTCTGTCACAGAAGACCATAGATGCAGAATTAACTGGTGTTTAAAAGTGAAATAAGAAAGGGTGTTAAGGGATATGGCAAGGAAATTGGTTTAAAAAGGAACTGCTGTGACCTAATATTATAGTTGAGAAGGCTTGATGATTCAATTGCCTACTCCTGTTCCCACATGTCAAAATAGGTAAGATACAAAGATACTTTTTATTCAAAACAGTTGAAAGCATTACTATCGCTGCCAAATACTGTACCAGTAAAAATTACAATTTCTTATTTATATCACCATGTGCAATTTTTAAAATCCTATTGCAACAATTTAGCTCAGTCAAGCCACACTCTCAATTCAAAGCATTCTTTTAAAATTACATTTTTGTGGCCAAACAGTATTACTAATAAACTAAAAGAAATGCCTTCCTTGTGAATATTTAGTTATTGTTAATAGTTTTGAGATATGGCTCTTTTCATGTCAGGAGGAAGTCTCAAAGCGCCTCACAGGATTTATTACAAAGTGTAGCGACTGTATGTATGTAGAGACTGTGTTTTCCAGCGCCTTGGGATGTCCTCCCAACATGAAAAACGCTATACAAATATAATCTTGTTGTTGTTATTGGCGAATGTTCATGTTATAATTACATTTACACAAACTAGAAGGAGAACCTACCCTCGTGCCTTGATCTGTGATCAGATTGAGCTTTGAGCACTCTACAATAAAACAAGAAGAAAATCTTATGATGGAAATGAAAAAAGTGTAGCTTTGTTATTTTCTTGAGAAAAAAGTGTTAAAAATACAAATATTTTTAACTCATAACATTTATAGGTCGTCTCTGGTTGAGACACCAACATATTACTTTAACACATCAAGGTCACAAATGAAGAAAAGTTGCAGAGGAACCAAATCTTTTTTTTACCTATGGGCCAAGTTGTCATAGGTGTACGCAACAGACATTAACCGGTAAATCAAACTGGACCCATGTACCAGACTGAGAAACACCTAAAATAGAAATAAAAACAGGAAGTTACATTTCATCTGGTATAAAATACAACACAGGTACTGAACTAGATATGAAGAATATGAAAAGCAAATGAAAATCAAGGTCATTCCCAACCCCTCCCCACCCAACCACCCAAAAGATTTAGAAACTTACCTCAGTCAGACGGGGAATGTGCAATCCTTTCCCATGATCTCCAGCTCCCTTTCTTGATTTACCGGGCCAAGTCCTTTTTCTATGACTGTCTGATACGCCAGACCAGGCAAAGATATCATGGTAAGCCAGGTCCAAGTCTGCGGGATCGACTGCAAACTGGCACATTAGCTTCAGTAGACAGGCCAGGCAGTCCAGCTGCCACTGGGAACATGACAGATAGTAAAACTGTCAAATTACGCTTTATCGTATCTTCACTTTCAAGAATAAAACTTGCTGAGCTCAAAACATGATAGACATCAACGTATAACACTTAGGATTTTGTATTATGAAACATGACATAAATAGGCTTAAAGACTATTAAAGGTTTTAATAAATACGGGGGGGGGGGAAGAGTCAATCAATTAAAGAAAACAATTCTGACCTCAGTTTAATTTTTAAGCCCCAAATTTGCCCCAAAAATTGCATCCCAAAACTTAATTTGCGGCAAATCTTGGGTAAGCCAGTTTCAATCATGCACGTGAAAGACGGTTCTTCTATGCTCATACAAGTTAGTTTGCACGTGCGCTAGCAGGTAGCATGAAACTCCCCAAAATACTTTCAGTGAAGAATGAATTTTTCTCCCCAAAATTAAAGCAAGTGAAATTGATTCACCACAAACCGACAATAGTCACACTCATTAAAGTCATTAAGTTTGACCAAGTTATAAATGCACTGCATCAGAATCCTTCAGAACAGAAGGAGGCATTTGGCCCATTGTGCCTGGGCCGGCTCTTTGAATGAGTTATCCAACGAGTCCCACTCGCCCTTTTTCCCCACAGTCTTGCACATTTTTTCTTTTCAAGTAAATATCCAATTCCCTTTTGAAAATTATTATTGAATCTGCTTCCACCACCTTTTCAGGCAGTGTATTCCAGATCGTAATAACTTGTTATGTAAAAACAAATTCTACTCATCAACCCTCTGGTTCTTTTGCCAGATTCATCAGCAGTGATTAAATGGATTCATGGAATATCGTCTACCAACGTCTGCATCGGTTTAATTATTAATGAATTACTTAGAAAATCTTTGTAACATACACAAAGTCATGACAACACATAGTCAAGTGCCAAACCAGCAGGCCTTACCACAGTCCATGATTCCTGCACTTTGGGCTCCAGAATTCCCGAGAGAAAGATTTCCAGTAATTGCTGAAGTCCCCCAGAAGCAACAAACTGAAATGCAGAGAATATTATAGTACATATTGTGTCAACACATTCACAGCAACTTCACAGCATAACCACATCAAATCAATTAGGCAAACCTTGCAGCTCCAAGAATTTTTGCTGTTCTCTATTTGATCTTCACTTGAATCATCAGAGTCAGGATACAGATCGCTGTAGCTCCCCTGAAGTGAAAGTTAAGGATCAAACGTTAGCAGTGATTAGGAGCACAACAGAAACTGAATCATCTTATTTTCACTACAAAACCCATTCATAGAGATTATGAACTAAAAAAAATCCCAATGATGAATCATCTAAATAGCAATTATGTACAGGAAGTACATTCAGATCTGCAAATGGTAAAGCAAAATAAAAAGCTCCCTTTCTAATTAACAGACAGACACTGCTAACACAAGCTTTTAAACAGGTAAAGAAATGAGAAGTGGTTTAAAACACTGGACTTTTACTTCCAGAGATAAGGGCATGATTTATAAGGGAATCAAATGCAGTTTCAGTGTATGCCAATTCAGCTCTCCTTGGCAGAAATGTACTGCACTTAGCATGAATTGAAAATCATGAATAAATGCTACAACATAATAATGCACATGGTACAGGAGATACAAATGTCACACTAGCGAGAGAAAGGGTGCTTATTTGAGGTAGGGATGAAAGGAAAATGGAGCAACAGAGAGTTTTATTTTGTCTTTAACTTGTACCAAAATGCAAGCACCTTTAACTTGACCTGATGAGCAGAATAGCAGTGAAATTAATGCTTTTTTGAAAACATGGTTATTGTGCAAAGATATTTTTCAAACATTACTTCAAAAGGAAAATTCTAAAAAAAACACAATTCCTCAACTCCCCATTAGCGTTGAACAATGATATTTAAAAATGCATTGTCTTAAATATTCCAAAATAAAACATTTTCATACAGTAACAACTTGCATTTATACAGTGGCCTTCACACAGGATAACATCTCACAGTGGTGGGGGTCAGCCGCTGAACCAGGGAGAAGGGGGAGGTGACCATAGGCACAGTCGAAGAGGTAGTTTTTAAAACGGTGGAATTTAAAGTCAAGTAGAACATAGAGGAGTAGGAACAGGAGTAGGCCATTCAGCCCTTCGAGCCTAGTCCACTATTCTATTAGATCATGGCCGATCTGTACCTCAACTTCAATTACCCGCCTTTGCCCCGTATCCCTTAATACCCTTACCTAACAAAAATCTATCACCCCAGTTTTGATCTATCCACCTCAGTCTTGAAGTGAGAGGATGGGGTGGAGAGAATGGAGGCTTAAAGTAAACCATTCAATTACCGTAGATGCTCTTCGTATTCTCCTATTTGGTTTCCCCAAGGCCTCAATAATTTCAAGAGCATACAGGAGTTTGTGAGGGCTTTTTATTCTAAGCAAGTCCTTCCAACAAAGTCCATCGTTACCCTTAAAGAAATCACATATACAGAATATCTCAGTGACAAACTCTGAAATATGCATTCGTAAGCATTACATGACAGAAAACATGGTTTACAAAAAAAATTAGACGTCCTCGGCTGACAATAGATTATTTTTATAAAACCAAGGCATTGATATTACATAATGTAGCACACTGACAATGAGCAGAGAGAAAGCTTGCAGGGCTCAGATTCTGAGTCCCAATGTGCAGGCACAGAGTGGGATATCTCCCTGTGGGTTGGTAAGAATATCCTGCCTCATATTGTCAGCAACTAGACAATAGCAGCATTGGAAGGTGCCTGGGAGCTTCTACCCTCTGGCCATCAAAGATAAAAGCAAAGTACAGCAAAGATAAAAACAAAAAAAGGGAGAAAATAATAAATTTACACTTGTAACAGCAACTAAATAAAGCAAATCTACAGCCTCAAATAATCTCCAAAAAAGGCTTTTCTACAGTCCAACAGTGCTCAACCATTCAAATATGAAAGCAATAATTGCATGCACTGCAAAGCAATCTTTTTGAAGTTAGGGCAAACTATGTGTTACATTTCTCATTTCTTGACACTAATTAACATTTAAAACATAACTGGAAAATTACAAAGAAATAAGTGGAAACCTGCAGCTTTTATCTCACCTGCTCCTCAGAAATATTTTGAAAAGCCTGGAGCATGTTTGGGCAAGTAGGAAGAAGCATCAGCAGCTCCCAAACACGTCTGGACAGGTTTTCTGCATGAAGGTGCAATTCCTCACAACGTGCAGTCTACATGTGCAGCAGAATAGAAAAGGGAAACAACAAATTCAACAAAAGTTAAAAGGGGGAGGGAAAAAAGATGTTGAACCCATACCTGAAGTGTATTAATAATACAAATGGAATAGCGCCTTATCATATCTTTGCGTCGTCTTAAAGCGCTTCACAGGATATACTGTAAAGTGTAGTAATTGTGCATTTTGTAGATGAAAGCAGCAGCCAATGTGTACACAGCAACGTCCTGCAATTTTTTTTCAAATGGACTTTTTTTTAAATCTGGAGGATTGCTGGACAGGACATTGGGAGGAATTACTTTCTCTTTTCGAACAGTGCCATGGGATGCTTTTTATTCACCTTGGTTTAGTGTCTCATCTGAAGGCTGACACTCCAGTGCAGAGTTGGAAAGCTGCAGTGTCAGGGGTGCCTTCCTAGACTGTGAGCTACAAGTCCCAATGTGGGTCTTGAACCCACAACCATAATTAATAGAACAACTAACAGATTAATATTAATAGATTAATGAGCTGCATGACTCCATCAGTTTTTAAGGTTTCCTTTTAAGAATTGTAGATTAGGCTGTTTTCCAAGATCCTGTAAAGCATATTCCCCAAGTCAAATAAATCATGTTCAACCAGCAACAAACGTTTCCAAAGCAAAAAATGTCGAACCCAGACCTTCAGTGTGATGCATTAGATACAACAGCCTATCATGTCTTTGAGGCGTCTTAAAATGCTTCACAGGTTATACTGTAAAGTGTAGTGCTAGTGTATTTTATAGTTGAAAGCAGCAACCAATTTGTGCACAACAATGAACAGCAAACAACTAAGTAAGCGATGCTTACTTTTTACTTCACAATCAATTTGGCACTTTACCTCAGTATCTTCCATGGTATGATCCACAGAAGGTGGTTTGAAGGATGCCAGCATCTCAAGCAAGTCAAACAAGGTAGTGAGGTGTGGTTCTTGAAGGAGTAGCAGCATTGGAATATTTTCCTTTTGGGGAGGAGGCAGACACGATGCAGGCAACTGAATGCCATCTCCCTTGCGCTCTCTACGTGGAGCTCCCAATGATACAAACACCATCTGTGTAAACAGGAGCATTAACCAAAACTGCCTTCCAACAATTCTCAACTGTACAAACACGAATCACCTATTCAGTAGAGAAGTGCTGGTTACTTTGACTTTACATTCAATATGGCACTTATAGATAACTGGTTTGTACTTCTGTCCTTCCTGTTGAAACCAAATTAATAAAACTTACACTTGGTGTAGTAGCGCCTTTCATGTCAGGAGGATCTTCCCAAAGGACCTCACAGGATATAATGTAAAGTGCAGTGACTGTGTGATTTGTGGGAAAATCAAGAAAAAATAAATGCATTAAAGGTACCTGCATATCTTTAAATCCAAGTTCATGGAGTGTTTTCTCATCGTAATCTGTAGTAAGTTCATGTCCTGAGGAAATCATACGCACAGGCCCCATAAGGCCCCCTTAAAAGAAAGAAATAATAATAGGAGAAAATTAAACCACCCTTCTGATATCAATCAGCTTATTGTGAACTTGGCCAGAACACAATAACATAAATCAGTTAAGATAAATCACATGAAAGAGTTGAGGTTTTCACGGCTACCTGACTGAAGGTGATTTAGGAAATTATATCACAAGGCAATAAACCATTGGTTTGAATGATAATGCAATTGCCTGACCTCTACCCACTGCACTATTCCCTGATCTCAATAAGTGAACTGAGCTACCAATAAGCAACTCAGAACATGGGAAACATAGGATTACTCTTAAGTTTTGAAAATTAACTTCTGTGTAATTGTGCTCAAACCCTCAAGTTACAGGAAATTCAACAACGTTAAAAAAAACCTCGGCTCTTAAACGTTATTGACAAAGAGAACATACCAGTCAGAAAAATTAGAAGAAAATTAGAAAAAGCAGACCTTTTACTAAAAACTAAAAGGTCCAAACTTTAGGAATGCACTTATTGCACAAATACATTTCCTTCACACAAACTGAGCAATTTTAGTATTGCAAAGCAAATGTCATACTGGAGTTGATTCAACATGGCAACAGATTAGTGTATGTTAGTGGTTTAACAAAGAAAGGTCATTTTGCTCATCAAACAGATCCCTTCTATAGTGTAATTTGTTCCACTGTGGATTCCACCAAATGCATGAAATCCTGAAGCATAGCTCCTCCTTCCCTATCTCTGCTCCGGAAAACTGGAAAAGATTAGATAAAATGGGCTGAGGGCCTACTTCATCCAAATCAATCTTTTGTGACTTGTTCCACCTCACAAGTTACGTGATTCAGCTTTGACTGGCTTGGCAGCCTTCCTTGGCAGAACATTTCTATGGATCCAGCAGCTCACAAACAATCACGTTTCAGAGTAACGAAATATCTCTGCCTATTCTGTCCACATAGCCCATAACCTTGAACATTCACATTTATGGGAGGCAGCAAGAGACTTTACAGAATCTTTCCTCAGGAGAGTAAGCAAACAAAGTAACATCCAGGGGAGTTTAAATTGTACATGTTCTTATGGAAGGAAAGGTATAAGTGGTCCCAAATAGCCTTTGCTTCTTTCATGGTTTATGACTCACCAGGAAAATCTCCTTGCCGACTGCTTTGGCCAAACTCTTGGAGCTGAGCTTGCTGACTCATCTGTTCCTTCTGCAGATTCTCATACCAGTGAGTAACTTCAGCTCTTAAGTCTGCAACTTGGTCACTGGGATACATTTCAATGGTCATCTGCAGAATAAACACAAAGTAAATACTGATTCATATGATGATCCGTTTCTGCAGCAATATCTTATTTGACTAATCAAAATATGAGACTATACATACATCACAAATTTTAAAAATTGCAAAATGCAGGAAGAGGGATGCAATACAAAATTATATTTGTATAGCACCTTTCACATCAGGAGGACGTCCCAAGGCACTGAACAGTGAGGGATTAGGACCCGAGCCGGGGGGAGGGGCGTGGTTGGGAGCAGGGAGGGTGGAGGGAAGAGAGGGTAGGAAGGTGGCCGAAGGCACCATCGAAGAGAAGGGTCTTGAGGCGTGCCTTGAAGGAGGCAAAGCAGGGAGTGAGGTGAAAGGAATGTGGGATGGAGTTCCAGAGGGTGGGGGCAGAGAGGCTGAAGGGGGATGGGGAGGAAAGAGAACAGAGAGAGCGCCATTTCTGTCTCTAAAAATACCAATATAAATCACTAATCTAATGGCTAAATGGGGACATGAAGGAAAACCTGAAAAGGAAAGACTGAAGATGGATTGCTTACTCTTAAATATAATAATAATAAAAAATATAGGAGTCTCCTTCATTCAAATACATGTTTCAGATCAGAATTACAAGCAACACAGGCTTTAAGCTGTTTAATCTGCATTACATGGTTTTGTTACAAGCACCCAGGAAAGAACAGAAAAGAGCTGTATGTGGTTCAAGAAATCTGTAGTGTCTGGACACTACTCATCCCCTTAGTTTGTAAACTATTTTGGACAGTCTCTAGATACATTGGAAGGCCATTCACTTTATGGATGTTTGTGGGACATTGCTATGAACAAATTAGCTGCCACATTTACCCACAAAACACACAATCGCTGCATTTTCCATATCAATATTCTGTGAAGTGCTCTGGGATGTTCTCCTGATGTGAAAGGCGCTATACTAAATACACAGATTATTAATGTTATTACTGTTGTAAGGCAAAACTCTAGATTCCTTTCTTTAGCTGCTTTTTTTTTTAAATCGGTATTTCTGACTTGTCTTCCCCCTTTCGTCACCAAACACATAATTGTTTATTGGGATTGTATTAATCTGTAATTACTTTTCATGTTGCCTCCTCCTCTTATTGCATTAGGCGTTCAGAGAGGAAATTTGAACAACTTGTCATACAGGAGTTATTTGCCACATGCAATTATGCACATTTATGAAAGTTTAGTTTTACTGTCCTTTAAAATGTTGCAAACTATACTCCACTAAAGTCGGCATAAAGATATCTGTATGCAAATTGCATCTCCTTGAACATTAACTTCAGAATTGTAAAGGGCTCAAAAATTCTCAACCAGGTTTCCTGGCAGAGGTTTCCTCCCTCCCTTTGCAACAACCGGGATAATCAATTGCACAGTCTGTAGATTATCTATTTAAGGGAGTTATCCTCAGAGAAATTTATCTATCTTCTTGCACTTGATCATGGATAATTTTATGATCTTAATCAGGGGATCTGATAAAACATAATCCTTATCTGATGTCTGCTTTATGGCAACATAGGGGTGTTGTTCTGAACAGTTAATATGTTTTACAATGTGATTTAAGACACAAAAATGAAATAAATTCACGATAACTGAATATCAGTTTAGCACTTGATTTTGTTCCATGTACTGTTATCAGCAACGTCTGGAGTGGCAAACCTATCTACATAGTGGAGTCAACCGCTTTACACATCAACAAAATGATAATTCCAAATGTAGAAACACATAGTGATGGGTAGATTTCTGGCGCCAGGATTTCCTGAGATAACTGAAACTCATATCTCATTTTCTGTATAAGAAACAATGAAAGGAGTTAGACTATGAGAAGAAGATCCTCACTATCTCACTAACGCAAGCCAAAGAAGCACCAAACAGAAAGAATGCAGAGAGCTGTCCATCTTGTAAGGGCTTAAACCTGTGCGTGTCTGATGTCAAATGACCAACTAGTGCTATGGCGGGTGCGGGGGGAAGAGAGAGGAGAGTGAGGAAGTACTTTTAAACTTTGTGCAGACAAAATTCCAATCTCAGTTAAGACTTTACTGACCACAAAGTTAAACTTTCCGGATGGCTTTTGTGAATTTGGGTGCCAATGCAAAAATATCTTACAAAAATATCTTTGTAAGTTTAAGGCCTAATTTAGGAGTATTGGCATCTATGTATTCATGAAATGACAAGCATGTTGTAGGTTCATCAGAAAAACAACAGGAAACATATCTGCAGTTTTGCCTAAAATGTTTTGATGTAGCCTAAGTGTGAGTTGAAATAAACTCAGAATGTTTATTTAAGTTGATTCAAATTATCAAGATTAAATGATCTCTCAACATTATGCTTTCATCTTTTCTGTCCCAGGATGCTAACCGAATGTTTTGCACGAGCAGTTTACTATCTGTACAACGTGGAAGTTGACGGTTTTCACAGCGTGACTAAAATGGCATTTATTATTATTAGCTTGTACTCTGAGCTAAGAATAAACATTCTGTTAATTTTGTCACAGACCATATGTAAATTCACCACAAGTGAAAGTTCAGTTATAATATAAAAATAATAGGGCTTAAGAGAGAATGAATGAAACCATCCTTGACAGTGTGGCTCAGAACTTTAATTACCTTATCAGGCAAACCAGCTGGTTGGCAAACGATCCGTAATGGTAAGGACTGCTTATCACTGAGGGCTTTTAAGTGACTGCTGATACCTGTACCCTCTATCTGCCATTGCCGCAAATGGTAGGCAAACCTTTGGGAACAACGTAAACCAAAATCACAATCAACAAAGCACTATCACAGTACCACCTGATAGGACAGTTTCTAAAGAATAAAGCAACAAATTTCTGAATTTCCTTTAGTTTGCAAGACACAAAATGGATATATATTTTTAAATGTCCAATAATAATGCCAAATAGCTGAACGATGTATCATTCATTAGGGGCACGTGCACTTGTTTAACTGATGCAATAATATTTTTAATCTTTTCACGTAGTTTTTTTTAAAAATTATAAACATAATGGTCAGATGTTTCTTTGCATTAAACAACATCAATCAACCAGTCAATTGAATGGAACACCCAATGCTGCTGAAAATCCTCAGTTACAAAGTCTTAATATTTTGGAGTGATATTGACAAGACTTAATCTGAATAGGTTTTGTTCTAAGCGCGTGAATAAGGTTATCAGTTATGAGACAAGCTTATCCTACTGCTTTGACTGACTGTTGCCCATGCTATATGTGCTAGAATATACAGTCTTGCTGCAGATCTCCGCATTTAGGGTCATAATAAATCTAAAAGTTTTGGCGTGCCTAGCAGTCTATATTAGAACATAAAAGTGGCCAAGGACTGATTTTTTAGGTGGTTGCCAGTGTAGTGATATCCTGCACTTATTCTCAATAATGCACTCTAGATTTATGTCCTGACTGGCCTTTATCTTCAGTACCTCCGCCTCACCCCATCTCTTGCCTCCTTCAAGTCCCGTCTAAAGATCTTCCTCTTCCACCGTGCCTTCGGCCACTCTCTCACCCCCATCTCCCCTGCCCTCGAGCCCTCAGCCCAACTCCCAGCTCAGGTCAAAAACCCGATTGTCCAGGGCCCTGGGACATCTTTCCGATGTGAAGTGTAATTTGTTGTTGTTCAGAATTGTCTGCAATGACCTTCATGGTCTTACAGCCTGCAAATGCTCATTGGGGTTTATCATGGGCTGACTGCAAGTACTAGTGATCTTTTCATTGTATGTTTATAATGGTAACAATAAGGCAGTCAGTGGAAGTGATCTGGACATGATAAACCCAGTATATTGGCTCATGCGTGAAGAGTACCTCCTTGAGCGAGTGTAAAGATGGAATCTTACCCAACCACGATTTGTCATCTCAGGAGATGGGAGAATATTGGAGGAATGACTTTTTTTTAAAAAAGAAAGTAAACAATATTAAGTTTTCTATCATCAAGAATTTTCAGTTCTCCCTTGACCAGAAGGGTAGATAGACAAACTATCCCTTGATCTCGATCAATGCTGTTCTCGAGTCAGCCAAAATGAGGTTTGTAAAAACACTCCAGAGTGAATACCCTCCAATGTTCAATCCATTTCTATAGAAAATGCCCACATAGGTAAAATTGGAAAGAACATGTACCCTGGCACAAACTTTTCTCTTTCCTCCCCGCTTACTTCGTCCCCCATTCTTATTTAAAACAGAACTATTTTGCAAATTGATCTGCTCTTCACTCATCCAATGTCATTAATAAGTAGGCACGCTGAAAGCAAATTCAGCTATCATGAATCTATTCAGATTCAACAGAGTAATGATTGCCAATGATGTCCATTGTGAGGGAAAAAATTACATCACATAAGCTAACTATATGAGAATGCTCATCTAATGGACTAGGGTGTACAGTATGTTTTGTGATAAGAGATACCAGTGAAAATTGGTGAATGCCATAAAATCTTATCTCAACATAAGAATAATGACAATGAAAGCAATTGTTTACCTCCTCCTAAAAGCTTCTAAATGTGTTTTCAGCATCAAAAGCCCTCTCTCAATGATGGTGAGGCTGGACTGAGGATCTTTATCAAGATTTGCCGATGCCATCATAAGACTCTCCATACATTTACTGATGAATTCCTGTTCCTTCTCCAAACCTGTTTTACCTGTAAATAAATAGTTTGTGGACAGAGCCCTTTAGACATAGTTGGCGAGCCCCCCCAGAGAAAATTTTAATTAAAGAGATTTGTACTAAATACTCAATTAATACATAAACCTGCTCTGAAAAAAATATGTTTGAATAATCATAGACTTTTGATAATGATGAGGCAACTCATGGACATTTGTACAAATTCGTAATAAAACATTAGTTAAATTAACCCCTAGAGTGCCACAATATCAATTTACGTTGATACGTTGGGCACTATCTTTCATGGGTATTGTGGAAATATATTTATGCTCGCGGGCTCAATCCCAATTTTCCAGTGGAATTCCAGGTCAGGGATTGACAGGACGCTTCTATGATGCAGCCCTGTCAATCTTCCATCCTTTACCTTTTGATTGGCTGCATAACCGGCCTGTGGAGAAGAGACAAACAAGGTAAGTGATGGGTAAGAAAAAAACATTTTAAAAAAAAAGAAGTTTTAAAAAGATAAAACATACACTTTAAAATCATTTCAACCCACAGCCAGCAGCGATGTGTTGGATTTCCCCTCACCTAAACATGGTCTGTCTCATTTAGCAGTGTGGTGGTTTCATACTTAAACAGTGACATGCCAATCTTTAAGCAATTTTGTAAAACTTAAAGCAGATGTACAAATTATTTACGCTCCATGAAAGAAAACAGAGCACACCTCAAACGTGCACAGTAATTAAATGCCTTGCAAAATCTGATGAAGGCATTTATTGCTTTGTGTAATTTTGATCATAATATCATCCCTTATGGTTTACCTTAAGTAATCATATGAAAGAGATAACTATATTGAAGTCCTGTTTTTATAAATTTCTGGTAAGTTAAGGATTTGTGATATTTCAGAATTTTTCTTGAAGAGGGTATATTTTAGATTACAACTAACAGAAAGTTTTAATCAGTTCTAAAGTTAAACTAAGACAGGAATACACAAACAAGTTACTTGCCATTGATATAGTAAGAATTGATGTACTGGATAGCTGCTCGACTAACATCTGCTGTTTGTGCTCTTAAAGCAATACCCCAGAGTTGATCCATTCCACAAAGCTGCTTGAAAAAACAAACCCAAGATTTTTTTTGTATTTCTACAGTGGTGTATCTTAAATCTTATTCAAAGAATTCAAACAAAGCATATTTAAAACCATTAGTGTTTTATAACTATTGGCACAATTGGTAATTTCACAACTCAACAACAACAACTCGCACTTATATAGGGCCCTCCACTCAGGGGAGTGTCTCAGAGCGCTTATCAGTGGCGGAGCCTGACTCCGAGCCGGTGAGGGTGGGGTGAGGTGGCCGTAAGCACGGTCGAGGAGGTAGGTTTTCAGGCAGGACTTGAAAAAGGGGGAAGAGGGGGCAAGGCGGAGGGATTGAGGGAAAGTGTTCCAGAATTTCAGGGCGTAGTGGCTGAAAGCGCAACTTCCGATGGTGAGGCGGAGGGTGCGAGGGACGAGCAGGAGGCCAGTCGAACAGAGGCGCTGTGTTGTGGATTGGGGAGTGAGGAGTTTGGAGAGGTAGGGCGATGCCAGAGAGTGAAGATTTGAACCCGAATTCTTGACTCACAGAATAGTAATTTAGTAATTATTTTCCGCAAGTGTTAAACCATCCTTTTTCTACAAAAACATGTCTTTTATTCCAATGTTTTGTTACCAGACAATATGATGGTAGTACATTGACACTGTCAAAGAAATCTTGATATTTAAGGCTTGCATAACTTTAGAAAGTACTGATTGAAGGATTGTAAAAGGTCCCATCTGCCTGCAAATGAATGTTAAAGATCCCAACACACTACTTGAAAAGTGAAGAGAGTTTCTTTCGGTGTCCTAGACAATAGTCCCCCAAATAAAATTGGTCATTCACTTCATGGATATTTCTGACATTGTTGTGTGTAAATTGGCTCCTGGGTTTGCTTAAATACGCACAGTGACTACACTTCACAGTAAGTGCTATTGAGCACTTGAAAGACATCCTCCCAATATCAAATGCAAGGATTATAATATAGCAATATTCTGAAAAGAGAAATTATCTTTCCAAGGGATAGAATGAGCATACTTCCAAGGAATTTGGAAGGTTGACTATAAATAGATAGTAGAGGATACGGCAAGTTTGGAGGGACACCTTTTGTAGACACCAGATGAATACGATCAACAATGGAAATATTTGCAGTACCCCTGTTGGTTGAGATCATCGTAGTTTTTATGCTTGTGATGTGTTGAATTGCACTTGTGATGTGTTGAAGGGACCAGCAGACTCTAGCGGAGACACTTTTAACATGTCATTACACATGCTCACGGGATTCCTCCGATAACTTATACTGAAGTAGATGTATTTAAAAAAGGATGAATGCCATTAGAAATGGTTGCTTCCAGTCACGGCCCTCACACTAACATTGTGCTGCATTGCATCTATAAAATAGATCATCAATGCAAGCACAAATTCCTCTTTTAATGACAAAAATGTCATCTGTTCCAAAAGTATGAACCTGGCTCAATTTGGTGCAGGAAAAAACAGAATGAGCCCAGTACACACCATTCTCATTTGCATCGAAACTTTTGAGAGAGATCGTTTTACACCAAGGAGTCCAGTTCTTTTGACATCTCCTCTAGGCAAAATAGGGTATTCACGTTTCATTTTTGTGCAGCTTTTTTCCCCCCTAAATTTTTTGTTTTTTACTTCTTACCTCTGAGCTGGAGCCACCATCGTAAGCACTGGTTGCAAGTCGGGCTAAATTGCATAAATGTTGGAACAGGTTTAAACCAGTCATGCTGATGGTTTCTGGCTTCAGTTGAGGCATCTGCAAGTTCAAAAACAGAACGGTATAAAATGACAATGTAATTGATAGCTGTGAGGCTATATCTGAGGCAAAAATGTGATGTACATTTTGGAAATGAATTTCCCAAACACCCAATTGCTAAACGAATATAAAAATATGGAATACTTCTTACACGATGCTGCTAACATCTGTATACACATATACACTTATTCAAATGCATTAAAAAGCATCAATACACAAGCAAAGCTACAATATTTTGCCTATACATGAAGTGCAGATTAATTTGTTTATGTTTATGCTATGTTTACATCAGCAGCATTGATGTCCATGGGCAAGTAAAAACAGTTAAAAATAATGCCCAATTGAAGTTATACTGACCTTTTCTAAGAAAAGATGCTTGTAGGTTTCCATGCCCATAGCATGCTGGTCTTTACTGCGAACTTGATTCAGGAACCAGTGCAAAGCATCATCATAGCATTCTGGGTCCTCTACTAAGCAGTGCCATAAGATATCCACCTGCTCAAGACTTAGCCCTAAAGTTAAAAACACAAGTTAAAAATGGGGTTCAGGAAGGAGGAAACCGCAACACTACCACTGAGATGTTTTAAAGCTACATTTATCAGTATTTATTATAGACTAATATAACTGTGTTTTGAATCAATTTATTAGCGTATTGCAAATTAAATGCCTGCGGTGTTTCAAAGAGCAAACCAAATTAGTTCTGAATTTATCCCACCATAGAGGAACAAATGTTTTTTAGAGCAGAATAATAACATTTATAAAGCCACATCTGTAGGACATTGCTGTGCGCTAATTTTCTGCTGAGTCCACTACACTTTACAATATCCTGTAACAAGGAGGCATAGTCTTAAATTAGAACCAGGCCATTTAAGAGTGAAATCAGGAAGCATTTTTTCACTCAAAGTGTGGTAGAAATCTGTAATTCTCTCCCCCAAAAGGCCGTGGATACTGAACCCATCCACACCTTCAAGGGTGAGGTTGATAGATTTTTGGTAGGTCAGGGTATTGAGGGATATGGGGAAAAAACGGGAAATTGGAATTGAAAGGATTAGTTGAGGTACAGATCAGCCATGATCTAATTAAATGGTGGAACAGGCTTGAAGGGCCGAATGGCCTACTCCTGTTCCTATGTAAGGATTATTATCATCATCTGAAATTGCAAGATGACAATCCCAATCAGTTCAACATGGGGTGTGATTACTAGTTAATGCTTCAGCATTCACTGTGCATGAGCACAGAAAGACGTCAGTCTCCATCGGTGCTTAAAAATGCCACTGGTGTGCATGGAAGCTAAAATGGCCAACTCCGGGAGATTGGATCACTGCTTATATCATGCGAAACATGCAGGAAGTGGGCCGTTATCCATTCTGCAGAACATGGGGAACCTAAATGGCCAACCTAGAACATTTATGGGTTTCTCACATTATGTGCAGTGAGTAGGAAGTGATATCAGCAGCAACCCGGTGACCCAAAATAAGCTATTTTGGCTTCCTGCAGGACTGCCATCATTTTGAAACGCTAATAGAGCTAGGTGTTAACTCTGAAATTTTTGGGTAAGTAAATGTCAGGATCCACAAAACGCACAGTCACTACACTTTACAGTATATTCTGTGAAGCACTCTGAGAGTCTCGTCAATGTGATAAGGCGCTATATTAAACACAAGGATTATTATTATTATCCAGACCCCAAAGAGAAACCGCATTACAACCAACACTACATTAGAATATGATTCTACTGCGTATAGAATGGGAAATACTTACTAAAATGGTCTGGAGACCCAAGAGTTGAAAAAACGCACGTCAAAAATTGAAGGCGAACTTGTACCTCTGCACCATGACTGTACCTGTACAATTATGGTGCAAAAAATAAAAAAAGCAGCTTGTTATTCATCCTATTGTAGCAATGCTCCTTCCTTTAGTTGAAACTATTTAATGAAGAAGTCCTTCCTAACCGTGATCTTCAGCAAAGGCAAAAATACTGTGCATCAAGTGCTTTTTTAGCTTTGCAAAGGAGTGCACAGCCCAAATGACATTCAGGAAGGTTAGACAATGTAGTCTGACGAGGACTGGGTGTTCTTTTGTCTGGATGAGCACCTCTCCAGATAAAAAATAAAATGACTTCATCTGTGTTTATATTTGGGTAAATACAATGAACAAAGCCATTATTCAATTAATATTGCAATTGCTCAAATTATTATCCACTTTTATCTGCACAAAGTTCCCTTCAAAGTGCTTTTTATAGAGATGTTTTGACAAAAATCAAGATGCTTTCAAGATTAGCTGCATGTACATGGTATAAAATAGCTTGACAAGCTTAATTCAGTGAGGCCAAATAAAGGGAGTCGAACAAAGCCAATCATAACATTCAAATCCTGGCTGCCAAAAAAACATCCAAGACCATAGCATAAATCATTGAAAACTTGCCACAGATTCTGGTTCTAAATGTATATCAAGTCTCACAGCATTGATGAAAGTTATACCAATTCCAAGACTTAACGCAATAAATCTAAGACATCAAACACATTGCTGCCTGCAAATCTTCAAAAAAATATTCCAGGGCATAACTTTTAGTGGAAGAGAGTGAGTTAAGGGATATTATATACAACATCCTCCTGAGTAAGAGTACAACTTCCTCCAATTTTCCAATGCATCCAATATCAAATTTCACCCAGCACTCATTTCATATGAAACAAGAGTTCCCAACAATTCCGTTACTGCATTTTGAAAAGCTTTCTAGTAGTTCAGACATCCCCCATAGCAAAGCTTATCCTCTTCAAATATTCCTTTAACCCTTCAGACTCCACACTCTTTTTTCTGCCACATTAGTCACTCCAGCATTCAGAAACATAGAAAATAACTATGGTATTTTCCAGTGGGGGGCGGGGAGGGGGGAGAGAGAGAGAGAGGTTAATGGGTCTCCTTGTGGCTAAGTTGGTTCCAAGGTGATGTGCTTGGCAACAAATTGTCTAAATCAACCTTTATTAGATGTCTCAGTTGTCTGGTTCCTAAGCCAAGTAGGTTTGCAGTCCTCCAGGGCGCTACTGATGACAGCCCAGCCAGCCCAGATTTGGAGGGGCAGACCAGTCACTGGAGGCAGGGATCTTCCCACTCACCTTCTATTAACCTTGCAAACCAAAGTGCTGATAGGATGGTCTTAGCAAGACGAGCAGCAGGAAGCTTGCCAAGCAGTGCTCTCAATGGCAAGCCTTAGGGTTTTAACTGGTTAAACTCCAGCAATCATCCCAATGCATGCTCGGGGATCCCCAAGCCTTGGCTCTTTGCCAACTTGGACATAATACTTCCCAGGATTCAGTAAGCAAGGTGTGTCCCTCCCAGGGAGAGCATGCACATTCCCTTCCACTCACAGAGAAATTTCCATATGCAGATGGCATACATTAGTGGAACCCTGTATGGTTTGCCAAAATATCCAAGTGACCAAAAAAAAACTTTCAGACACAACTCACGATAGCAAACACAGTTTAATAAGCATCCTTAACACTAAAATACATCACATGGTGTATTTAATTTGTACCATATGCTGAATTAAAGCCGAATATACCTTGGTAGATTTCAAATCAAAAGTAAAATGTAGGAAGAAGGGAAAATTGAATATACTTACAACAAATGTTTGTGCACTTGTTCCCGAACTGCCTGAATATAATGTATCAGGTTATCAAAGAAAAGCTTCATCATATTCAATTCCTTTTCTGCCCACCTATAAAATACAAATAAAAAGATACATTAGGTGGTAGTGGGGCGGGGGGAGAAGATATGGTCATTTGTAATTAAGAAAACAAGTGCAGGAAACTCCTGATAACTCAAGCCTGTCCTAACCTGTCACTACAATTGAAATCATCATGCTATCACTATCCTGCCCGCATTTATTTATGAATTTATACCTATACCTATCTCACCACTCTGGATAACTCGTCATTCAGGAACAAACATTAGACACAATACATTCGACAATCCCAAACTACTTACATAGTTATCCAATGTGTATCGTAGCTGCTCCCAAATTGCTGGAAAGTGCCAAAGAGTTTAGGAAGAAGACGAAGTGAAACTACCACTGACCTGAACAAAATAATATGCATCATCATAATAGTTAATCAGATCCAACTTACATGACATAAGATTTTCACTTTAAAACAGGAAATAATCCCAGAACTGTAATGGTTTTTATTTTTCTTAAATTAATAAAATAATTGCATGCACAATCATACAGCTTCTAAATAATCCTGAAGCATATGAAATTGTATAAAGGGAAATATGAAGTGATTCACTATGGCAGGAAGAATAAAGAAGCTGACCCTGGATGGTAGGAATCTAAGTGGGGAGAGGAATAAAAGGATCTTGGGATTCAGATACATTAAAATTAGCAGCACAGATAGACAAGGTCATAAAGAATGCAAATATAATTCTTGGCTTTATGACCAGAGGAAGAGTGTAAAAGTACTGAATTAATGTTACATTTATATAAATCCTTGGTTAGAGCACATTTGGAGTACTGTGTGCAGTTCTGATTGCCATATTACAAGAAGAATATTGTCACATTGAAGAGTACAGCATAGAATTACAAGAGACGAGTTGGTTACAGCAATCAAGAAAGATTGGACAGGTTGGAGTTTTTTCTCTGGAGTGAGATGATTGAGAGGGGACCTGACTTTAACAGTATGAAAGCATTCCATAGGACCGATGGTAATAAACGGTGTGCACTTCCTGGTGAGTCAAAAAACAAGGGGACCTAAATATAAGACAACATAAGCTAATGTAAGATCTAAGAAGGTGTTCAGAAGGAACGTCTTCACGTAGAGGCTGGCGAAATGTGTAATTCACTGCCAGAACTGCAGTTAAGTAAAAAGCATCAAAGCATTTAAGAGGAAACCTGATATATATGTGAGGATGAAGGGAACAGAGGGGTGAATAGGAGGGTCAGAGGTTCATGTGGAGTGCGGGCGCTGGCATGGCTGAGTTGGGCTGAATAATCCATTTCCATGCAATACTTGTACCCTAGTCCAAGTAATTGTAACAGAAAGACGTCCCAAGTAATAGTAACTCTACATAATTTGGACTCTAGTTATGGCAGGTGAAGAACTTCTGAATTATCTAGGATTTTTTATTTCTAGTTATTAAAAAGTGAGGATATCATTAAGGGTTTATAGCTTTCAACCACATTTACAGCTAACAACCCGTATAATACATAAATGTTTAATAATACATTTTAATCCTTACATTGGGAAGAAGCAGTTTCATTTTTTTGTCCTTACCTATCATTTGCTAGATTTTCTAAACAGCCTTCAATGAATCTCATTCGAATCTGCCGGTCAGTAAACCAGCACACGAGAGAGCACAGCAGCTTCTCAGCTTCATTTATCAATCCCTCTGAAAGGTGAACCTATACAAAACAAACAGAAAAGTAACTATCGGCACTCTAGTCCAACAACTTTTAAATTGTTGTACTTCTGAATGTAAACGTACCGCATCTTCATCCTGTACCAAGTCCCAAAGAAGAGTATTACCCTTCTTGCAAACATTGTCTAAGTTGATATCTGTGACTGCATTGGTGTTATATTGGTGCTTATGAACATTAGGAGCTGAAGAAAGAAGATAGTATAAAATAATCATATTGGATAAAGAAAACAGAGAATTACTCATTTACTACAATACAAATTCACATTTCTATTGCACCTTTCGCGACAGGAAGACGTCCCAAGACACTTGACAGTCCAGGCTTGGCACCCGAGCTGAGGGTGGGAGCCGAGGAGGATAAGAAGAGGAAAGATGACAGAAGCGCAGTTAAAGTGGAAGGTCTTGAAATAGGTGAGGGAGGGGCAAGTCGGAGATTCCAGGAAAGAGCTCCAGAAAGTGGAGTTAGATGGGTGAAAGTCCGACTAGAGTGGACATGAAGCAAGCTGGTCACTGAACCCTGTGTTGAATCAGAACTCAGAAATGAGTTTCTACATCTTAACAGCTGCAAAATAATTCCAGTGAATAAGCTGGTCATTTCAAGCTTATGACTAAGTTTGAATTTAAAAAATGTTGCGCGACACCAGAAACAATCCACAATCTTCTTTAGATATTTGAAACTGGACACTGGCACTGACCACAATAATATAGAGGTAGAGACAAGGAAGACATCGTCAAACTCAATGACACTCATTGTTACCCTTCTGTCTTCTCGAGTACTGCCAAAGATTATGATGCCCTTAAATCAGGACAGAGACCAGTAACTTAATTGCAACTTTAAGCATTAGAAGTGAGACTTAGAAGTGTCAATTTGACGTGGTGGATGCTAATCTATTTAAACAGGAAACGTATCTAATATGGCCAAAATACAATATTACATTCTTTTCTAGCTAGAGACAGTGGTCGTCGATGCAGTCCTCACAAGCCCAAAAGCAAAATTTTATAATACTTCTCGATTAAATTTGACAATGCTGCCCACAGCACAAATTAGTACATTAGTGTCTAATGATTGTTGGCATGATTCCATGGTGCAATGACATTAAAACTTCATGCAAGTGGTTTCCACTAGCGAGCAATGATCCATCAAGCTAATATGAAATCTGATCAATATTTATTCCCTTTCTCATTTTGTTTTTCAACCCAATACAATCTTTAAAGAGAAACTTCAAACTAAAAACAAGTTTAGAAAATATGAATAACACTTAGAAAAAGTTTCCCCCATGGGAGTGGCGATGAAGTGGGATAAAGTCACATATTATCAGCATCTTATTTTAAGTTAACAATGATGCCATCATTTTACCTTTGAGAATCGTTACATTTGATATAGCACCTTATCGTTCAAGCATTTCAGATTACTATAAAATATAGTGACTGTGCATTTATGGCAAACCAGCAGCCAATTTTGCAGAGCCATATAATAATAATCCTTGCATTTGATATCCCACAAACATGCATGCAGTGGATGACCAATTTATCTGGGACTTTCAGGATATCCTAATTTATCCTAAATTAACTTTGTTTGTGGACATTCCCGTGTACAACGGGAGAAACTCCTTTCTCTTTTCAAATAGTGCTATGGTTACCTCGCTTACCTCTCCTCCCCCTTCTCTCTTGCTCAGTGTCCATCCCCGACACACAAATCAGCCTGGCAGTTGTCAAACTGAACAAATCCAGTTCTAGAGCTTCTAAATTAATTTGCTCAGGATCATGGGGGTACAAATGAAAGAACTCAAACCACAACAAATAATTGTACGTAGGCTTCAGGTGGAAAGCGCATGCAACAGGATGCTGAGATACACAACTAAAAGATAGTTATCCTGAAATCTTTTATCCTAAATTAACTTTGTTTGTGGACATTCCCGTGTACAATACACAAACACCACACATTAACTTAACAGTAACCACTGTGAAGCACTTTGAGACATTGGTATAAGATTCTTCATCAAATGCAAGGATTATTATTGCTGTTATTATATTAGTAACCATTATATAAGAAAAAGTCTATTATTTTATTAAAATATAAATTATTAGTGGGACTCTTGCTCATTCGTAAGCCTTTCAAAATATTCTCTTTTCTATAATCCTCTGAAAACCAGTTTGGAGGATTAAATTACTACGCGTCATAGAGTATTGAGTCATCAGCAGAAATAATTATTAAACTCGGGATGCATAAGATACCATTTCATCTCTGGATGTTAAAATTATCTTCAATGCACTTGCTGCTTAAAACAAGTTTAAAAAAAACCCAGCAACATGGCAATGATTCACTTCAATAGTTTGATGAGGGGTGGGGGGGGCGATATGGATGGAAAAACTTTTTTAAAATCAACCTCAAATGCATTCCTACTTAATAGTTCAATGAACACTTTGTGTATTCAATGATACAATCAAGTAATCCAGCATATTTACAACTCAACCAGCAACATTAGAAAATGAGCAATACAAGTTATACTGTTTTTCCAATTATTTTTAAGATAATGTACATGTTTGTCATACCTTGGTTGAGATGCTCGTGGTAGATAGAAGCTAGATTGGGAAGATGTTGCTGAAGGTGAGATGTAAGCTCTGCGTGAGAGCTGATCTGTACCAGTTCTTCCTCACAGCCCGACTCCTCGCCATCAAAGTCAGCCATGTTCTTTTCAGACTTCGCACTGACCTGAGAACTGCTACAGCTGACATCATCGGCACTCAGCATATCGTCGCCTAAATGTCTGTAAAACAAGTGGTGAACAGATAACTGCAGGGTTTCATAAGAAATCATTTGTTTTCTATGTGTAAAAACAGTAATTTCAGGGCAACAGATTACTGAAGTTTCACTCATACGTATCATTTCATGGATGTGAATACTCAATGGTCACTAGATGCACTCCATATTCCAGAAATCATTTAAAGGCGCTCTTGACAAAAATTCTGGAATAATGCTTATAAAATAACAAGAATGTTTTGCTCATTACTTAGCTCCGGAAGATTTTCCCTCCTTATTCAAAGAGAGTCGTAACTTCCCTTATTTTCCCCTTCCGTCACCTTGCCCACACATATGTCACCTTCATTAAAATTGTCTGAATGTCTGGTGATAGCCTAAGGCTGAAAGCACCAAACACACTGCCATTCACCTTCATTGAAAATCTCCACTCGCACATGTATACCGTACACAAAATATTAGAAATAATTGAAAGACTTTGAGTTTGAAAATCTAGACCGGTCACCTACTTTAAAAAACAAATATATTTGTGAGAAAGATGCATAAAGGCAACATCCTGAGATAATGCAACACTTGTGCCTATAACACATTGCAGCACAAACTAGTACAATGTAATTTTGTAACTATAATGAAGTACTGAATTTGGCCATGTCATCTTGAGGTGGAATCCTAACAGAGCCAAGAAAGTTCTCCACACTTGCTGAATTAATACAGTGCTGCAAGGATGGCCTTTATCCCTTGGACAATCATATCCTAAAATAATGCTGCAAAGGGCTGCGAGACAGCCACTCAATGTATAAGCTTTAATAGAATAAGAAAGTAACATCCTGTACAATATCCACTCCCCGTCAAGGATAAACCATATGTACACAGTTTCATGCAAGTGTAAGCAGCATGTTACTGGTATGTGTAGAGAGAATTACAGGTGACTTAACAACAACAATTTGCATTTATACAGTGCCCTTCACACAGGGAGGGTCTGGGAGCGCTTAACAGTGGCGGAATCTGGCATTGAGCCGGGAGAGGTGAGTGGAAGCACTGTCGAAGAGGAAGATCTTTAGTCACTATTTGTAAAATGGGATAGGAGGGGGCGAGATGGAGGGATTGAGGAAGAGAGTTACAAAGTTTCAGGACGTAGTGGCTGAAAGCACAACTGTCGATGGTGGAGAGCAGAGGGGACGACGGGCAAGCAGTCATCCCCACTATTCTGTACCCCAGAAAGGGACCTGTGCAATGATCCAGTTAGAGATGACCCCACTCAATGTAGTGTGGACTTTGCCCTCGAGGTGGTGCACATTTGGTAACAATTAATAGTTGCAACTCCTTGTTCACTGTCCTCCTCCAAAATGGTTTTCGTTTTAGGGATGAATGCAGCAGAACTTGATGACGACAATTCATCTGTAGAAATGAAGACATTCAGTTAATGGCCTTAAGACAAGCCATGCAGAATATGCTAAAAGGCATTTAATTTTCTGTTATGTACACATGAATAAATTCATGCGTATTAATGACCTTTCAAACGAATATTAGCAAGCTGATCAAGGTAAACCTTACAGCATTTTCTTGCACTGAATTAAGTTTTTCTCTAGCTATAAAAAACACTTTCACACTTACCAGGCTGCTGAGACTCTACGGGTTCTTGGTCATGAAGTAGATGGTTCTGCTTGGCAAGGATGCAGTCAAATAAACGACTTCCTTGCGTCACTTGTGGCTTTATTAGTTTGTTTGGATTATTAAACTCCAAATTCTTCTTTCAGCTCATTCAGGATTTTGTAGGTTTCTGATAAATCAGTGGCATTTCGATAATTTTGCTGATTTTCTCAAATATCCAGGCGTTGGTTCACCTTTCTACAGTTGATGGTTCCAATTGTGTACCAAAAAGATGCATTCTGAACAGAATACTTTTACAATAAATCAGTAAAATAATGTTGTTTGGTTGCCTTTTGAATTTAATCTTTGTTCCTTAATTTACACCATTTTATGAAATCACATTCGATAACACACAAAGTGCCTCATTATTGTAAGTTGAAACAGTATGCAGTATTTACATAACCCGAAATAATTTCCAATTCCTGTCTTAGTTCTAGACTTAAAATATTGTGCTAGAATTTGCTACGTTACTGCCTGTGGGATAAGTGTAGCTACGTACCACTGGAAAAAGAGTCAAGTTCTTCAACATTAATAATAATAATAATCCTTGCATTTGATATAGCGCTTTTCACATCAGGAGGACGTCCCAAAGCGCTTCACAGAACACACTGTAAAGTGAATTGACTGTATATTTGTGGGCGAACGCGGCAGCCAATTGCGCACAGCAATGTCCCACAAACAGTCGTAGATTGAAAATGACCAATTTAATTATTGTTTTGGGTTTTTGGAGGGATTATTCTTAGGCTCTGTGTGGAGTAAGGAAACTTGCCCAAGGTTTCGCCCTGTCTGGAATTGAACTCAGGTCTCTCACTTGCATTCTACAAGTTGGGATAATAACCCTCAACATCTTACCAAGACACACAATTCTGCTGTAGAATTTTAAACCAAACATACAGGAAAATGTATAATGCGTGCTTCACAGACTGCTTCTTTTACAAAGCAGCAGGATACACAGCTGGAGCCAACAACTCTCTCAAAAGGGCAAGGATTCCAAGCAAATTTTCCAGATAGAACATACATTTTATCTTTGCTTTAAGGACTAGAGGAAACAAACAAAATATCATAAGAAATACAATTATTTGATATGCAAAGAGCAATATTTGTGGCAACATCAAGCAAAACTTGGTACAATACTGACCAGTTCCAATTGTTCCAATGAAGCAGAAATATGACTAAACAAATAGAACTGTATAAGTGGGATATAGTCATACAAACACAGTTGAGCACTGACACGGATATTAACCCAAGGAATACAAATTGATGCAGATTAAAAGTAATTTGCTTCCAAGGTTTTATTTGATTTTTTTAAAAAAATCAAATCAATAACTTGCAAGCAAACTACTATAATACTGTTAATTAGATCCAACTGGACTGCCAAAGTATTACAGGATTAAGGCAATTTACAGCAAGGATTATTATAATCTTGATTCAGTTTTCTATGTTTGAACAACAGACCCAGGAATATATTTCACTGGTGGCTTTAGAAAAGAGGCACTGAATATTCTGGGGAGCCAAATACAAAACAGATTCCTGTTTGAACCAGCTCACCTTTCTCACAGACTGATTACCTCCAGGGCCTTGTTTGTGTATCATCAGATTTGAATTACAGCCTAAAAACAAAACCTGAAAACATCAACTATCCTGGCATAAAGGTTAAAGAAATAAAAAGTTAAAACTAGGCATGAGCTTACCCATCATGGTGGTGATGGTGATGCTGACCGATGAACCGTCTGCAGTTAAATATTTCATTGCCGATCGCCTCCCCTAAAAAGTCTCCTGTTCGTGCAATACACGACTCCTGAGAACCTTGTGATATGTGTGCAGAATTTATTTCCCCTGACATGTCATGTTCAGAGTCTTCAGGATGTGAACAACCATCTAGCAGTCGGATTCGATTCTCTCCCGATGTGACCGCCTCAGTGCTATATTGGAGGTCCTTGCCCGATCCACCATTCGGTCCGTCTCGTTCCGCTGCTCCTGGTGATTCCGAGAGACAAATACCCGATTGCGACTCTGTGTTGCGAGTTCGTAATTCACTATTTCGGCTCTCTTTCTGAGGGCTGTGTCCCCCTTCCTCATCTTCGTCGTCTTCATCCTCTTTGAGAGCTTCACTATCTGCCATGTCCTCAGAATGGACCTCACTTCCTGGACTTCCAGCAGATTGACTGGCGCGGCTAGAATTTACTTCATTGCTTGAACCGTCACTGTGCCCACTACTACTGCCAGGCCCACTACTGGCATCTTCACCGCTATTGGCAGTCTCATCAGAGCTTCCCTGCATGGATTCCTAAAAAAAAGTGGGGTAAAATTGAAAAGATAATGTATACCATAACCAATATATGTTTACAGAGGATTCCTTCTATCGTAGAAATATTTTTTAAAAAACGAAGTTCATTATTCATCTGAACCTTCAAAGATACTGCATGGAACTTGGAGAAAAGATGTGATGTTTACTTTTTAAATAAAGATACCAATGTTACAACAATTTACATCGCAACCTTTTGTTCTTTTAGCTTGTCATCTAATTGAAGTGGCACACGCAGTTGAGCCTAGCAATGATCACTCACAGATTGCGTTTTCACCAATAATAATGTTGCGACATTTCAAAGAACTTCACAGATAATTGTCAAGCATAACGACTGTATTTCTCAGCAAACATGCCATCAATTTTGGACTTACGCAAGGGACCAAGAACAACAATTAAGTGAATGAGCAATGTATTTGGAGCATTGTTGGCAAAAACAAGGAACTTCCCTTCCCAAATAATCATGGATCTTCAATATCCACCTGAATAGTAAGACAGGACTTTGGCTAAATATTTCATTTGAAGGAAGGCAGCTGTAGCATCGTAGTAGAAGGCCAGCTTAGAGAATCAAGAGTGCTGCTGACTGAAACAAGCTGACAACATACAGAAGGTAGCTCAATAGCAGCATGATCAGCTGAATCTCAACCCAAACACTAAATGGAATCCACTTGTATGTACATTCCTCACCTCTGTATCTGACAGCCGCTGCTGTGCACGCTTTGCTCTGTTCATTATCTGTTCATCCATTTCAATGTCACTGCCTCCACTCTGATGGGTGTCACTGTTGTCACTGCTCTGTGGACTAGCTGCAGGAGATCCTAGGTAAAAAAAGAATATTTGCACATTTAGCATATTTCTGAGAAAATGCTCAAAATATTTCAGAAAACATTGAGAAACCATCCTGAACCAATCAATGTAAACAGAAATTGTGGCCTCTTGCATCTGCAGCGCTGTAACCTGTTTTTCTAGGTCATTTTTTTATTTCATTATTCACACTTTTCTCATATCCCTCAATGTTTTTAACTGCTCAGGTGTTGATCCAGTTCTCCAGATACTGATCCAGCCTTGTGGTGTCCTGTAGCTCAGTAGTTAGAGCACTCGCTTTGCAAGCGAGAGACCCAAGTTTAATTCCCAGCAGGGCGAAACCTTGGGCAAGTTTCCTTACTCCACACGCCTAATAATAATCCCTCCAAAACCAAAAACAATAATAAACTGGTCATTTTCAATCTACGACTGTTTGTGTACATTGCTGTGCGCAATTGGCTGCCGCGTTCGCCCACAAATATACAGTCAATTCACTTTACAGTGTGTTCTGTGAGGCGCTTTGGGACGTCCTCCCGACGTGAAAAGCACTAAATCAAATGCAAGGACTATTATTATTAGACATTCGTGGTAAGGTATTCCATACACCCACCCATGTCTGAGTGAATTCCTTCTAACCTCTCCTTTGATTCTTCCAACAATCCTTGAAACTACACTTTGCAGTCACTGATTCAACCAACCAAAGAAAATAAGTTTGCCTTATTTAACTTGTTGCATCCCTTCAGAATCGTGAACACTTCTATCATATCCTCTCTCAATCTCCTCTGGTCCGTGGACCAAGCTCCAATTTTTCACGCCACTCGTCACAAGTATACTGTCTCCCATTCAATTGAATAGTCGCTGCAAACTCTCCATGTCACCAACCTTCCGGGAATGTGGTGTCCAAAATGGAGCAAACACTCTAACTGTAGCTTTACCAATTTGTGCATAGTTCAACATAATTTCCCTACTTTTACATCTAAAACCTCCAATTATAAGTTCCAGAACTCGATTTACTTTCTTGGTACTTGGTAGCTTTTTGTGCCTGCTTTAATTCCATTTCATTCCCCCCTCTGCCCACCCCGTCTCCCAAAGGAGACACTCTTATTTTATCAATGTTAATCTGTATCTGCCACTTGTACAACAATGTTGCGAGTCTATTAATGTCTTCCTGAAATCTTAAACAGCCATTTTCACAATTTGTCAACCCACCCTATTTAATATACGCAGCAGCCTGGGACGCAATTCCTTTGCCAAGCCAATCATGTAAAAAGCAATGGCCCCAGTACAGGTCCCTGGGAAGTCCTATCAGTTTGATGAACATCTATTCATTCACACACTGGGTATTAGAGGTGCGAGTCAGCCGTCTGGTACGATATTGCTCATTCCATACAGGAATCTGGCAGAGTAGTTTAAGTAAAGCCAAGCCTTTCGTATGTGTATTTGTGCACACAGCTCTGCTAACCAAAGCTATATGTAGAATGGATAGATACTTACAGTGGTATGCAGGGATAAAGATAAAAGCCAAGGAAATGGAATTGAAAAACCTGACAATTTGGCAGGAGAGGCTCAATGAGTTGAATGACTTCCTTGTTTAACTATGTGCAAACAAAATCTGAACATATTTTAAGGTTTAAAAAAAACTTAATTTGGACCAGCTGTATTTATACAACAGGTGATGCAAAGCCATCTGTTAATTCCATCTTCTGAAAATGGTTTTGCACTACTTTTCTAAATCCAAATTACTTGGTAAAACCATCCCAGTGATTATTGCAGTTTGTGCCAATTCAATACAAAAAATACATTAAACCAATGCACACTCTGGTATAACTAGCCTATTCATTTTATTGTTACAGGATCTTCTACATATTAAAGGATTTTCATTCTCAATAATTCGCATGATATTCATACAGTACTTTTTTTTGCTTCGGGACATACATGTGTTAACTATAGATAGAGACGCTGGCTTTTGTAGAATTCTTGCATGTGATAAACTGCCTTATCAAGTTGAAACATCTTAAAACATTAGAAGAAAATAATTTTCTGCGAAGTGGAGTGACTGTGTAATTGTAGGTGAATAGTTTGCAAATAGTGTCAAGCTCCAATTTATAATCTGAATACACCATTGGAAATGCAATTAAAATCTCAATCAAGACTAATGACATATGAACATAGGAATTGCTAGGCGAAAAAAGACCAAGATCCATCTAGTCCACCAACTACCATACTAATAGTCACATGCTACAATAATGGAGATTTTGATAGCAATTAATTCTGTACGGATTAGTCTACAACACAGTGGAAAGCTTTGGGAAGCTTAGACTCAAAGTTGCCTAATTCTTCCAAGCATGCTGCACTTACTATACGTCATGTCTCAAAATTATTCATGTACTGCATCCCTAAATATTATTTTCTAAACGAAATCTATCTAATTTGTGTTTGAATGAATCAACACCTCTTGCTTCCACAGTCTCCCTAAAGAGCCCGTTCCATAGATTTACCACTCGCTCACTGAAATAGTACATCAAGCAAATGACATGTCAATGACATATCACATTTAAGCACTCCGAGACACTAATGGTGCTATATCAGTGCAAGTTGTTTTTGTTATCATTGTTGATAAATTAGGCAAATATCAGATTTGACACTTTCTAGTATTCTTATTTGTACATTATTATGCTTAGCGAATCTGAAATATTTCTATACACAGCCTTTAGTTCAAACATAAATATGCACATGATCTATTCTCCACTTACCTTTCTTGTTTCCCATAGGGAGATTTGTGTTAAGAAGAGAAGCAAAAGAGCTTTGCTTGGATAATTGAGCCTTAGCAGCCAGTGCATTGTTCCAGAGGGCTTTAATAAGCATTGATGCCAAGTACAGGGTCTGAACAAAAAGCCAAAAATGCAATGAGTCTTGAGTAAATACCTTTTATTCAATTAATTCAACCCAGGAATCTGTCTCCAGTTGAGAAAAATTCTGAAAGCCAAATGTAACAGACTAAAGAACCACAGTTGTGCACCAACTCTTACCCAAATGCATATGCGTTTTTTTAATAAAATGGTTCTGACATCTGTCAAAGTTAATGGGTTGTCAGCTGACCACAGCTCACCCAGTTAACACAATTATGTGAACATCAATTAAAACAAGTGAACGGTTCATTTTTAGTAAATATCGAAGGTTAGCTAATTTTCAGTAAATAAAACAAAGCTTCACTGGCACAATGAAGCCTAATAACTAAACCACACATACCCATTCCAGTGTTTTGAATTAATCCAAGATAAAAAGAGTTTCAACATGCTTAAAACTGAACACGGTTTTTAAGTAACAGGCAATCAGTTTTAAGGGTGTAGGGTACTTACAAGTCTAGGAATAGAAAGAAAAACTGCAAATCTAAAATAAGAGATTTTTTCTGTGGATTTCCAGCATTTCTGTCAACAACTGAGAGATTAATACTACTAAATGCAATATCTGCTCAGTTTTCATCTTTCAAATATTATCCATTAGTTTACAGCAGGGGTGGTCCAATTGGTGGCCCGTGGGTTGATTTCATACACCACCGCACCCCCTTCCCCCATTTTATCAGCCCCACCTGTTCCCTCCGTAACCCATAAATGTTAGGTTACTGGAAGGGAAACACAAAAATATTGCTTAGACAGCCCACAGACTGTAGGGCAGCCAACTTACAGTATCACAGCACATCTGGACATATTCCAGTTACCTATGTCCCATACAGCAAAACTAAGCGCAACAGATTTCTCACCTGCTCTGTGTGCGCACTTGGATGAAGAGCAGATACCAGATTAAGAAGGTGACGAAGCGGAACAGGGTCCAAGTGCTTTATAAGGGATGGGAACAAATCGTGGATGTACCGACTACAGTGCTTCAACTATTGAAAAGGGAAAAAAAATGAAAATCAAATTACTCTTACAATGAATGCATAGTTTACAAACATCACTAAGTGTAAGTTAGTTGAACGAGTGTTTTTTTTAAAAAAAACACAATTTTAGTCATAATTTGCAAAAATAATACCAAGATGCAAAACAGATGCATTTACAGATGCTGTCTTGTTTGTGTGTTTCTTCATGGCACCAAAAGGAATTAGAGTTATTGCTTCAAGGTGCATGGACTAAACAATACAAAATTATCTGAGTAGGTAGGTCATTCAAATCTAGTCACTTCACCATCATAAACAGTAATTTGCATTTATATAAGCACATTTCATGTAGGATATTGTCTCAGAACATTTCACAAATAACAGCGTTGAGCACCAAGCAAAGGAGGAGAAGGGGGAATTTTTGGATGGTCAAAGAAGTAGGTTTTATTAAATTTTACAATTTGCTTTCCAGAAATCATTAAAATGATCAATCAATTCAATGAACTGAAGATAAGGTGATTAGATTGCTGGAATTTTTTTTACAAAAGAAAGTCGGATAGGTACTTAAAATTGAAAAATGGGCAGGGCTATGGGGTAAGAGCGGGAAAGTGAGACTAGTAGATAGCTCTTTCAAAGAACAGCACAGGCACAATGGACTGAATGGCCTCCTTCTGTGAAGTAAGATTCTTTGGTTTTTTTAATCATGTTTTGTTGCAAACTATAAAATCTGTAAATCTAGTTCCATTACCTGTGCTGCTGCCCAAATGCAGTCTATATGCTGAGTGCTAAGTCTTCCTTCAGCAGCCAGAAAGTTGAGGATGACTTGGCACTGTTTGATAATCTGCAATACAAAAATTTAACTTTTTAAGACCTGCAGACATGGATTTTCGCAAGTTTGTGATGAAATAAAAGCAACAATATTCAAGACAAACCTCAATGTGCAAATTTGGTCCAAAGATATGTTCGACAACATTGTTAAGAATAAGCCAGTCTGCAAGCTCCTTTGCAATTGACCTGGACGACAAAAAGAAAGTAGTTGAAAATGAAATTTACATAAAAAAGATTTCCTTTTCTCTCCACTTTAAGTGCTACATTCTTAGTTTTCTTTGAAAGTGCCAAGAATATTGGTTGGATTACTGTATTGTGAACATTGTACAAATTCTTTTCCTCCCACTCAAATTATCTGTGTAATATAGAAACAAATGAAAAATTGTATAACTTACGTTTCAGTGTCTGACACCAACGATTCATTATTACAAACATCATTGAATGTGTGAAGTTGATTCTGTTGGAATAAAAGGGAAGCGCTGATCAATTTGGGATACATCATAAGGATGGGTTACGAAATTCAAAGGATGTTTCTAAACCATCAAATTAAAGAGATGGAGCTCCTCCAACAGCAAGTTACTTTTATAAGACATTTGAAAGATTAGCTGGTTTTGGTTGGGAGTCTGATTCAAATAACAGCAAGTTTGTGTAACCTTGATTGAGTGCTGGGCCAAACAACTGAAATAACTGGGTTATCTCTAGGAATTATTAAAACTGCATATGAAAAATGAGTAGTAAATGGCTTACAAATCTCTATGAATGCATAAACATACCTAAATATGGGTAAAGTGGTGAAGAGTCCCCCTCAGTATAATAATCTGGTACCTCAAATTGTTTTAAAGGCTACAAGGTAAAGGCAAAGTGCTTAGCAATGAATGGAGCTAATCCTCTGCAATAGTCTCGGTAATCTGGTTCCTAAAACAGGCGAGTTCACAGTAATCCAGAACTGTTGATAACTGACCAGCCAGCTTGAGCCCAGCTCATCAATAAGATTTGGAGGGGCAGGCTGGGGTCTTATTCCTTCCACTAACCTCCTGTTAACATTGCAAGCCAAACCCCTAACATATAGGGTGATCTTAGTTGAACCAAGTAGGAGGAAGCTTGCCAGACAGTGCTTTCAATAGCAAGCTATGTGGTTTTAGCTGGTTAAATTCCAGCAGTACCCCAATGCACACACTAGAATCCCCAAGGATGAGATCAGCACCTAATACTCCCCAGAATTAGGTAAACAGATTGCATCCCTTCAGGGAGAGAGTGCATATTTAATTCAAGAAATAGAAATTTCCATGTGTAGCAGACATGTATGGAACTTTTTGTCATAAGAGTCTTTGGTTCAAATGTTCTTAAGCATGGTGATGGGTTTCTGCATGTGTCAGACATCCGGTTGACAAAACAAAATACATGAAAAAAATCATTAGACTAAATGATGACCAACCAAAGGAAATCATTTGCATTTGAGATCAGCATCAAGCACTCCCAGGTCAATAGAGAATGAAATAGGTGCAGCATGAAGATCTCTACGTTCCGATAATCTGTCTTAACACGATCGTTAGAAGAGTATTTACTACTTAAATCAATGACATTTCCATATCCCTCATTTAACAATACTGATGCTGCAAGTGCAACCTCAAATTAGTGTCAAATTAGGAGGAGGTTTAGGAACTCCCAGGCAGCAAGAGAAAAGCTGCCGACACTCATTGAACTTCAGGCTCTTACTGCAATTACAGAGGAGACTTTCATCCCGATAAAGCAAACCTAGACACTAACATTAGAATGTAAAAGATGATTACAGGCAATGGGGAGTTACTGCAATTCAGCTCTTAGTTACATTTACATTTCACAAGGCAACTTACCGTTATCTGACTGAGCCCAGCCAACCTCATAGTTAGGGTTGGTGACATGAAGTACTTGAATGCAAGATCCAAACTTTCTTTGTCAAAACAAAGTGCTGTATCTAAGGGCTCCTTGACAGTACTCCACATCAAGTCTGCCATGTTGCGTGCAGCACTTTGTCGCAATTCCTGGTCTGAAAGTTTACACAAATACCTGCATTGGAACATCAAAAAAAATTAACACATTGAAAATGGTAAATTTAAGAACTCACATGACAAAATTTAATTTGTCCACTGAATTTAATAGAAACACAAAATTAGTATAACTTACCTTATCACATACGTTCTAAAGGGTATAACATGCTGCATAACAGCAGGGATGTGTAACCATATCCTGATCTAGAGCATTAAAGAAAATATATTATCAGTTATTGTGCTCCACAGAAAAGAATACACAAAAATCAATTATTTTTGAAATTACAAACATTTCTTATATACTTTTGTAGATTCCACATGGCACCCAACAAGATTTGGGAGTCTATTTGGCGATATTTGTTCAGCTAAATACAAATATTGTTCTTATAATATTACACATGCTTAAAGAAAAAAGGACCACAAACATAAGGTGCAGTACATTGTGAAAAATAAGTGGATTTCCAGGTAAAACACAGGTGCAAGATTCCATCATTTGTGAGCTAAGAAAATCGAGGATTGGTGTGACAAATTGCAATCATTTTATTTCACAAGATAATTAGAATTTATTTAAGCATTCAAAGAATAAACCTCAATGTTATAAATTTCAACAACATCTAACCTTACACTTCAGATTTTAAGCTTTTTAAATGGGCCGCAGAGATGAATTAATCTCAGTTGTTGTTGCAAGTTGTTGTTGTAGTAATCTTAGCCCACAGGTGTCATGTCTTAACTATTTTTGATAAACTAATATTGAACAGCATCAAAACCAACCAATATTATTACATTTAGATGTCAGGTTTAGCAAGTCCATGGAGTAAAACACTTCAGCACAGATGTAGGCTTCAGATTTTCACCTTATACCCCCACCCCACCTCTTACATTAGCAATTGAAAGTCAAGAAATTTGGAGACAATGTCTCATTCAGAGCTGCCAGGCCAATGCCCTTAAGAGTTTTTTTTCAATATAGGCCTGACAGAGACGACAGAGGGATGGCTTTTCTTTCAATGGTTACTCGCGAATAGCTGATCCGATTTGGAGTCGAATCTTGCCATAACCAGATTTGGGAAAAACAGCAAATGTAGCTGGACATTATTCGTTGTTTCTCAAGACAAATTACCAATGTAAAAGCAAAACGGGCTCCCCATGAAGTGGACCTCTGGGAAATAGAAGGTGGTTTTGGATTTTATGGGGAAAGGAGGAAAGAGAGAAGCAAAAATAAATGCACTATAATCAAAATGAAACTTGACTCTCAACTTTCCTCGAGCTGTTTCAAAAGATAGGAAAAATCAATTAAATTTGAGACTGAATAAATCCAGATCCACTTTATTTACATAGTTTAGAATGACATAAATTGAATCCTTAAAAAAAATGTATAATTATTGCCATCTGCTTAAAGACAAAGTGCACAATGTTGCACTTTATTCTGTTAGAAAAGAATTAGGTCACAGGATACTCTTGTTTAATGAGTGACCGAATAACTTCAGATTTGGTTAATTACTTTCAGATTGTTTATGGGCAGTGTTAAACCTGAATTGCTCCAAATCGATTTGAAGCTTTAGGAGCTCACAACAGGTTATCATTTGAAATGCATATCAGGTTTGGTTGATATACAAATGCGCTGAAAGATGTACGAAAAGTGACAGCGTAGCTGCTGTCAAATCATTTTCACGCCATTGTTCATCACATAGCATTTCCCCAAACTCATGTTTCCCCCAGGAACCCATACCACTTTTATAATGGTTTTCCAGAATTCAAAACAAAAACATCAGTCAAAGTGTGCACATTTATATGGCCCTTGGAAATTATATTGCCCATGTGCACAATGTCTTGACAATCGCTACACAAGTATCATAATGATGTTGCAGGTATGAACTGCCATTAATGGTGAGTTGTGTATGTGAGAATTTGTGGACGGCAATGCGATACCAAGGTACCATATGGAACATCACTAGGCCTACTTGCTCTGATTTTCCATTGCAGAATTCAATCTTGTTGAACCAGTACCAGAAGGAACGGGATAGCTGATTCAAGGGTCAGGTCTGAGCAGAACCGGAACCAGAACAAAAAAGTAATTCTTCATTCATTAACTAGTTGCCTCCTTACAGATACCAGGTGTCTGGTATGCTGATGCTGATATACAAGTATTTCTCTTCAGAGAATCTCAAAGTGTAGTCTAATCTATAAAACACCATGAATGAAAGAAATTGGAATAAAAAAACTGCTCACTGAAAATAACATTTTCCTTTCCACACCATTTTTTTTTACACTTCCATTCAAAATAGTAGTGTGTATGGTGGGGAAGGAAGAGAGTGAAACCCAAATACAATTTTCCTCACCTTCTAAACCACTATGATAAAGACCGATAAAGCAGCATTTTAACTGCTATCAAAATAATCTTCAATACCTAATGTTTTTCTTTCCTCCACTCAGGAGTAAAGACAGCACATTGGCATCTGAATGGTTGAAATTTATGCCCAAACTGAAACCCAAATAATATCAATTGAAAACCAGGAAGTGGAAGAGAATTGTAAAACGAAAACAAGATTACATTTGTTTAGCTCCTTTCACTTCGGGGGAACGTCCCAAGGCACTGGACAGTGTACAGCATTTCAGACCCGTGCTGGGGTCAGGGAAGCAGAAGGGAAGGGGGGTGACCGATGGCATAGTCGAAGAGGAGGGCCTTGAGGCGGGACTTGAAGGAGGCTAAGGAGGGGGCGAGGCGGAGTGATTGCAGAATGGAATTCCAGAGGTTGGGGGCAGAGTGGCTGAAGGCTCTCCTGCCAATGGTGGGGCGGGTGGGGGGAACGTGGAGCAGGCCAGAGCCGGCTGAGCGGACGAAGCGGGCGGTTTGGTAGGGGGTTAAGAGGTCGCAGAGGTAGGGTGGGGCGAGGCCATGGAGGGCTTTGTAGGTGAGGACCAGGATCTTGAATTGGATCCTCTGAAGGATAGGGAGCCAATGGAGTCGGGCGAGAATGGGGGAATGGGGCCAGGGAGTTTGGTGCGGGAGAGGACACGGGCTGCAGAGTTCTGGATTATCTGCAGCCTGTGGAGGGAGGAGTTGGAATGCTGACAAGCAGACCGTTTGCATAGTCGAGCCTGGAGGTGATGAAGGCATGAACAAGAGTTTCAGCGGCCTGAGGGGTGAGGTAGTGGAGGAGTCGGGCGATATTACGAAGGTGAGGGAAGGCAGAGCGGGTCATGGCTTGTACGTGGGGAAGAAAAGACGGTTGAGGGTTGAACAAGACACCGAGGTTCCTGACTGGCTTGGCGAGTTGTAGTGTGCAACCATGGAGGTTGATGCTGCCAGAGCCTGAGGTTCTTGTTCACATTCAACTGTAGGAAATTTGCCCTCATCCAGGACTTGATGTCCGACAGGCAGTCTGTCAGGACAGCAGTGGTCCTGGAGTTGAGGGTGGAGGCAGAAAGATAGAGTTGGGTGTCATCCGCATGGGGAAGTTGACCCCATGTCTGCGGATGATGTCACCAAGGGGGAGCATGTAGATATTAAAGAGAGGGTCAAGGACAGAGCCCTGGGGGACGCCAGATGTGACAGTGCGGGGGCTGAAGGAGAAACCATTATAGGCAACAAAGTGGAGATGGTGAGAGAGATAGGAATCGAACCAGGCAAGGGCAGGTCCGCGAAAATTAAGTAAAGAGGAGAGATGGTGTATGAGGATGAAGTGGTCGACAGTGTCGAAGGTAGCAGAAAGATCAAGGAGGTCAAGGAGGCAGAGGGAGCCCTGATCATAGATGTTCAGAATGTCATTAGTGACTTTGACCAGGGTTGTTTCTGTGCTGTGGGCAGCGCAGAAGCCGGATTGGAGGGGTTCAAAGAAGGAATGGCGAGAAAGAAAGGATCGGAACTGGGACGCAACCATTCTTTCCAGGACCTTGGAGAGGAATGGGAAGTTAGAGATGAAGCGATAGCTGGAGAGGAGGGATATTCTATATAAACTATATTCTTCTGCTGCAATATTTTCTCACTCAACTTCACATTGACAACAAACTTACTGAACAACTTAAGTTTCAAATATTCCCAGTTCATAGTGAGATTTTAAGGTTATTTGGCTAAACTAACCAAATTCCCTTCTATTTACAGAACACTTTCAAATAAACAGAGTAGCTTAAACAGTCAAACAATAATCAACCTGTCTGTATGATACAGATGTAACAGATGGAACAGATGGAACGCTTCTGGCAGGAACTCCAACCTCAATAGGACATCAGGGCAATCAGAAACCTGAAAGTGGAATGCCCGTCTCTCTCTCTCTCAACACCCAGGCACAAAAAGCAACGATCAAGGATCCACCGTCACTTGACCATCACTCACTGTGCAGCCAGTGATACAATATATAAAAGCTGCATTACACAATTTCCTTATTAATATTAAAAAAATGACAATTATCAGATCATGAAAGAAAACTTACTGAATTGTGCTACTTACATTGGATACTACCGTAATAAAAGCATGCGCTATTGGAAAGGGAAGGGTTTCGGGGGTTCCATATTCAAAACAATCTTTCATGAGTGAAAGGCCATTTTTTCCACAGAAGAGGCAGACATAACGAAGCAAGTGCAAAGGTACTTCCACATCCTAAACAAATGAGAAAAAGAAACATAATGGTTATAACTATTAACAGTCGATGTGAATCATCATCCTTAACACATTTCTCCTTTTTTTAAAAAAAATGAGTTAAGAAATGACATTTTACCAGATCTCCTCTATTTTTTCCCCCCACAGTTGAAAGGATCTTTGGCTTCCTGCTTCAATGATGTACACAAAGTTAAATTATTTGTATGTTTCACCCATGTGATAAATTGCTCATCTCAGCTAACTTACTGCGCGGGTAGGGGGGAGGTAAAGATCAGAAGGTGAGTAAACCTGTCCTACTCTTGAGCATGGTTCAGTTACTTGCTCTAGAGTGAAACAGGCTGAAGTCCAGAAATAGTTAACTGCCTGTCCTCTTGACTCAGGGTTGGTATCTGGTGCAGATGAAGTTGAAGAGGTGGGAGAAAGTAACTCAATAGAATTTTAAAAAAAGATTAATTCTGCCAAGAAGTGATCATTTCCCTACTCAAAGCACCTGGAAATAGTCAATAAAACACGAAATACAACCTAAACCAAATCTGGTTATATACGTGGGCAATAAATTAATAGTTAGTCAGAGAGTTCATTTTGGTTTCATAAAGTTAGATAATAATAATAATTCTTGCATTTAATAAATACCTCATCACGTAGTCAAGACAAAAGTGCTTCACAGAGTATACTGTAAAGTGAATTGACTGCATATTTTGTGGAAGAAATGCAGCAGCCAATTGTGCCCAGCAGTGTCCCACAAACAGTCGTGGATTGAGTGACCAATTTATTATTATTATTTTTGGAAGGAATTATTACCCCCAGAAATTTGCCTTAAGCTGATGCATAGATAACTTCTTCACATAAAATTGAAGAATTACATATTCAACAAACAGAGAAAGCAACATTCAATTGCAAAAAAATAACATCATGTGATCTTAACCTACTTAGAAAGGATCAATGTATCTTTATTAGGACAGAATTGCATTAATTTCACAATCTATAGGTAGCATTTAAAAAAGCAACTCCACAAGTTTGTGAATTCTTAAAACTCCGATAATGATTCGCAAAAACTCATGCAAAAGTTTTTTTAAAAAATACATAATTTCTTGTTACATAGCGATAATACCTTAAAGCCACCATATGAGTGTGTCTTTACCAGTCAGGTAACCTGGACGTGGGATAAGGTTTGCCACAGACAAACCCATCTGTTGTGCCATGGTTTATCTAAATAATCAATCATGCTAATGAAATAAACTTTTATTTGCCTTAATCAGGCTTTCCTTGGCAAGCAATTTTTTTTCTAATCTCCATGCACAATATATTATTCAAGTCTGATATTAAAGTTTGCAAGATTTCCTTAGCCTCAGACACATACACAACAAGCCATAATTACTCAATTCCTTTTTTTTTTGGAAGGGGGTGGTGGGGGGGAGCAGCAGATTGAATTTTCTTGAAAATGTATTTATCGAAGTCATATTTTAAAACTTAGCAATTTCCAAGTTTGGTGACTGACCATTTGATTCATCCTTACACGAATTCTATAAAACAACCCCATGAAAATATAAAAATACAAATATCCATTACTTACATTCATATCACAAAACGACCCTAATAAGTTGCTTTCATGAGCTGAAATATCCTAGTTTAAAAAAAAATTAGCACAGTTTAATAAAAAGCAACACAGAATATGCTGAAGAAACTTTTTCATGAAGCTATAGAACAAACTACTTGTCAACAGTATGAATAGAAAAGAGATCCAAGTTGTAGTTTATATTAGTAGATATAAAAATCTACAGTTACATCATACATTCACTTCACCATGACAAAGAAGGTTGAAAGTGGCATATTTTCGCATCCTGATGAGTTGTCTGTCTACTTTACAACTGTATTTACACCATGCTCCCAAATCCAAAAGATCCACTGTGTTAGATAGTATTGTAAACCCACAAATGTTCATACACTACAATCTCAGATTTATACCCAAATAGATTTTCTTCTTCCCTCAAAGTTAATAAGAGAACTATACGAGCCAAAATATCAGACAAATTGCTTTGATCGTTGCATTCAAAGGTAAATCTTCAGTTCAAACAGGACACACATCACTCCTCCAAAATCCCCTTCTTAGCAGCAATTTTTTTTAAATTCCACATATAGATTTCAAGTAGATGCTTACGACCTACTTAAAACAGCTAATATTTGGTATGCAGTAATCATTAGCAGCCAGAGTCAGTGGGTCACTACATCCTAATATACATCAGGAATACTCTCATTTTTTGAAATTTCCCGATTTAACATCAGTCTCCTATACTGGCACTTGTTTCTCTGTGCATTTTAGCTTTGGGTTGCATGGCACCGCATAGGAAGCAGGAAAGGGTTGTTCTGAAAGGAGAACATTAACTTTGGAATTGTTTTTTCCGCTCTCCACATAAAATGATGAAAATGGATACAAAGGTTTTCTCTGCAGTAAATCTTAGCTGTTATCAATAATTAAACATTTTCAAAGTTATTAAAAGAGAAATTTTTGGCTTTGTATCGATATTCTCAGGAACTACCAATAGCTTTATAAGTTTATCACTGATAAACAGAAATTGTTGTTTGAAACTGTGTCACTTTAAAATGTTAACAGGAAATTGAGCACAATATTTGCAAATTCAATTTGCAAATACTTAAAAAGTAAACTAATTTGTCTGAATGAATTTTTCAGACATCGATTTTTCTTTCATCACAAGTTAAATGTTTAAATCAATCGACTTTGGATAAGGAAAGATGCCATCTTAGAACAATGCACAAGATTGAGCTGGTTTTGCTACTCTTTTCACTGCTATGGAAACATTGCAAAATCTAAATCAGAGATTACATGGATACAGACTCTATTGCACAAGTAATGCATTATACCTCTATAGTGGCATGAGTGTTATGTTTGTAGGCAGTATATAAAGGGAATTGAATCTGAAAGATCTTTGCCACACATAGCAACAACTTTTCTTTCTCCTCTGTGCTCCACGCGGTAAATGGATCATTGCTCCGTGTCGCCACCTCCTCAGTTCTCCCACAAGTTCTCATGTGATCTGCTTTTTTCTCCACAAAACCCTTCGATTTCTGACCAACATCGTCTTCATCTTTGTTACATTCGCCTTCTTGATTAGCCTGTTCATTGCCTTGTCGATTCAGGTCCTGCCATAATGAATCACTATTAGTGCAAATTTTACAGAGCTGGTCTCGGAGAGTCTGTACTTGGGCAGTCACCATGTTAATAAGGGCATAAACCACCTGGTTGAAGATTTCCAGATGCTTGTACTCCTTGAAGCAACAAAGACATTGCCTGTAGAAAAAAACAAAAATATTGGTTTTAAATCAACCATAAATTTTTTTGAGTTAATATTTTAATATTCCTTGTTTTATATATACTGCTTGCTCAAAGCAAACATCTCTGCACACATTACAGGAGGGTGGGGGACGTGAGAGTGAGACAGTGAGAAATAGACATGTTGGGGACAAAATGTTGGCGAATAAGGAATGCTGCAGGATAAATGTACATTTGAGCTGTTTTCAAAGTCACTTCAAACCTGAACATGCTCAAGTCTTCAAAATGTTTCAAACCATGAGCTCTACCAAGCCTCAGTTGTTAAAACACTGTCCAGTTCAGAAGTCTGCTAAATGAATGATGATAGCATTGATAAAAATGATATTTTTAAAAAAGTATCTAATAAGGTGCTGCGCATAAGATTTTTTTTAAAAAGGGTATGAGGAAAGAGAAATTGGATAAGGGAGGATAGTTTCATTTGTTCCATTTATCTCTCTATCTTAGTATTGCAATAGTCCATTGCAACCCACATAGAAATTTTTAAGAAATATTGCCACTTTCAAAGAACTTACTGATATAATTTTTTCAAAAAACTATATTATTAAAAACAGGATCTTTCAGTCTATCCATCCAAATGGATAGATTATTTAAAATGAATATTAGTGGATGGCATCTCACTTTTAAAACAATTTGCAATAAACTCGCTTTTAACAAAAGTTTAACTCACTATTGACAATCAAAAAAGTCAAACTGGGCCACAAATCCTGCTTCCAATTGAGTCGTTTTGATGCAGCACATTTTGTGTTCCAAATCAGTTCCAGCTTGAATTAAGGAATGAATATTCACTTTTTTTAAGATTTTATTCTCTGGGCAAATCGCCCTTCATCCAGTTTCACAAACGACTGTTGTATTGAACTAAATTTACAAAAATAATCTAACCAAATACACCAAACCACAAGACAATAAAAATACATTTAATAATCAGGATCACTTGTCTATAATTTGAATCTTCTGCTTGAAGATACAGAGGAGCAATGCTAATGCTTGTGGGAGTAGAACTGATTTTGCTTGGGCCAGTGTTTTATATTTGCTCCAAGATGTAATCTTAATCGAAAGTGGCATTGCGTCTTATGTGATTTCTGTAATTCATCCCAGACCCTTTGGAACAGAGTTCTGAATCATGAATTCCACACAACAATTCTGCAAGTACTGTACCACTATAGGCATTGCCAAATGAGGGGTGGGAAGAAACATTCACTTCTTTCCTAACCACTTCTTGATCCATGGCTAAACACAATTCATTTGTGCTAAATGAGAATACACTTGAACCAATTCCTGAACTCAAACAACGAGTTACATATGAACTTTCAGCAAGGATCACTAGCTGGAGATCATGCGCAACATCTCTGGGCTTCAACTTGGCTAAACTGACATTATTTGTGCAAGAAATACAGCTTTAAAAAAAACAGTAAACTCAGCATAAACTAGGGATAAAAAAATGTGGAGCTCTAGCCTCACCAAATTGTCCATTTTCCTATCAGAGGCATCAAAAATATTAAAAGGGAAAAGATACCCTGAGTGGTCCCATGCCACTTGTACCAGGACAGGACAGATTTGATCCCTGCTCTTTGCCATTAGATCTCAGCCAGAACAATTATGAACGACAGCATAATTGGTCTCAGTACAGAAACGAATCAACCAGCATTACTTGTTTCAAATTGCAATTGCACTCTGACCCAACATGAATCACTTGATTTGAGGAGAGAAGAAAAAGATTAGGCTGGAGGTTTTGAAATTAAATAGAGCAGTCTGTACCCACAGATTAATAAATTAGCAAATGAAACACCACTAAGCCCCACCCCCAATTTGGTAGTATGACACAAGCTAGCCAACAAAAATGATCCCTATAGTTGTATCAATGATGGTATCATGACAGGGAATCAATATAGCATCTTTCACATAAATAAATTCTCAAAATGCACTTCACAAAATAACATTAAAAATGAAGTGACGGTTGTTTTACAGGCAAATGCAGCAGCCAATCTCATACTTAACCATAGCCACACTTACCTAAAACATTAATGGCAGAATTATGTCCATCTGAATCATAAGGCACATGGAACTAAATTAACACACAACACACAATAAAGCCCCAAATACTGTGCATTCAAGCCAATTTATAAATAAAGACATACCTTTGTGTCCAAGAGTTGATGTAATTAAAAATCTTGAGCGCATGTTCCTTTTTTAGTTGCAACCCTTCATTACTTTCTGCTTCCGATACTGTTGGGGAGAAAACAAATGACAAGATCCATTTATCTTTTCCCAAGAACAATGAAACTCTATAGTGCAAAACAGAAAAAAGTCCTCAATTTAGATCAAAAACTGTATACTGTTTGACATCCACATGGAAAACTACAGTTCAAGTCAATAAAAACTGTGGCTTAATCTAATGAAGACACTGTAAAAATTCAATGAAACCATCGCACACCAAAAGAGGGGATCCTCACATTTTTTGTGTGGTCACGACAAAGCCAATTTACTTGCTACGCGTAGAATCCTCATTCTTCAAATGAAGCTCAGCCTCAACATACAACCGTGAAGAAGTTACACAATGATGAAAGTATCTCACAAAATCTTGATCCAGGGGCTACAAATGTAGCTGCTTAACCTGCACACATAGCGGCTGGATGATTCGTCCGGCTTAAGCCGGGTCCGAGGTGAACTGAATCTCTCTAACCTCTTTCCGCTCAGTAGAGGAGCAGCGACAGCACCTCCTCGCTCCCACTGCCATTCCCATTGGAGAAAGGGACCAGTTAGCAGCTGCTCCGAAATGACTGACAGCCTGAGACGCTTGTGAATGGATGTGCACTCCACCCATTCACTAGCGGCTCCAGCTGTCAATCAGTTGCGATTTGACTGCTCCCATTCTCTCCCCTTTTTCTTCCCCTGTTCCTCCGACCCCTCATTGATTGACAGCTTGCACCCGCTTGCCATTGGCTGGAGTCCTCTGTCAATCAATCACAATTTGACTCCTCCCATCTCCATCGCAGAGCCGCGCGTGGACGAACGTAGCAGCTCGACAAACAGAAGACATGAGTGAGTACCCGAAGCAGTGACTAGTGCGAAATTATGTCCGGATTAACCGGATTTCTGTCTGAATTACTCGGCATACTTAAAACGGGTAAGAATACAAATTAATCAGGGCCAGGCATTTTGTCCAATTTACCCGGAGTCCGGGGTTAACGGGTCCGGATAAAGCAGATTCCACTGTTTCTTGAACGATTCACGTAGGAAAAACAACGAAAGTTGAGTCAGCAAGATCACTGACTCGACGTGTGAAAATATAAAATATTGTGTATGTGTTTTTTTCCATTTGGAGGTGAATGGTCAACAAATAAGAATAAACTTTGATGATCACAGAAGCAAGTTTGAAGTTGGTTTAATATTCTTTGTCATCTTATTCAGAGAACATGGAATACAGTGAAGAAACATTAACTTTCTAATGATAGTTCTATTCTTTAAGTCCCAATTGTATTTTCAACTTCTCTGGCAGGTATGATGCCTGCAGATTTTAGAAGCCAAATGGTAACTTCTCAGTAAAATCACTGCTGCTGAATTGTTGGCCTACCATAATGTCCTCTATAACAAATCTGCTTTTCAACTGATAAAATCTCACCAGCAATGGTTCCCTAAGGAATTAAGATCTGTCTTTTTTTTTTAATTTTGAGAAGACATAAAACTGAATAGCTTTTCTGACCTCGTCATCGAGAATGGATGTTCTTCCAGTGGACTAGATTCACAAGAGATTCTGATCAAGAAAGCTTTTCAGTCTCCCAGAATACAGACAACCTTGTTATAATTCACGGTTGGTTGAATTCACTTTTCACACCAGTCTTCTGTGGACTTGCAGTGCACTTCTGCAGCAGACGTGCCAGCTTACTATACACATGTGAGCATTTCTAGCAAACACTCACAAAAGAAGCTACAGCTGATGGGCAGACTGCACCAATGTACAGGAAAATGGCAAGTCTGTGCTGGAAGCCGGAAGGGAAGTTAGTGGCAACTCAGAAGCAGGCCTGGCAAACATGTTTTTCCACAGATCAGTTATACTACGGGTGTAATTCTGTGGATTCAAATTACATTAGAATGGGATCGCCCTGTACTAACCTCACCATCTTCACATTATAACATTAAAGTTACTTTCCAGTATCCTAATCTCAACCACCCTTCCTAGAACCAGTTCTACTTGTTAATTATCCTCAATAAAGTAGGTAAAGAAATATTTTATGGTGTCTCATCCTTCACAACCCTGAACTGCTGGCTTCTTGTCTTGCATACCTGAAAGTATTCTTCTAGATGTATTTTCTCTGTACTATTACGTATCTTAGATCCCCTCTGCGACTCGTCATTTCTAGGTTAGACAGGCCTCGTCATCTATTTATTCGTAGTTCATTACTTGAGCACAATGGTAATGCTTATTGTTTTCCTCTGCATTACATCTATTGCATCTACTCTTGACATCTGCCATGTGCCACGGAGTGACCAGAACTGTATCCAGTGCATAGACGTGTGGTCTCACATGAGTACTGTATAAGATGGCAATAATTTCTGAGGATGTAAACTCAAACGATTTGGCAATCTAATTTAGCATACGATTTGTTTATTGCTCATACTGCGTCAACTTCTCGCTTGGCATGTTCTAGCTCACCCATAGTCTATATGTGCCTATTTCAAAAGACTGCAGTGCTCTCACTTGTTTTCCCCCCAAACCTC